TGTATGTGTTTGGTGTTTTTGTGTGTGTGTCTTTGTTTTGTGTGTATGTGTGTTTGGTGTGTTGTTTTTGTGTGTGTGTTTGGTGTGTGTTTGTTTTGTGTGTGTTTGTGTTTGGTGTTTTGTGTGTTTGGTGTTTTGTGTGTGTGTGTGTTTTCTGTGTCTGTATTTCTGTGTGTGTTTGTGTGTGTGTTTGGTGTGTTTGTGTGTGTGTTTGTTTGTTTTGTGTGTGTTTGGTGTGTTTGTGTGTGTGTTTGTTTGTTTTGTGTGTGTTTGGTGTGTTTGTGTGTGTGTTTGTTTTGTGTGTGTTTGGTGGCCGTTGGGACCAGAGAAGTGAAAGTCCAGTGTGGTGCAGCTCCAGTGCTGGGCTTGGCTTCCGCCCTGTGCTGGCAGCTGCCGAGGACTTGTGTCACTGCAGAGGACCAGAAAATTGGTTACACAGGAGCCAAACCAGGCTGGTTTGCCACTTTCTTCTCTGGCTATTGTTTTAAATGAGGGCTGAACTGATAGGACTGAAAATACAAAAGCTTTCTCATAGTTTTCCTTTGACTTCTGCTTTAAAAAAATCCCCAGAGGAAACATTTTCCATTTTCTGTACGTTCACATCACTTGGGTTTTATCTGTTTAATTCTGGGAGAAACGGATCTCAGAAGAACATTAATCATATATAACAAAAAGGTGGTGTGTTTTTATGGTATTCAAATGCAGAACACTGGAAGACAGGTTGCTGCTGGTTTTCAGGCACTAAAAGTTTAAAATAGAAATGTTCTTTCCTATACTGCTCCTCATGAGCAAGCTGGCATTGTGAGCCTTTGTTTATAAAGCAAATAAACAGAATTTTATGCGCTTTGCAAAATGGATGCAGAAAGGTGACAATTTAATCTGACTTAAGTATCCCCCTCTTTGTTAATGGCTAATTCCCTTGCTAAACTTTTCCTTTGCTCTCTGTCTCTCTTGGGGAGGGTTTGGGCTCAGGCTGGCAGAGGGCAGTGGACAAGCAGGGCACTGAGGACAAGGACCTTGCTTGGGATTTTCCCTCATTCTGGGCTCTTTGTGCTCGTGCTTGGCCAAAGGCAGAGCCTTGTGTTGGTGTTTGTGGGCATGTTTCTGTTGAAGTAATTTCTCTGAATTTCCTGTTAAAATGCCAGCCAGCTCGCTTGTGGTGGGGAGTCAATACTCCAATAGACAGGCTGTTGTTCTGCCTGTGCTGCTGTCCAAGTGGAGCCTCGTGACCCAGCGTGGACGGGGCTCCAGCACGGCAGACAGCCCTGGGCACAGCCCCGTGCTGGGCAGAGCAGAGCGCAGAAAGAGCAACGTGTGCTTTGGGAACAGGCTGCTGTGGGGCTTCAACCTGAGGCTTTTTAAACAGGGATGAGTGGGCTTGTCTGGGAGGGTGCACTGCTCTCATCTTATCTTTGTTTAAAATCATGCTTGTTTTTCCCTGAGGTGTTTCACTTGTTTTTTATCCCGGCACAGTGAGCTGCAGTGCTTTGGGCTGGGTGCTGCTGCTGGGTGTGCTCTGGTGCATCCACAGAACCACAGGAGAGGAAAGCTCACCCAGCCTGTCCCTGCTGTGTTCTCAGGAGCATCCCAGTGCAGTGTCTGCCCTGGATGAAGAGCTGCTGTGTGTGCCACAGAGCAGGATGCCTTTGGCAGCACTGCACGTTTTTTTCTGCAGAAATGGATTGATTTTGTTGCTGGACTGGCAGCATTTCTTCGTGCTTGGGTATTGGCTTCCCCTGTGGAGGAATTTGTGGTTTCTAAGACTCTAATTACTTTAGTGTAATAGTTTTTCCTCTGCTTTTGTAATGACTTTGGTGGGTGCCATCTGCTGTTGTGACAGCGCTGGGCAGCGCGGTCTGAGCCCGGGGTGGTGTGGGGTGTGCACTTCAACCTTCAGGGAAACTAAGACTCTGAAATCCCATTTTCAACATTTAAAGCTTTATCTCCAGCCTTTCTGGACTGCTGGGAGTGCGTCGACTCCAAAGGTCAAAAGGGCAACAGATATTTGGGATGGCTCCCTCCTCACTCACGGTCTGTTTGCAGGGACCCCAGCTTGCCTGGCCCTGCTGGGCAGCCTGCACGGTTTGGGGTGGAGGCAGCAGTTTGTTTCCTCGATGGCAGGCAGGAGCCAGGCCACATCCTTCCTTCAGCAGCTGCTTTGCTAACAACCAGCTTGACCTACATCTGCTGGCTTTGCTTCAGAGACACGACAGGCGCGGGGTGATGAGCTGGGTGTGAGCGTGGCCGGCACGCCGCCGAGCTGCTGCCGTGTGCTGAGCCAGGGAGCTGGCACACCCCGGGGCAGGGGAGCCCCAGGGGCTGCACTTCTGACAGCCCCAGAGGAGAAATGCCTGTCTGGGTGCTGCAGAACCCTTCTGGGTGCCAGTGCACATCCCTCGGGCATCGGGTGCGTGTCACAGGGCCTGGTGCTGGTTTGTCAGATATAGATCACAGCCTGCACCACACGTTTTTTCCAGTATCATTACATCCACCAGACTAGAAGGGCTGCAGCAAGTTTTATGGATTTTTTTTTTTTTTTTGTATTTGTTGTAGGCAGTGCTCTATGAGTTTCCTAACATCTCATGTGAGGATCTGGGATGCTTTGCAGCTCTTACCCTTCAGCTGTCATTGGATCCCATGAGGATGACTGCCAGGACTTTGTCTTGCTGGTCATCAGAGGTATCAGATCTAGAAAAGGAATGTCATCAAAGCCCCAACTTTGTAGAAGGACAGCTTTAGAAACACAGTCCTAGTTTCAGGACCATGTTGCAAAACAAAAAAGGACTAAAAACTCTGTGTGATTGGAAGGTCTGCATTCCCAAAGAGATGTGGAAGGCTCGTAGAGGGACTCTAATTTAGTTACAGCTGCAGCAGGGTGAGGTGAGAGGGGCCTGGTGTGAGTTCTCGGGCCATGGCCCTGCTTTAACCTCCAGGGCTGCTGAGTTTTGCAGGATTGCTGCAGTGAATCAGAGAGGCTGGCAGAGCTGTGTGCCCGCTCTGTGGGCCCTGCCTGCTGTCGTGGGCAGGACCAGCTCTGGGGCCCCAGACCTGCAAATGGATGTCCTGTTAATACACTTAATTTGCAAAGCTCAGCAGACTTTGAGAAGTGCACAGTGCTATCCTGAAATAAGACCAGTGTTTCAGGTGATTAACCAAATTCAATTAAGCATTTAATGAGCACGAGACTGACTGAGAGTAAAGTTCCTTTTCTCTGTCTACCTGTTGGGTTTTTCAGATTCCTGTTTTTCACATGGACTCTTCTTATTAAATCCCTGTACAGCTCAGGTCTTGGATGTAGAAGCAGCAAGTTCTGTGTGTGCAGTGGGACTGGCAGCATTTGTCACCCCATTCCCAAATCCCTCATGGCTGAGGGAGCTCCCTGGATGCTCTGGCACCCAGCCTGGGCTCTCTGCTGCCTGACCTTTGTCTTTCTCTCTGGTATTCTGAGGAGTGTGAGGTTCCTTTCAGGACTGTGCAAGCAGTAAAGCAAAGGTTTCAGAGATTAAGAAGGGAACTTTTTCATTCATGCTGGATTTCTGCAGCATGGAAAGGGGACATTTTAAATGCAAAACTGTCTGAGGCAGGAGGCGTTTCATTAATGCATCCCAGGAGCCAAAGGATGGTCAGGAGGCAAAGGCACAGGACCTTTGGCTAGGATTGGTTATGGAAGAGCAATGTTGACTTCCTTGCTTATCTCACATGTCACAGAAAATACTGAGTTGTTTGGACTTCAGGTGGTGTGGCTGTTTATCCAGTGGTGTTATACAGTGCTGAGCTTTCAGTCCTCATTTGGGACTAATTTTTTTAAACTGCTGATTGTGCTGTGTGCAGCAAGAGACCTTGTACTGGTCTGGTCTTTAACTCTAGTCATGGTGAGCAGTTCATCCCAGAAAAGCCATTTCAAAGCTGGGGAGTAGCATGTGCTGCCCATGGGGAAGCATCTGATGTTCCTCTTCTGAGAGTGGAGAGCCCAAGGCTCTTGTCCTGCAGGATGTCATGTCCAGAGGCAGATGGCAGGGATTTCACAAACACTGTCTGTGGCAGGGCCAAGCATCAGGATTTTGGTCGAGGTTCAAAACAAGGCAAAGGTGATGGGTCAGAATTTGGTTCCTGTTTTATTGTGACCACTCCTATAGAGAGTTATTGCTTGGCTTTTGGTGTGAAGTTTGATTTTCACAATGCAGTGCTGAGAGCCTGACTCTTGCTCATAAAGCCTGAAGTCAGGCTGGGCAGCTGAGATGGCATTTGCCTGCTTCAGAAGTTGTTCTTCTCATTTTACTAAGTTCTGTTTTCTGGACTTGTTACACAGACAAAATAGGTAAAATAAGGAATGTAATGAAACTCTCCTAATAGTTTTTGCTGATGACTCCAGGGATTTTTGGAGAAGTTCCTCTTGCTTCCCTGAAATGTGAGTGAGAATAAAACTGAGCTCTAGCCCTTGGCTGTGTCTGGGCTGTGATTTATGGAGAGGGCTTTCCTGTCTTTCCAGAGGGATGCTGTTCTTCCTTCCATGGGCTGAGATTCCTGCTTTGGCAGTGGTAGCTGCAGCCTTGCTCTCATCGTTCCTAGGAGAGCACAGCTCTCATCTGCTCCTCAAGCAAAGCCAGCCCCGAGCTGAGCAGAGCCAGTGCAGGAGCCTTCCTGTGTTTCTTCCAAGCTGTACAGATGAGCTGCTCGAACATAAAGATGCTGGATCTTGCAGCTGTTAGAGCTATGGCCTGTCCAGGAGGCTTTCTTGCTCCATTAGGAAATTAGAGACTGTGCTGAGACAGAGCAGCACAGTGCTTCCTTTCTTCCCTTAGCTTATTGCTTCCAACTTAACCCTTCATTTCCCTCTCTGCTCATCAGTGGTTGGTGACCTGCAGCACAGGAGTATCAGAGTGCTGAGTAATGGGCAGTCCAGTGGTCACACAGCTTGAAATGAAGCACAAGGTGTTAGTTACTGGTTATTTTAGACGTTACACATATGTAATATTTTTCATAATCTGTTTTTCCTGCAGGAAAAAGCAAAAGTGGTGGAACCCTTGGACTATGAGAACGTGATCCTTCAGCGCAGAGTTCAGATCTACAGTGATCCCCTCCGGGATCTCCTGATATTTCCAATTGAAGATGTGTCTGTGAGTTTGCTCTGGCTGCTTCCCATGTTTGAGACTCACTCGTCTCCCGTCCTGCTTACCTTGGAAAATTTCCACCATTAACCACATGTTAATTTTGGCTGCATGACTGACATATAAAACCAAAATGACCCACTGGTGGCTTAGGCCCACCACATTTATTTAAAGTGAATGTCAAGCCTTGAAGATGGAGTTTATGCTGAAAAAGTTTTCCTTTTTCCTGCAGATCTCGGTCATCGGCCGACAGAGAAGGACTGTCCAGTCAACAGTGCCAGAAGATGCTCTAAAGAAAGCTCAGAGTCTCTTTGTCAAAGAGGTAGGGACAGAGCCCATGTGACACCTGCCTTCAGCCCTTGATAGCCCTTGGACAGGATGCTCAGCTGTAGCTCCTGGTCTGCAGCATTGCAGGTCCCTTGGCTTCTCCTTCCCTGCCCGACCTGCTGCACGGGAGAGCTCTCACAGGTGTCTCGTGTGCAGGGTGCCTGCAGTGGGTTTTGGACACAGCCAAGGTGTGTGGCTTTGCACCACCTGCCTGACAAGGGGATCCACACCCTCCATGGAGCATCTGGAGTGCTGTGGGTTTGTTGTGAAGTGCTGCTCTCCAGGACCATTCCCTTCAAGTGCAGCAGAACAAGAAGCGATGGTCGTGCCGAGTCAGACGTGCTGTGTTTCTGAGGACAGAAAACTTTTGCCTTCTGGAAAACAGTCTTCTTCCAAATCACTACTCCTTTTTTAGAGCCTTGGAGTGATGTAAATCCAAAATCTGTAGCTGTGTGGCAGGCCAGATGCTGTGTGATTTTTGTCTCTGTGCTGAAAGGTTCCTTATGAAATTCTGCATTGCTACATGAAACAAGTGAAGCAGCCTTGCCCACGCCCTTCCCGCTTGTGCTTACCTCACCCTGCAGTGTGTAACCTCTCAGACTGGTGCTGGGCTTTGTTTTGCTTGCTGTAGCTTTCTGAGAGCTGTATTGTTTTCCTTTCAGTGCATTAAAACCTACAGCTCTGACTGGTTCGTGGTAAACTACAAATATGAGGAATACTCAGGAGACTTTCGGATGTTGCCATGGTAAGTGTCGTGCTCCCTTGGAATGCTGATGTGTGATCAGAGGCCTTAGCAGGAGCAGTCTGCCCTTTCCCTGATGCCTGTCCCACAAGCAGGCTCTCTGACCCTGCAGGTTAGAGCCAGAGGTTTTTGTCCTGCCATTGTCCCTCAGCTCTGGCAGGGAGATGCCCAGAGTGTTGTGTGGGTCAGTGCCTCACACCCCCCCTCCAGTGTGTGCACACCCCCTCGTTTGGGATGAGGACAGACTGCAGCCCAGACCCATGGCAGGATGAATAAATGGCAGCCTGCACATCCTAGCCCAGGAGCCCCACTGTCCCCCTGGGCTGAAGTTCCTGTGTGCCTCACACAGGCTGAGCAGATCCTCGCTGTGCCCCAGCACAGAGAGGGTGATGTGATACTGCTGCTGGTGCTGCCAGTGCTGGGCCCTTATGTGCTTGGAACACTGGGCTGTGCCAGTGCTGTGCCAGTGCTTCCAGCTCCAGAGCTAATTGGGTTTTTCAGACAGGCACATCCATCTCAATTTCTGCTGGATTGTTGTTTTCTGTGTGGTGGCGCCTGCTCTGCTCACTGCCCACACTCTGGGCATGTCTGGACCCCTGTCCAGGCTGCTCGTGTGCTGGAAGCTTGTAAAATGCTTTTTCTTTATAACTGGATGTAGTGGGTGTGTTCTGAGGATCCCGAGGGGATGTGAAGCAGCAATGGAGTCATACTGTTGATTAAATAATGTTAAAATTTTTGAATAATCTGGTAGTCTAATCTTGCTTCTTCTTTGGTAAAGATGGAAGATAAACCACAGTGCTCTCTCTTTGTTCCATAAATGCAAGTCAGCAAAAACTCTGCAGAATCCAAGAGCTAACAAGAGAAAGCTAATTACAGGCTGCTTGTGCCTAATTTCCATGAAATGCACTCAGAACTTAGCTTTCCCCAGCTGTAAGGAGCTGTAGGTCTCTTGCACTCTGTCTTCTGTGCTCTGCAGTCTGCACTTTGGCTGCTGCTTCTGGATCCAGCATCAGCTACTGGCTCATACAACCCTCATGTTCCACTCATTAAAGATGAAAATGTGTTGTGATTTCAGCAAATCCTTTAGGCCAGACAAGATTCCAAGCCATGTGTTTGAAATTGATGAAGACTTTGAAAAGGATGAGGTAAGGAAAAGGTTGGTTTTTTGGTTTATTGTTTTTAATGTATTCCTGTTAAAAAAAAGCAGGAATACATTAAGAAGTTAACTTCACAAAGCAAAGCCAGAATTCAGTTCCTAGGAACAGTTTTCTGGTGAGTTGCTTTCTGCTGTGAAAATGGCATCAAAAGTGAGGCAGTGATTAATTTCAAAGTATGACATGATAATCTCTTGGAGCCAAGGATCTCCTAAGTTATCTGGAAGATTAGTAATACTTCTCATGTTTTTTTCCCTTGAAACAGAGCATCATAGGAAGAGGAAAAAAAATAAGCCAAGTAGTTACTGAGGAAATCTCTTCATGTCCAGAGCTAAAACTGGGCAGTTTCTTTTTCAACTACACTGTGATTCTGGGGTTCACCTCTTAGAAAGTTTTGTGATTTACCACGTAATCAGCAATTTTTCACCAGTCCCTTCGACCCACCTGCTGACAGTGTGTCAGTCCTGCTCTGTACATCCTGTGCCAGTGCTGGGAGGCGTTTGCTTCCTCTGGAATGGCATCTTTGAGCTCAGCTGGCATTAGGGAGGATTGGCAGCCCTGGAGCTCCTCTGGGGCTGAGCTGGGGGCTCTGCCAGCAGGGACATCTCAGACCTGATGGTTATTTTGGATGCTGCAGATGCCATGTTTCCTGCCCATGAATACCACATTTGCTGCAGAAGGGATGGGCAGTGTTTTTCTGTTTCAAGTACCACGTGGAGATTAATCCACGCACGTGATATGAGGAAGTTTTTGTTTACAGAGGGAAGGGTTTAGCCCAGCTGTTTAAAATTCCCATGGCACCAATATGTTACTGCTGAGGAACTCACAGAGGAAAGGAGAACTTTGTTGCAGAGCTGAAGATTTGGGAGAGGCTGTTTCATGCACATTTCTCAAATTACTGGGGTATGTCCCAGCACAACTCAGGTCTGGACTGCGTTGGCTTCTTTATAAATGGAAATGTTTTGTCAAGTTTGGCCTTAATCTTTTTTTAGCTATGTTGTTAATTTGCATTACATCAGTAACTTGAGATGCTGCCTCTTAAAAAATATCTGCTCTGGGCTGGAGACGTTGCTGTGCATTGTTATCAGTGTGGTTCCAAAACAGCAAAAGGACAAAAATACTCTATCAAAATTTGGAGACTTTCTTTTTCTGGTCAGTGTCCCAAATCCTCAAACAAGAGAAGTTAGTGAGGTTTGTTGTGGAAGAGCATTCCAAGTGCTTTCACAGATGTTTTGACGTTTATATCTTTTGGCATGGCCGTATCTGAAGGATTCTGTTACAGTTTCCCGACAGAGCATTTGCATTAGAATTGTGTAATGGAAATTCAAGTAAAAGAAATCTCTTGATAAAAAAAAGGTGAACCACTATAAAGGAGAAACCATGGGTTGTTTTACCCAGGGAAATAAAGTATCAGAAAATTTACTCTGGAAGTTGGACAGGAAAAGAGTGAAGCCCTGCCCCTTTGGATGCAGCAGGCTCTGTAAGCCGGCTCCTTCAGGGCAGGCTGGGGCTGCCTCTGCTGCTGAGTCACTGCAAGCCCCAGGGGGAGATTTTTTCATCACTTTGGGCTCTCATTTCCCTGCCCAGTGGAGGTCATGGTTAGGTATGAATGGAGAGCCATTCTCTCTTTCTGGGGCCATGGGGCAGCAGCAGGTGGGACCCATCTGGTGTGCCAGGAGCAGCCTGGCTGGGACACTTGCAGCTCTGTGGTTTGGTAAATGTGAAATCAGCCAGATAGTTCAGTTATTTTTCTGGGGTTTGGTGGTTTTTGCTGAAATTTAAAATGTGAGAATGACAAAAGGAAATGACAGGAAAAATTCAGAGTTCTGCATTTGGCAACTTCCTAAACAGACCATCTTGAAAATTTCCATCTTCCACAAGTTTTGAAATACTGCATAAGAACCAACAGGCCTCATTGCAAAATCACTGTGCAGCTCTATCAGAATAGATGTAATCTTTCTTTTTTTTAAAGGTGACTCAATCTAGCCTGTTTTACCTCTTTATTGGAAAGGAATATCCCTGATTTTTTTTTTTTTTTTGTGATAACACTTTATGCATAACTGTACCTGTTGCACATACATTCTACATGTCACTGTATTGCTGTACATAAAATGGTATTGCTTTCCAGGGTGGACAAATCCCTTTGTCCAAGGGGAATTTCCTGTAGGAAACAGTTTACCTGACCTCCTCTTTATGACTGTTTGCTGTCTCTCAGGACTCCTCTTCCCTGTGCTCCCAGAAGGGTGGTGTGATCAAGCAGGGCTGGCTGCACAAAGCAAACGTCAACAGCACCATCACTGTTACCATGAAGGTGAGTTTGGTGCAGTTTCTCATGAACCAGGCATGAGGTGAAGTTCAGCCACATCTCCAAAGCTCCCAGGAGCACGATGGCTGGGTTTGGGTTAGGATGGCATCTGCCCCTCTTGTGTCCCATGGTGGGCTGGAAAATCCAGCCTGGCAACAGCTTCCGACCCTCCCCTCCCCAGCACGTGAGTCTGATGCACGTTGGACCCTGCTAACCAAGAAGGTGAAGAGTGTTCTAGTACAGAAAGATTGTTTTCTGGATGAGCAGCTGAGGCCCAGGAGAGGAAACAGCTGCCCTGCAAAGACAGCTTTCTGAATTGATAGTTTCCTTGCTGGCTGGAAACATGTAGGGAGGCCAGCTTTAAAATGAAATGATAAATCTTTGCTTTTAAAGCAGGGGTGATATTGCTGCAGAGATGTAGCATTACTGACCCAAAAGCAGCAGCTGCCTTGTCTCCTGTTCTCTGCTCTTCATAATCCAGCGTGACATTGCTTAGATTGTGCAGAGATTTTTAGTAGTTCCACCACAGGTTTTTGGTATGGCAGTGAGCCTGTCTGCAGTCCCACCATGCAGCTGCCTTGTTACAGCACAGAGAGATTGTTAGGGAGTTTGTAAGGATATATTAAAATAATCTCAAAAAGCCTAACTGTTCCAAGGCTTGATTCAATGAGTTATGCTTCCAGGGCAAGTGGAGCAGGACTGTTCATAGGGCTAATTTTAATTTGAGTTTTAAAATGGGCTTGAAGGTGACAGACAGAAAAGGATTTTCTGATCCTCTGCTTTTCCAAGCAAGCTTAAAGCAACTTTTTTTCCCCTGAAACTTCTGGAGGCGGTGTCATTTGTGCTCAGAGTAGTCAGTGGGGTCTGTTCTAGTCTGAGCCTCTGGTGGTATTGGCACAGTGCCCTGCAGCTCAGACCTGCCTTTCAGAGAAGTTACCTGAACTACCCTGGCTTCAGTTCAATTCATAAGATCCAGAATCTCCAGTGAAACTCTGATGTCAAGTACTGAGAATCAGGAGATGTTCTCTGGGCTGTGCCTTACACAGCACCTCTAGGGCACATGTCAGAAAGTGAGGGCTTTGGCCACCTTCAGCCTTTCCACCACAGGAGAGGCTGCTGTGGTGTGTCCTTGTTGTCAGTGCTGGTTCTCTGCTGGGCTGTTGGTGCTCACACAGAGTGTGCTCTGTGGGGAGCTGAACCACCAGCAAACTCTCATTGGGCTGCAGCTGCCACCCTTTATTTCAGGCCATCCTTTCCTGTGCAGAGAGCTGCCCTGGTTTGGCTCAGCTCTCCCTCTCTGGTTGGCAGTGTGGTGGTGGCCTGGCTACAACCATGGCACCAGGATTGTCCTTCTGTCCTTCTCTGCCCCAAGGCACTTGCCCAGCTCTCTGCCCTCCCTCTGCAACCTCAGTGCTCACCAGCAGCACCTGTAGCCTGATCAGATGGGATGTTCCCTCTGCTCACAGATTTATAGCATTAATTTCAAATGATCATCATCCTCTGACAGTGATTTCTGACAGCAGTGCTTGCACGGGGGGAAGATCACAGGAACAGCGTTTGCTGTTTGATTCTGCATTTGCTTTTGAACAGAGTTCAGCAAATACAAACTGTTCAGCATGAAATGCCATAACCACAAGGGATATCAACCCTGTCACATCTAGAGAGAGATCTCTCATGGGTTTCTGTAGGATCCACTGCCAAAATTCCTGAGATTGCTTCAGTGGAGTGCTAAATCAGTGTTTAGGCTGGATTAATGCTTCACATCCTTAGCTTTCCATGTGTCTTTATGCTCTGCTGAACTAAAAGTTCAGTTAAATCTTATAAAACTTAAAGCTCAACAACCCGTGGAGCATCTCTACAGCTAATTAGTCATCCAAATGAGGCCAGAGGTTATCTCTCAGAGGGATGGGTTATGCTTCAGGGCACGAGGCTCCCTCCCAGTTCTCTGCCAGCCAGTGGGTTTACTGAACATGTGCTAGTGTCAGTAATGATAGAGAGAGGAAATTACTTGTAATCTCCCATGTGGGATGAAAAATGCTGGGTTTTTTCATAGATCTTCCAGGTAGACAGAACAGTAGAAATCCTTGCAGTGCTGCTTGGCCTGGCTTCCTTCATGGTTCTCCTCATACAGATACCCAGCAACAGTGAAATAAATGTACCCTGCTCCTTACAGCATATGGTGCTACCACAATTGCTGCCAAAATGCTCTGCTGAATTATAGTCCAGTAGCTTTTGGCTGACAAGCATGAATAAAGGTGTTCAGAGTGTTTTTTTTCCTTCATGAAAATCAGTAGTACAAACACAGGAGCACTTCTCCTGAAATTTCTGGTTTTTGATGTAAGAATTGGACACTAAGCCAAAGCCAGTTCATGAAAATCAGTTTGTATAAAAAAACTCAAACCCAAAGCCACAAAAAACCCAAGCAGCTGAATGGATTGCATTGTCCCTTGGCTTGCATTTGAGTGCTAGGAATTTCCACATGTCTGTTCCTAAGTCTTCCAGACAATTGCTTTGTAAGTCTGAGGTCTGTATGAAAAAGACTCTGGAAATACCTGCTTTAGGGTGGGATGGATCTTCAAGTAAGTGCTGATCTGAATTTACTGTGCAGCATTGCTTTGTAAAGATAAATGAGGCTGGAGCCAGCTGAGAGATGAGCTGGAAGCCCTGGGGCATTGCTCAGATGGGCAAACTTACAATAACAGCAAGGGCATTAAAATTAAAGATGATGGAAGCCTCTCTTTGTAAAAGCAAACCATATTCAAATGGGGAATCTGCAACACTCCAGGGTCAGCAGTGTTTTGTGTTGCAGTCTTTTCTCAGTAGCAAGGAGGGCAGATGTGGAAACCATGGTTTGTGATGTACAGCAGAGTGAATACTTGCCTGAGCAAGAATTTCTGTTTCTACAGGTATTCAAGAGGAGGTATTTTTACTTGTCACAGCTCACAGATGGCTCCTATATTCTGAATTCCTACAAAGATGAGAAAATTTCAAAAGAATCCAAAGGCTGCATTTTCTTGGATGCTTGCAATGATGTGGTTCAGGTAGGTGTCTTTTCTGTGTGGCTCTGCATGGAGTTATGGATTGCTGGCTCTGAGACAGGCCTGCTCTCTCCAGATCTGAAGGCATGGAATTGCAAACTAGCCCAAAGCTGTTCAGCTAAACTGATCAATAGGCCAGGAGGTAAATTATATTAATTATCTGGGGCACCTTCCTCCTCTAATTGCTGCTTGCTCCAGCTTCTTCTTTCTTAAGCTATATCTTGGTAAGTCCATGCAAACATGTAGTCCTTTGGAATCCAGGATCTACTCAGGGGTCATAAGGTTTTAGGAGCAGGTATTTGTACAGGTCCAAATCCTGGGTTTGCTTAGTTGTGCTGGAGTGAGGTGCAGCAGTGGATTGCTGCTCTGCCTCCTGCCCGTGCTGTCTCTGCAGAAGCTGCAGGCACTGAGTGTGGTGCAGGGTGGCTTAAATTACCCCATCAGCATGGATGAGTCAGAGCTGTGAGTTTCCATTTATCTTTCTGAACACAGTAAAAGCAATAATGCACACACCTCAGTGATCTATGGGATGTACTTCCCAAATTGCATCAGATTTGCCTTGCCTTCTGGTTGGAAGATGCTGTTTAAAGGCCAGCACAGCTTCAAAAAGCTGCATTGTACCACTTGCTTTTTAAAGATAGATGCCTCTAAGTGTTCTGGAGTGCAGCATTACTTACCACGTCAGACAAATCCAGTTCCTGGCTTCTCTGGGTAAATACTAAAGGTCTGGTGACATCAGAAGGAGCTTGTTCTGCTCCTTGCTGCAATGTCTGTGCTCCAGTCTGGCTTTCCTTCACTCAGAGTAGCTGGCCATGGACCTGTGCACTGCTCAAGCCACAAAGTCCTCTGTGACTGCAGCCAGATTGCTGTGTCAGGGAGGGTGCCTGCCTTGTGTTTTGTGGTATTTCTGCTCAGGATGCTTTCCCAGAGAGGAGCTGTGTGGCAGGTACTGTGCTGGGTTGTTGAGGAAAATGTAATATAAATCTCTTTTTGTTGCTCAGTGTCCCAAGATGCGCCGCTATGCGTTTGAGCTGAAGACAATAGACAAGTACAGCCACTATCTTGCAGCTGAAACTGAGCAGGAGATGGAGGAGTGGCTGGTGACTCTGAGGAAAATCATTCAGAGCAATACTGAGAGTTTGGTGCAGGAGAAGAAAGATGCTGTGGAATCTGTGCAAGGTCAGTTTGTAAACAAACACCTCCCTTCTCCACAGGATGCAAGCAGTGTGCCTGGAGAAGTGTACACTGCACTGTGTCTAATGCAAGAATTGTGGCTGACACACAGTATCATGCAGAGGGGCTTAGTATAACACAGATGATAGTCTGAGGAATAAAAGTGGAGGGAAATCTGACCCTTCTTCTGGAAGGGAAATCCATGGCAAAGTTTCAAGGGTCCTGGAAAATTGGCTCTGTGAAGTTCTGCTTTGGACAGACCTAGCAGACTGTAATAGTACACTTTGATACTGGTAATGCATGGAAAAATCTTATTCCCAAGGAATGGAAAAGTCTCTGTAAACTGTTTCTGTGCTATTGTTAGCAAATACTGCAGGGTGCTTTCTGGCAGAGTGCTGCTCCTGCAGTTGTTTTGAACATCTGTTTCTTGTGTCCTTGCAGATGATGAATCAAGCACGCAGGGAAAGTCAGAGAACATCCTGGAGAGCCTGGAGAGAAGCATGCATCCAGAGCTGATGAAGGTATTGTGTTTGCAGGATCACTCTCACCACCCACAGCTACTTCTGTCCAGCTTATCTGGGAGAGGGATTTTCTGCTTTCTGTGTCTCCAGCTCTGGGCAGGCACCAGGTCCTGGTGGGATCTCTTTTATCCCACCCGTCTGTCTCACCCATGGTTTGAGGCTGCCTGTTCCTCACCTCCAAGTGTGGTTGCCTGCTTTTTCCTCCAGCTCAGCCACATCTCTGCACTGTCCTTGCACCATGGCAGTGCTTTGCATCAGCTCATGTATCACAAAGTCAACCTGAAAAATAATTATTTTGTTTAGACTCAGTTCTTCCCCAACAGCGAGTGTTTGCCTCTGTGTGTCCAGGCACTAATATCAATGCCTTCCTTTGTCCTAGTATGGAAGAGAAACAGATCAACTAAACAAACTGAGCAGGAATGATGGAAGACAAAACATCTTTTCTTTTGACCCAGAAGTCCAGGTAAACACTCCCACATTTTCCAGTGTGAGGTTTTGTTCACTGTGTCACCTCCCTTGTCCCCTTGCATGGCCACAGGGTTTGCCTGCAGAGGCAGCATGTTTTCCAGTGGAGAACAGAAGTGCAGCCCATATGCCTGTCAGTGAGAGCCAGTTCGTGGCTTCTCTGGGTAAATATTAAATAATAAAATAAAAAATTCTGCATCAGTGGGAGCAGAATGGGATGTCACTGCTCAGGAGGCAGCTCTGACACAGGGAAGAGTTGCAGCAGCCCCACACTGGCCTCCCTCCAGCTTTGCTGGCATTTGTGTGATGTATTTGATGTTGCTGGATTTCAAACCAGATTTTCTCTGGGGCTCTGAGATGTTCTCATGCTTGCAAGAAGAAGCAGTAGAAGAGGTGTTGCATGGATAGCTGCAATGCTGCATGGGCTCAGCACACCTGGTGCAGGGAGCAGTGGTGGCAAAGGCCATGGCAGGGTTTCCAGGGACAGCCTCAGTCTTCAGGGAGTTTTCAAATGTAGGGACAGAGAAACTGAGAGAAACACCCTGTGCTGGTCTGGTGCCCTGGAGCAGGGGTCGTTGTCTGTTGGCCTGTTTTCTTCTTGGCTTTGAACTTGGATTCTCTGCCAGGGTCCAGGTGTGGGATTTCAGTGGAATGAGCTGCAATTGCTAACAGAGTTTTAGAGAACTGTTCCAGGGCACGTCATGGTTTCTGGTTCTCCTTCTAGTTTGGCGTGTTCACACCTGTGAAATAGAACATTCTGGTTTAACAAGGAAATGCAATTAGTCTTTAAAAGGTTTAGTTGTACCAAATGAGCTTTTCTGTTGGCAATTCTTTAGAGTCTTTAACAGAAGGAAGATAAGCATCCAGGAGGCTTTTTGGTTTCTTTTTTCTTTTTTCTTTTTTTTTCAGGAGAAGCTCTGAGAAGCTTCCTATGTTCTAGTCAGATAATAAAAATGGAAATTTTATTCAGTGTGGAGCAGTCCAGTCAGTGCTGGTACATACACACTTGTATGCCTGGTGCTAAGGAAACTGGGAGCAGGAACGTATACCTGCAATGTATTTTCCTCACGAAAAGAAAACAGGGGAAGCAAAAATACCTGCTGGTATTTAGGGGTGTTTGGTAGTTCTGTCCCCCAGTGCCTCAGCCAGAAGGCTGAGGGTCTTTGGTGGCAAGTGTGCCTGCCCTTTGAGGAGGGTGGGTGTGGAGGCACAGGCCAGGCGTGGTGTGCTGGGTTAGGGAGGAGGTGATGATGGTCGAGCCTGTCTGGATTTCCCAGCCAGACACTCTCTGCTGGTTCTAGCCATACCCCATACCAGTTACTGCTGTGCATCTGGACCTGCCTTCCACTTTGAAATGTTGTTTACAATCCCACGAGTGCCTTCTCTGTATTTCAGGCACGGGGGCCATCTCTCAGCTAGCCATGCCTTCATGGTGCAAGGCACTTTCCTGATCGTTGTCTTAGGTTCCGCTTTCTTGCCCAAGCTCTCAGTGGTGTTTGGGAAGATCCCCTGGGTTACAGCAAAGCAGGAAGGAACTGAAATCATTCTGAGGTTTAGTTTGCTGTGCTCTACAAAACAGGTTGCTAAAAATTGATGCATACCCATGAATTCATGTCCTGAATACCTTTGTGTAACACCATCAAATCGCACTCATTTGTGAAACGCGTTATACCTTTTCGACCACCTTAAAAAATTGATAAAGATAGTATTGGCAGATCCCTTAACATTTTTCAGGGGGTTGTTTTCTTTTTTAATGAGACCAGATGTGTTTGTTTGCTGTCTAGAGACTCGATTTCTCAGGGATTGAGCCAGATGTGAAGCCTTTTGAGGAAAAGTGCAGCAGGCGCTTCGTGGTTTGCTGCCAGGACTTCTCCCTCAACCTCCTTGCTCAGCTGAGCGACAGGGCAGAAGAAGGACCCACCAACGTAAGGGGAGCTCCAGCATGTCCTGCTTTGTCTTTTTTCCTCTCACCAGCAAGAAAATCCCTTGGCAAATTAATCTGTGGGGTTAAAACTATCCCACTTTGCCATGAGCACCAGTGGGACCTGGACGGGAATGACTGCTGGCCCAGAGTCCAAAAACATGTTTGGGGACAGGGTCTGTGCTGATGTGCCTCAGCCTGCCAGAAACTGAGCCTGCTGGGAAACCTGTGGTTCAGGGGCACAGGGAATGGGGGCTGTGTGTCTGCCAGATCCTGCATCCCTGTCAAAGTCCTGTTGGTAAATGATTAGGCTCCATCCTCAAACCACTCGCGGCTATGTTTTATTTTGTTTCCCCTAATGGCAAGGGATTTCCCTGTTCTGGAACCTTCCTCTGACTCCCAGCCTAACTCTATTCACAGTCACTTTATTATATGCATTTGTTATTGTGCCAAAGTTGTGCCTTAGCCTAAAAACCCTTGTATTTTCTGAGCCTCTGATGTCTGTAGGCAGCTATCACATCTCACCTCAGCCTTTGTTCTGCTGGGCTGAATAGACCAGTCTCCTCCAGTCTTTTCTCCCAAAACAGATCCCTGCTGTCACGTCCTGTGCTTGCTGTGGCTGGAGTCAGCCCTTTCTGCAGGGGTGCAGAGCAGCAGGGGAGGCAGGGGCACCAGCACTGCCCCATCTCTGCTGATGCTGCCCTGTCTGATGCCTGGTGGAATCACAAAGGCTTTTTTGTGGTGGTTTCATATTGGCAGCTCACAGCTCTGAGACACCAGGCTCAGTAACTCCCAGCAGATGGATGCATTGCTAATAGCAAAGATTCTTTTTATCCATCCTTAATCAGGTCCAGAGTGAGACCTAATCAGCACATTTTCAGCATTGATGTACTGCCTCCAAGTCATGCTGGAATGTCTTGGGCATGCTACAGTTTTATCTTCAGGCCTGCATTTTTATCTTTCCATGGATGCATGCCTACTAGGATGTTTGAATTAGAAATACATGAATTATTGCCACTTGCCTGGTGCTGTCAAGGTCAGTAGCTACAAAGCAGTTGGCAGATTTTGCACATGCATTTCCTCAGCAGTGTCAGCCTTGTATTTGAGCTCTCCTGGCTGGGAGAGCTAACTTTCCTCCTGGGATAGCATCTGGGGAACATTTTGAGTGTCACAGTTGAGCCATCCAGAGCTGCTGGGCTTTGGAAAATACATATAGTGATCTTTAGTAGGTGATCATAAACACTCTTAAGCTGATTTCTTACTGCAAAATGATAAACAGCTCTGATAAATTGAGTTCATCTCTTCTTCCTGACTTCATCATTTACCACTTATATAAAAAACATATGGATTTCATTCTTTATACTTCATATAGCTTTGTTCAAACTGACTAGATCAAAATGCAAGAAGGTGCAGGAAAAAAATGAATCTTATATTTATAAAGCAAATAAACATGGATTGTGTGTCACAGTTGTGTAAAATGCTGGTGTACCAAACTAAAGGAACAAACAGGAGCAGAAGTTTCCTTGCCAGGGAGAGCAGTGCTGTTGATACTCTTGACCCGGTGCCGTGCATTTTTTATGACACTCATATTCAATACAATTTCCAGGTTGAGCCCTTTTTCCTAAGCTTGGCATTATTCGACCTGAAAAGTAATTGCAAGCTCTCAGCTGACTTCCACGTGGACCTGAACCCTCCATGTGTCCGGGACATGCTGCAGGAGAGCTCGGAGCCCGGGGCCGAGGGCACCCCGGGGCCCGCTGCTGGCCAGAGCCTGGTGCACGGCGTCCCCGAGTCCTGCCTGCGCTACGTAAAACGGGTCAGTGCCTCGCTTCCTCCTCCTTCTGTGCCGCTGCTGGGGCTGTTCCGTGACTTTGGAGTGTGCTCTTGTCCTCTGTGTGGTAACCAGAAGCCAGCTTTTCTCTTGAGCTGCGGTCGGTGTCGAGGTTGCCGTGCGGGGCTCGCTGGCAGTGACAGGCGCGGTGCCAGGAGAGCTCTCCAAGACTTGGCCGTGCTCGAGCCTGGTGAGCCCCTGTGGCCATGCCCGGGGCAGGGGGTGTGTGGGGTGTGGGAGGGCAGTGGGGTGTCAGGCCAGACCCCTGGTGCACGCTGGGGTCCTGCTGTGTGACAGCTGCTGCCTCTCTGTTGCAGGGGGTGTTCTCCGTGACCAACCCGCACACAGAGATCTTCCTGGTGGCCCGAGTGGAGAAGGTGCTGCAGGGCAGCATTGCCCACTGTGCAGAGCCCTACATGAAAAACTCAGACCCTGGGAAGGTACTGGCTGGGCCATGGGTGCATCAACTGAGTGGTGCTGTCTGCTGCTGCTGCAGGGAGTAGAGGGGGCTGAAACGTGGCTTGTTCTGCAGCTCTTCAGTTTCTTGCTGGCAAAATCTTTGTCCATTCTGCTTGCACTGTTCCCAGGCTGGCTTCATTTGGGCTGTCCTGGGAGACTTGATTCCTTCCCCTGGAAAGAGGCACAGGATTAGAAAGAGCCAAGCATTTGGGGCCAGACCTTTCCCCATTACACTTCAGCAAGCCAAAGCCTGGGGTGGCAGGAAAAAGTGGGACACTCCATCTCCAGAATGAAGTGTCTGCATAGACTCATGGAATCCTTTATCTTGGAAAAACGCTATAAGATCATTGAGTCCAACCATTAACCCAGCACTGTCAACTCCACCACTAAACTGTGTCCCTAAGCACCACATCCACACGTTGTAAACACCTCCATCACTTCTCTGGGCAGCCTGTTCCTGTGCTTAACAGCCCTTAGAGTGAAGAAATTTTTCCTGACATCCAAGGGCGAGGCCCTACAGTTTGCCACCAGCTTCAATCTCTGCATCCACGTAGAGCTGATGCTGCCTTGTTGCAGCCAGTCAAGAATAGTTCCTGAAAAGTCTATTATGGAATACCTGGTAATGATGGCATTCCCTTGGCACACTTTGTAAGTCTGTGTAGGGTGAGCCAAGTGCAGTCAGTTTTGGAAAGTACCCTAACACCTTTTGGCAGATAGAGCACTAACAAATACCCTGACATTTCAATCCCAAGGAGGTTTAACAGGACTGCCCACAAGGTGTGCTGCTGCTTTGCAGACTAACAGCTGTGGGTGGTGTGAGGTGACAGACAGGGATGGCTGTGAGCTGCGCCTGGAGCAGACGGAGAGATGCTCCTCCCTGGAGACTGCAGCGCCCTTCACTGCTGTTCTGGGGCAGCATCAAAGCCCTGGCCCACGCTGACCTGCCTCTCTCGTGTTTTGCAGACTGCCCAGAAGGTCCACAAGGTGGCCAAGCAGGTGTGCAGCCGTCTGGGGCAGTACCGGATGCCCTTCGGCTGGGCTGCCAGGTCAGTGCCTCGGGCTGGGCTCTGCCCCCAGTGGGAGCTGCTGCTGCTGCTGCTGGGAGTGACCTGGGACATGGCTGGGCAAGGGACCAAGTGCCTGAAGTCAGTGAGGTTGCAGCTGAGGGCAGAGTTTGGCTCCAACTCCCAAGAAAGAATTGGGATTGGCCTGAAGTGCTCTATCTAGAATTAGAAATAAAATATTAAAAAGTAAACAGCTCTAGGGCTGGGAAGGCAGTAACCTTCCTACCGACCTGCAGCTACTGCTGTCAGGGCAGAACATTCCTGGGCACAGAATACAGTGTCCCATGCTACCAAGGGAATCACTGCAGAAATTCCCTCCTGGCACCAGCCATAGCCAGGGACAGGATGAGAGCAGAGGACTTCCCAGCCTGGCAGTGGCAATCAGAGGGGTTTGTTTTCTATCTTAAACTCTGCTTTAATTAATGTTCTTGGGAATGGCTGGAGGTAGTGATCCCATTCCCTTGCTGTTCTTTTACTGGGACTCATAAGTATGTCAGTACTAACTCTTTTAAAGCTCAGTCAGAGGAAGGCAAGCTCATCTACTGCCTCCTAGTGCTAAATTGCATTTTGGTGCTGGGAACGACATGGGAGCACAGAAAGCTGTCACAGTGGGCTGGAGTTTGGGGGTACACCACTTGCAATGTGTATTCTTGAGCTGGGTGTTCCTGTGGTGCTGGCTGCTCATCTTTGGGATGGTGGTTTTGGGATGCAGCTGGATCCTGGCAGCCAGCACTCAGCCCTCTTCCAAGTGGACCCTCCCCCTAATGGTGGGCTCTGGGTGGGCATTGACTTAGCCTGGCTTCAGGTTTGCTCCTGCTGGCTAAAGAGCTGCCTTTGGATGCCAAAGAGCTGAGTGGGCTGCTGCAGGGAGCTGTGTTTCTCTGCATCCCTGGAACATTTCCCCTGTGGGTCTCAGAGGAAAGTGCTTGCACAGGAGCAGAGTGCAGATGCTTTAATGCTGTTATACACAGACACCCATTATTTTCAAGGGCAGAGATGCTGGTTTTCATCCAGGGCAGAGTCCAGTTTCCTGCTCTGACTCAGGAGGAATCTGGTGCATGTCCCCAAACTGGTTTTTATCGTGCACTCCTTTCCTAGGAGGGTTTCTGTGCTCTGACCCCATGTGCAAGTGGGAAGGTGCTTTACCACTTGGTGTTGGTGGGAGGGGATGGAAGGGTGTTAGGGATTGTGGACCAGGCTTGAAAATGGGCTGAATGTGTCCTGACCTGGCTGGAGAGAGGGGAATGGGTAATGATGTCCTGTGTGATTTCATGTGGCAGCTGCAGCCTGGGGGGGGCTAAGCACCAGGTCAGGGTGGGAGAACGGGCAGGACTGTGGTACTGGGAGCAGTCACAGGCCAGTGAACCCCTTGCCTGATGAACTGCCTTTCAGATGTGTCAAAGACCTCAGTGTCTGTATATTTGCCAACATTTAGAAAAGACACCTCTTTGTTTCTGCAGGCCGGTTTTCAAAGACTCCCAGGGCACTCTTGATGCTGATGGAAAATTCTCACCCCTGTACAAGCAAGACAGTGGCAAACTCTCAAATGAAGATATGCTGAAGCTTTTAGCGGAGTATAAGAAGTAAGTGAGAGACTGGTGCAGGGGCTGGGCAGGCATTTTGACATACATTTTTAAACTGTTAAGTGTAGTAAGCATGAGATGGCAATTTCTGAAATACTTGGAGGGTAGCAAAAAGTGCTGGTGATGTGCTCAGCACCTGAGCTTTCAAGGTTCACACTCTTGTTCCTCTCTCCCTAACACAGACCAGAGAAGACAAAACTTCAGGTCATTCCAGCCCAGTTAAATATCATCATCAAAGACATCCCACTGGACTTCACAAGTAAGGATCTTGGGTCTTAACAGAAGTGCTGATGGCTTGAGCCTCAGGAGTTAATGCCTCTAGGGGGGATTGTGCTGTTGCATTAACAAGAGTGTCTCAGGGCTGCCATCAGAAATGAGTAATTCAGCACAACCACTGACTTGTGAGTCTTTCTGATGCATTCTGTGGAGATGTGGTCCAAGTGCAGAGATTTACCTGAGGGATTGATCCTTTTTACATTTTGGCCATCACATCCTAAATCTGAAGGAAGCCAGCTGCCTGCTTTTGCACCAATCTCATATCACATTTTTGGTCCATAACTTTGTAGGGCTTTGCAGTCATGGTCAGTGTGATTCTTTACCTTGCATTTAAAGAAACTGAAGCAAAGAAAGGACTTATGATGTGTTCAGTGTAATTCCATGGGCTTTTGTCAACTCCTGTCGCAGGTTATGTAGGCTAATCTCCTGTCCAAAATGCTTTTTTAGTGGACCTAATTTTTTCAGTTCTTATTCTCTTATAGATTGTTTCACAGCTTCCTACATTCCTATAAAACCTTTTGAGAAGGGCTGTGAGGACATTGCAGTTGAAGTGGAGGAGCTTGTCCCAGAAGTTGCAAAATACTGTTACCCCTTCACCGTCTACAAAAACCACCTCTACGTGTACCCCTTGCACTTGAAGTACGAGAACCAGAAGGTGTTTGCAAAGGTGAGTGACCTGGGGAGAGACCTGGGAATCATCTGGGGAGAGGCCTGGAGAGTGACCTAGGGAGTGACCTGGGAATCACTTGGGGAGTGACCTGGGGAGTGACCTGGGAATCACCTGGGGAGTGTCCTGGGAATGACTGGGGAGTGACCTGGGGATCACCTGAGGAGTGTCCTGGGAATGACTGGGGAGTGACCTGCAGTCAGGCTTGGCGTGGGCCAGGGTGATGCTGCTGCTCATACTCCTGTTCTCCCCCATTTCAGGCAAGGAATATTGCTGTCTGTGTTGAGTTCAGGGATTCAGATGAAGCTGATGCCAGGCCATTAAAGGTGGGTTAATGCTGCCTTTTAACAGGGCTGCCGTTTGGCCACTGCTGGGTGCTCTGTACCAGCCAGGCTGAGCAGGGCAGGAGAAAAGCACTGTTTTTTCCATGGTCGCTGGTTTAATTTACCCAGCTGATTTAGGGTGGCAGGAGCGTGAATTCAGCTGTTAATTTGTGTTTGCAGTGCATATATGGCAAACCCGGGGGCCCTCTGCTGACCACAAACGCGTTCGCTGCCGTGCTGCATCACAACCAGAGCCCGGAGTTCTATGATGAGGTAAAAGCACCTGGGGGAAACAGCACATTTTCCTGGATGCTACAGTGCCAAGGGGCTTTTCAGGATGCCTCCTTTTCTAGGGCTGGGTGAAATAAAAGATAATCACCAGCCCTTTGCCTCAGCAGAAGGGCTCAGCAAAGCCAGAGCCTTTGTCAGTTTTTGATGTCAGTTTGTTTTCTGCTGTCTTTACTGTCACGCTTTGTGCACTCCAATCACACACCCCCATTAATAAGTAATGTTGCAAATGTGGTGGAAATGTTAGGAGTTATTTAAGATGGGTAAGAATTGTCTTGTGTAACTGCATACAACATAACATTTGTGAAATGAAATAGAACTAAAATATTACTCCACAACTAAAAATACAGTCTGATCTATCATGATATCATTTTAGATTAAAATTGAGCTTCCAATTCACCTCCATCAAAAGCATCATTTGCTTTTCACCTTCTATCATGTCAGCTGTGAAATTAATACAAAGGCAACATCGAAAAAACAAGACACCGTTGAAACTCAAGGTATGTTCAATGCTTAAATTACTTCTGTTGGAGCGTAAAAGGCCAAGATAAAACAAATGGGACATTGAAAAAAAAGTGATTAGCATACCAGCCTATATGAATTTTCTTTTCTAAAATCAACCTAATATGAAATTGTAGATCAAAAATGGATAAACTCCATGGGTTTAGTTTATATTAAATCTCAAATTTTTGCTGCAGTCTGACAGCTCTTTCTGTATGTTCCTGACTTGACTTGCACAAATGTGCTGTTGTCAGGCAGGTCACCAGTAAAAACTTGCTGTGAGATCAGGGTTTCAGGGGCTGATCCTGGCAACACTGGGCATGTGCACCCCTGGGTCCCGCTGGCTGGGAAGCCTCTCCCTTCATCCAAAGGAGAAGGACCTTTAGCATGGTGCCCAGCCATGGCTCATGCACTGTTCCTGGTCTGTGCTGTGTCTGAATTTTGTTCCCCGGGTAAAAAGTGCATTAATGCCACTGCTGTGGTCAATCCCTTGCTAAAGCCACTTGCACAGCTGCAGGTTTGGACTTCCTGGGGTGAGCTGAGCATGTGCCAGTGTGTGTGCTGACCCTGCTGCCGTGGTTGTCTCCGCAGTGGGGTTCAGCTGGGTGCCGCTGCTGAAGGACGGGCGCATCGTCCCCCTGGAGCGGCAGCTGCCCGTGGCATCCGCCCTCCCCCCCGGCTACCTGGGCCTTGCAGACAGCGACTCACGCAAGGTAGGAGGCCATCTGAAGTGGGCTTGAATGGAAAAGGAGGAGGGAAGCTGAGCTTTGGTTACCACTGTAAATTCTGGGTTTCTGTTGGTGCTTTGCTCGGGTGAAAAGATCTCTACTGCAGGGGACACCCAAAGCTTAAAGTTCTTAGGGCTGGGAGGCAGGACCCCTTTAATTCCACTTTTCTCTGGGTATTCCAGTTGCAGAGGGTATTTCTGTGGTGGGCTGGGCTGTTGCAGATGGCACAGAGCAGGAGAATGAGCCCGTGCTCTGTGTGCCTGTTTTCATGGGGAAAGTGGTGTTTGTGCGGCGTGGGCCCCTTCTTCCACCCCAGCCAGTACCTTCTGAGCAGGTGAGCCACCTTCTCACCCTAGTCTGAAACCAAGTACTTGGATGTTGTGTGTTCACAGCAGCCCAGCACGGATGCAAAGTGGGTGGATGGAGCAAAGCCACTGTTTAAAATCAGAATCCATTTGGACTCTACCATTTACACCCAGGTAAGTCAAACTTTAAAAACTTCCAGCACAAATGTAAAGGAAGAAACTGCTGTGTCTCTACTACAGCTAAGCCATAGGTGGTGTGGGAAAGAGGGCCCTGGTACCTGCTCTGCAAAGCAGCACTGAGATCCTTCTGAAGCAGCATGGCTGGGATCTGCTCCTTGGCTGGATGGGGCGAGATAATCTGTGACTGAATGAGCCTAGGGAGGGGCTGATGTTTCCTTGGCCGAAATGTCGAAAAGACGTCTAAGATCGTCGAGTCCAAGTTTTTTAAAAAAAAGTTCTCTGACAGCAGCAGACACAAGAAAACAGCCCTGGTTTCCCTTGGAAAGCAGTTCAGGCTGTTTTACCAAGTCCTGGTGTGTTCTGCTGTATTATGGCAGCGGTGGACTTCCCTAAGTTTCACATGATGTGCAGCAAAGATCCCCAGCCCGTTCTCTAGGGCTGTCCTGTCAGCACTGCTCCTGGGGGAATGCCCTTGGCTGGATGCTGTCAGGTACATTTACATTCAGAGCAAATGGCTTTCAGCATCTAATTCTGTTTTTGGAGATTTACTGACTCTGTATAGCACTGAGAGCAGCATAGTAGTTGTGCTTCCCCCCAAAATTACATTTCCAGATGCTTTTCAGAGTTAAATAACCCAGTAATTAAATCTAACCTTGGAGGAGGAGGGAGAGTACTGGGAAGGAGAGTCTTTCCCAGATGGACAGTAGGAGGGTGGTCATGCAGGGGGTGAGGCAGTTTCTGTGAGTTGCAGCTCTTGGGAGGGTTTCTGTTTCTCCAGGCCAGTGCTGGCTGGGGACTGGAGCTCAGGGTAGTACAACCACAGGAGAGTTTTAACACTGCTAGAACTTTTGTGCTTAATATTGAGGTTAGCTGGGAGCCAGGGGCTGAGCAGGGGATGGGTATGTTGGAAAAGACAGAGAGCAGTCCTGGGAGATGGCAGCTGGGGGCCAGAAGTGCCACTGGCAGGGACTTGGGGTTTGCTGGGGACATGGCCCACTGCTGCAGGTAAGGCACCAGATTTCCAAGTGCAAGTGACAAAGTAGGGGCTGACAGATGTTGAGGCTGCTGAACTGAATTTGTTTGTCTTTTCCAGGACATGCACTTGCACAAATTCTTCCACTACTGCCAGCTGGTTCAGGCGGGAGCTAAGGAAGTACCAGGAGAGCTTGTTAAATACCTAAAGGTGAACAGTGCCTGTCGCTGGGCTTCATTTGTGTTCTTAGAGACTGTCAGCAAATACCCAGAACCCTGCCCTCTGGGAACACACCCTTGCGGGGCCAGTGCATTGTGCAGTACCCTTACTTTTGCTTTATCCTGTCAGGTGGGCTGGTATTTAAATGAAATGTTTTTTCATGTCCCTACATTCATTTATCTTGTCAGACGATTTTCTGTGTGCTGCTTCCCTCTGCCTTCCACAAGGGATAAAACAAGCAGTCAGCATTGCCCTGCCATGCTCATGGCAAAGCTCTCTCCTGGTGGACTCACACACTCCTCCCTTGCTGCTCTAGGTTTGATTCAGCCCTTTAAACTGTAGCACAATTCCTTGTTTTCTGGAAGCCCTTTCGAAACGGGAGATTTTTTTCAGGCTGAAAAAGATATGCGAGATTATCAGCCAGTTGAATTTGAGCAGAGGTGACTTATGACCTAGACCCATCTTTCTGGTAATCACTGCAGCATGAGTAAGGGCTTTGAAGCAGGTCCAGCAAGGGCTTCTGCAGGAAATATTCTTGGCTATTTACTGTCCTTGTTTCCTTCCATAACTGCCTGTTTTTCAGAGTGGTGCTGTAGCAACAGCTCCACTTCCAGTGGTGGGGATGTATCACCACAGGGTTACTTAATATGTGTCAGATAAGGTATAAATATTTTAAGAAATAGAAAGAATAGCAGGTTTTGAAGCCAAGCACTAAAGTCACAGTAGCTTTGTTGTGAGCATTTTGCCAAGTCCCAGTCCTGCCAAGCCCCAGCACCCTCACTGCAGCCTAGACAGGGAGATGGGTATGTGCTAACCACAAGTGAGGGATTCTTAACCACCACCACCACCTCAATAATTGCAGTAATTTAAATAGCTAGATACAGATTTAAAAACCTTTTGTTAGATTTGCAGGTTTGAAAACTGAAAATGAAACATGCTGTATTTCCTAGACTCATATCATGAGCTTCAGGCACAAGAGCTGTGAGTCTGGTGGAGGGTGTGTGCACGAGGCCATCCCGACCTTCACCAAGTGCCTTAAACTCCATTTGCAATAGCAAGCTGTGCTCTTTGAAACGAAAAGTCTCTCTGAAAGTCATTGGGCAGCAGTTTTTCATGCTCCAAAGGCATTTGTGGAAATGGGACTTCAAAAAACTGGCACAAGTGATGAGAAGACTTGAAAGCAAAACTTCAGCCTTAAATTCTGGGCTTTTCAAATCGAATACTGGCATGTGACCTTTAACAAAGTCATAGCTGCCTGCACACATCTGTGAGGAGGATTAATGCCTGCCATGAGTGATCCCTGAAGGTTTGCAGCTGGGATCTGTCAGAAGGAGGCAGCAGCTCCCAGTTGCCCTGTCCTGCAGTGGGCTGAAGCATTTCCACACCCTGCAGCCTTTGCCTGTCCCATTGCCACAGAAATGCCTGCGGACTGTAAACGTTTAACATCTGCAACACATTGAACTAAAAGTGTCTGTGTTCTGAACATTTGTTTTAGTGTTTGCACGCCATGGAGATCCAAGTAATGATTCAGTTTCTACCTGTAATTCTTATGCAACTATTTAGAGTCCTCACAAACGTGACGCAGGAGGATGAAGTAGCTGTCAACTGCACCATGTGAGTGCTGGGTGAGCCATCCAGTGACAAATGCAAGGCCACCGATGGCAGCGCAAAGCAGGCTCTGGTTTGCAGAACAGGGTGCTGAGGGACAGCACTGGCTGTCCCCTGCTGCTGTCTTCCCATGGATCATGTGGGTGGCGTGGGGGCATTGTGGGGCTCTTCTGGGAGTGGTGTGAGGAAAAACGTGGTACTGTAAAGATACTGCTGGTTTGTGTCTCTAAAGAGAAAGGGTTTGGTGGCTCTGGGAGCCGAGTTGTCTTATCAAAAGGCTGCAGAGTGCCCAGGTGTGTCCCAGCTGCAGGCAGCAGATGTGAGGAGCAGTGTCCTGGTCTCATCCTAACACGCCAGTCCCTGGTGCCAGGATTGCTCCTGGGGCTGCTGTGGCAGTGCTGCAGCTCCAGCTGTGCAGCCCCGAGAGGGCAGCAGCGGCCCGGGCAGCACTGCAGGGAGCTGCAGCCGGAGCACCTTCCCTGCCTGGCACCAGCAGCGACCCCTGGAACCCAGAGATGCACTAAAACATGCAAAACGTGCACCTTCCTCCCGGTGCTGCCTCGGGTGCTGGATGTCACCTGCTCTGGTCCCATACAGAGCATGCCTCCGTGTACCAGGAGCATCCTGCTGCCATGGAACTGCAGGCTGGAGGCTGAGCCCTGGTCCCCAGGGCGTGGTGCCTGTTGCAGTCACAGCCCTGCACCATATGGTGTGGGTCATGAGAACTTTTCCTTTGTGGAGCACTGTATTTCCACTCTGTTTGGAGAGGGCGAGGACAGGGCAGCAGGTGACCCCAGGTACCTGTTGGGTGACCAGCTCCCACCTTCATTTCCAGAGATTTTTATCAAAGCTTGGCCTGATACTTTCCAGTTTGTCAGTATCGTTCTGTTTAACAACATCTCTTTTTTCATCAGATTTTCATAGTGGAATTTAAAACCCACTTTATCTGATAAATGGCTTGTAAACTCCTCCTTGTGGTTTGGCCTGTGGGGTCTGTGACAACATGCAATGGCTTGTTGTTCCCTCTGGCTGGGAGTGGAATGTAAATCCCCAGCAGTGGCTGGGGAAACCAGGCTCTTGCTGCCTTGATCAGCCACCTGGGAGTGAGTCCAGAGGGCTGGCATGCTCTCCAGCGCCTGCTTGACCTTCCCACACTGCAAGGCAACAGCCCAAAATAAGCCAGTGCATGTAACAAGGAGCATGTGATGTAAATAAATTTTTAAAAAAAGGAGGCTTCCAGAATTAATAAATCCTGGGGATGCAAGGAGGTGTCAGATTATAACAACGATGGAAAATGTTCTGTCTCGCCTCTTTGTGCAAGGAGTCCTGAGTGCTAAAAGTCAGCTTGTCTGGGCCATTCCTGGGCCAGCACAGAAGTGGAGAAGAGGCTTTGGGCACCTCCTCTGAGTGCTCTGTGCCAGGGTGGTGCAGGAGCTGTGTGGGGGTGCTGGCCTGCAAGAGCTGTCGCTCTGCAAATGAGGCCGTGTCAGTGGTGAGGTTTTGGGGTTGGGCAGGTGGGACACGTGTGTGTCTGCTCTGCGAGGCAGAGGAACTTGCCCTTGTGTGGCGTGCTGAACACAAACCACGTTTCTCCCCAGGGTTCTTCTGCACATCGTGTCCAAGTGTCATGAGGAAGGTCTGGACCACTACCTGCGCTCCTTCCTAAAGGTCAGTGGTGACACTCTGCCCTCCAGAGTCCCTGCTGGGGGCAGCTCACCCTGACCCTGCTCTTCTTGCCTCAGTACGTCTTCCGAGCCGAGAAACCCAGTGCCAAGCAGGCAAAGATGACCCACGAAATCCTGGTGCTTTCCATGGCCACCATCTTGAAGCAGTCAGCAGATTTTCTGGCCATCAATAAGCTCCTCAAGGTGAGGTGTTGGCAGTACTTGGCTGCCAAGGGTAGAGGGGAAGAAAAGGGGGTCTGGTGTAAAGCCCAACACTTATCCCCATCTAAACCCGCTGCAGGGGCAAACCTTCCATGCAAACCAACTCCTTACATCCACATCCTTGAGGTTCTCCCCTGTTATTATGATATTTTATGAAAAATCCTTTGCTAGAATTTTTCTCTTAGCCGAGAAGCCTCAGAAAAGAAATGTAAACAGTTAACTATCTGATGGCTGTGGAATGTGGTCTGGACATTGTTTACCAACAGGCGCATCTTAAATTAGTCTATGTGGATTGTTTTCACTTGATGACCAATCACAGCCACCTGTGTCCAGGCTGTGAGCAGTCACAAAATTTTGTTATTCATTCCATTCCTGTTCTTTCTAACCTTCTGATGAATCCTTTTCTCTCTATTCTTTTAGTGTAGTTTTAATATAGTATTTTAATATACTATATATCATAATATAATAAACCAACCTTCTAAAACATAGAGTCAAGATTCGTGTCTCCACACATGGAGTATCCACCACACTCCCCTTAAAACAGAGATGAATTCTTGCGGAGAGCCTCTGTTTAGGCCCATGGCAGGAGGCAGCAAAAGGCTGTTCATTTTGCCAGTTTTACCTATTTTCCTCAAGCCACACCTGAAGGGTGACTCATGGGAGGCAAACTGAGTTTCTGCCTCTCTGGGCTTGCACCCCAAACTCTGCTGGTTCTTGGCAGGGTGCATTGGGGTGCGTTCCCACCCTAAGACTGGCAGGACATCTCTGGGTAGCAAAGGCATCTATTCCCAGGCAGCTGTGCAAGCACAGCTGTGCTTACAGAAACCCACTTGCATGTGAGCTTTCCCTCCCACACAGGTGCTTCCCCACATAGTCAGGGAATATCAGTCATGTTCAATCCTGCTGAGAAAAGTAATAGTATTCTTTGTTCATTCTAGTACTCGTGGTTTTTCTTTGAAGCACTGGCAAAGTCCATGGCAATGTACTTACTGGAAGAAAACAAAATCAAGGTAAATATAAATTTGGTCAATGTTGCATTACAATACTGTCACAAACTCCTCCAAAAGCTTTTCTGAAAAGCTCTGTGACTATTTAAAAATAAAACAAACCTGCCAAGCTGAACAGCTTCACTTTCTTTTTCACTTTACTTTTCCCTTTTCTGCCCTTTCACTCTCAGTTTTAATTTAAAGATTCCAGAAGTCCTTATGGCTTGTGCAGCCTCCTTTGCCATTACTACCTACTGCAGTTGCAGCCAATACTTTCTTTGATCACTGTTGTATTAGGAAGCGACAAAAGCAAATGCTAAAGAGCTCGTGCCTGTGCTCAGCTGTCCCAGCTGTGGCTTGCAGCCCTGAGCTGGGCTGTGCTCTTGGTTTCAGCTGCCCAGAGGCCAGAGGTTCCCCGAGTCCTACCAGCACGCCCTGCACTCGCTGCTGCTGGCCATCATTCCTCACGTCACCATCCGCTATAACGAGATCCCCGAGGAGTCCAGGAATGTCAACTTCAGCTTGGCTAACTTCCTGAAGGTCAGCGGTTTCTTTCCTTCTCCCAGGATTTGATCAGGAAAAAAAAGAGAGATTGACAATGAGAGATATGGAGCAAGCAAACAAATGTGGTTTTAATTTATCTTGTCTTTGGTTTTTTCAGTTGTAAAAATTCTCGAGGGGATAAGCTGTCCTAGGAAAGAAACCTCTTTCCAAAGAGACAGTAACTTTGTATGTTACTGAGGCTTTTCAGGCATTCCTAGCAACTGTTTGGAACCTGAAATATATATACTCTCATTTTAAATATTTTTGTTGTCCACTGGAGACTACTTAAGTAAAGTCATCCAAATGATTTCAGAGAAACAGGATCATGTATGTTTTGGAAAATCAGCAGCAACCCAGAGGATAAAATCTGGCTGCTGGCAGGACGGTAGTATGCAGGGGATTTAAGATGATTGCTTTGATTTTTAATGGTTGGTCACATATTGCTATTTTTTCTCCAGCGTTGCTTGACCTTTATGGACAGAGGATTTGTTTTTAACTTGATAAATGATTACATTTCTGGATTCAGCCCAAAAGACCCTAAGGTAAGCAGTAGGTTTCTTGAAAAGTGGTTTGCAGCTGTACACATCTACATCAGTCAGAGCTTTGTAGTGATTATTTTATACAAGTCTTGGAGGTCTTTTAGACTCTGTTCCTGCAGAGTCTTTTAGAGGTGGAGACCTCTTTGTCTGGGGTAAGAGCCTGTAGCCAGATGTTCTTTAAAGTGATGTAAAGAGTCAGAATGACAGGAAAGAGTGGTTAATGGTCTGAATGAAAAATACAAAGTCCCAAGTGACACCTGTATGCATTGACACTTAGGCAGAACAACACAAGAATTTGCCAATTATTAGTGAGTTTTACCAGATGCTATTTATTAGATAGCATAGATAGATTTATTACATTCTTCAATCCTTGTGCTACAAGTACACTGAACTGGAAGAAAATGGGCCAAACTAAAAACATACTTTGTGTTTGTCTTTTTTTTTTTTATCTCAGCTGCTGGTTGAGTACAAGTTTGAATTTCTTCAAACTGTTTGCAATCACGAGCACTACATCCCTCTGAACTTACCAATGACATTTTCCAAACCCAAGCTGCAAAGAGTTCAAGGTATGTTCTTTAAGAGATTGGCTAAAGAGCTATAATTTATTAGTGCTCATGGCTTCTGACTAGATGAACTTTGGTTTGGTGTCAAGAAAATGTATGTCCTGGTTAGAACATTAACCTCAAGATATTTTTCTGTCAGGTTTATATAATTTTGTTCCGGAATGGTATGCAGTCAGTGTTCTTGGTATTTCCTATATTTAAGTTTACTTGGGACTAGCAATATCTGGAAGACACTGCCTGTGTTTCAGTAAATAGGCAAATTGTGCAATGCAATCCTTTCCTCTCAGGAGTGTCAGCCTCCCCTGAGACGTGGGTGTCTCAAGGGGGGTCCTGTAGGGAACGGGATGCAGGAGAAAGGTGGAACTCACTGCCCTGCTGCCAGCTCTCCCTGTGGCCCCCAGAAGGGGATCCAGGTCACCTTCTGCTTCCACACTGAGCAAGGCACAGCAGTGCACAGTGTGCTCGAGCTTGCTCTCAGGCCTGGGGGCAGCCAGCAGAGCTGGAGCCCGTGCCAGTCCTTGGTGCATGCCCAGGGTGTTGGTACCGTGGCACCCTGCACACCCACCCTGCTTTCCCTGCCACACCGTGTTCTCTCTGGTGCTGAAGCTGCTCAGCACGGCGTGGAAGGGCTGAGCTGAGGCTGTGTGCAGGTGCTGTGGCTGGAGCAGCCCCTGCCAGCCCCAGGAGTGCTGCAGACAGAGCCTCATTCCCTCTGGCTCCTCATGGCTCCTCTGTTTGCCAGGTTTGGGTGCCAGCAGCCTGGCTAGTGGAGGTACTGGAGGGAAGAGTGAGGATTGGGATTCCCCATGTAAAAGCCCAGTGGATTTATGATTGTATGATGTATTCTGGTGGGGAAAGGGGATGTTTGGCTGTGCCTCACAGTGAAGCCATACAAGTCCCAAAGTGGTTCCACACACATACAAGTGGCAGAAGTAAATGAAATATCTCTTACTGTGGTAAATATCTGACCCCTCAGAGCTTTCTGGACCAGCTGCTAATCTCTTACTTCAGTTTGGCTACTTGCCTGGCATTGCTTAACAAAGAGTATTGCTAGAAAAAGAGTACTGCTAGAAACAGCCAAGGAAAACACATCCGCTGATGCTTGCTAGTGGCATGGTAACATAAGGATGCTCTTTCTTGGTTAACATTCACCTTTGCCTTTGTGATGGTTAAATTGAAAAGCTGTAAGGGCAGCTCATCTTTGCTGCTGTGTTTTGTTGTGTCTGGACCTAGCAGCTGAGGTTCACACACAGCTCCTGGCAGTGGAGCAGCCCATGCTCAGGTAGCACAGGTGCCTTTGCAGTGGTGCCTGAGCCCTGCCTGCCATGGCAGAACCGTGTGGGGTGCACCTTCACTGCAGACTTGTCTGGCTTTTTGGACAGATCTGTGGTCACAGGGCTCAGGAGGGACCCTGCTGGTGTGTCTGACCTCATCAGCCTGTGAGGGTGCAGGGAGGGGATGCCCAAACCCCTACTGCTCTGTTTCTAGGAGAAGAAGGAATAGCCCCCAGGAAGGTGGACAGAGAGAGTTTCTGCAGCTTCAGCCAGTGCAGGTGGGCAGGCAGGTTTCACAGCCCTGTCAAACCACATCCTGTTGACTTGGAGTGTTGCATCTTGGAGCAGCAGCTCTGAAACCTCCCAGCTACTGCAGGGCTGGTTGTTGGTCTGTCCCTGCTGCCTCACATGGGGACATCAGCCAGAGCCAGCCCCAAGCTCACATCAGCCAGAGCCAGCCCCAAGCTCGGCCTCATGGCCAGCAGCACACGATTAGTTTTGCAATGTTGTGATGGGACAGAATCCAAGGGATTGACAGAAGCTGGGAGTTAAGCAAAGGCCTCAGAAATAATATTAAAACATGACATACTGTCCTGTTTCTCCAAGATTATTACTTGATTTTCCAAGAGCTTTATTTGTTCCTGTGTATTCTTGCTGTCTTTTTATTTGTCCCGTTTCTTTTTACACATAATTAGATTTTTTTTCATTTGCTGTGGAACAGTTCACTTCAGTAGGTAGGTCCAACTGGGATGGTCGACTCCTCTAATGTTGAATTAAGTATGCACTTTCCAATCAAATGGAAATAATATTACATTGTTACTAATGTAATAACCATGATGTGTGACAATTAGGCATTTGCTAACATGACTAACAGTGAAAGCCAGGTAATGTTCCAGGTGGCTTTTTCTTTCCTCTGAATCAGAGTTTCACAATCCAGTAAATGCTACTTTTGAATAAATGAGTTTAAAAATATCTTTTGCAGCCACAGAACTGTTGGAGCCCTTTGGCTGGGATTTTCAAAGCTGAATGCACCCTGCCTTACCAAAGAAGAACTTTCATACCTGTGGGGTTTTGGAAAAAAAAAAAAAGTCTGAGCTGAGCATATGGCATTTGTACTTTTGGGGGAAGAACAGAGAGCTTTGGGGTTATCCCTGTGGTGGCTCTAGTTTGGCAGATGGCCTGGCAGAGGTAATGGTGTCAGGACAAGGCTGTTCACAGCAGCCCCAGTGCACACACACCCTGCACCACAGTCAGTGTGTCTGTCACTTCCTGCTGCTCTGTCCAGGCTCCTCTGCAGAAGTGATGCCTTATCCTGGTAGCAGCCTCTGCTTTGATCACAGAATCTGCCTGAGTCTGTGTGAGGTGCAGGGTGCAGGTTAAGTGAGGCAAGGTGACGAGGTACTGAGCTGGCTTTCTCTTGGCAGTCAGGGCAGCTTCTGAGGAGCTGAGCTCAGTGTCTGCTTCTGGCAAGCAGCAGCCTGGAGCCCCAGCCTGGCTCCCTGGCTGCCCCGCTGTGCACACTGGGGTGCAGACTGCTCCCTTGGCACCATCTCCTCCTTGGCATCCCTCATCCCAGCAGCACTACATGCTTCTGCTCTGCTCTCTGACCTCGAGAGAAGGAACACAGATTGCTGGGGGATGTGCAATGAGCTGCACAGCAGCACTGCTAGGGCTGGGTGGCCAGGTAAACCCACCATTTCCACTGCCCATTCCCACCCTGCTGCCTGGGTGGATGGGGATTCACAGGACAGCCCCCAGCCAGGAGCAGAGCATCCCCAGGCAGTAAGTTGTGCTGTCTTGCCCCATTTCAGCCATCTCCGACTTACAAATTACTCATAGAGAGAGAAGCTTTGCAGAGCATCACATTGCAGAAATCCTGCCTTGAACTGCTACTGAAACAGTGAGGGCTGAAATTAATGAACAGCCTGAACTGGAAGGCACCAACTTCTTTGATATGACTTAGTTCACTGCTGGAGAACTCTGTATGGTCAGTTCATCTTTTTTCAAAGATCAGTGCACTGCAGGAGAGTGGTGAACACTGTTTGAGGACTCTGTGGCTTACATGACTGTTATGTCTTGCTCTGAACAGACTCTTGGAGCATTTCCCTTAACCATTGCCTTGTTGTTTCTTTCAGATACAAATCTTGAGTACAGTTTAACTGATGAGTATTGCAGGCATCACTTCCTCGTGGGGATGCTTCTTAGAGAAGCCTCTGTTGCCTTGCAGGACAATTATGATATCAGATATACGGCCATCTCAGTCTTAAAAAACCTCCTGATCAAGCATGCCTTTGACAACAGATACCAGCACAAGGTCAGGCCTGTTTTGTTGGCTTTTTAACTTCATGTTGTTGCATTTTATGAGAAAAATTACCAGAATTTTAGATTTTGCAGAGTGCACCAGGGGTATTCTAATTGCTTTTTAGGGAACCATTGTAAATATCTGACAGTTATGGAACAACAGTAATAGCTCAGAAATCATCTAGGAAATAACTGCAGCCCTCTTGCTCATGCTGAATATTTAGGTAATTACCCCAAAACCGTTAAGGAGCTTGAGAGAGTTTGTTTGACAAAATTAGGACATCAGTGATGTTCTGGTCTTGGGCCTAATTCATGTCCTGTATTAATATGCTGTAATCAGGAAACAGAACTGATCTCTGCTACATGCTGCATGTTTCACTGATTAGTGACCCAGAGGAGAGGGTCTTGATTCTCATGAGGTGCTGGATTTCCTCTGGGTGGATCTCAGTTTTCTTTGGTCAGAGGCTCAGCACGTGATGATGCTGCAAGAGGCTGGATATGGGTTTGTTTTATCTTGGTACTGCTCCCTGCTGACCCATATGCCCTCCAAAGTGCCCAGCTGTCTGTGCAGACACTGCCTGCCCTTGAAAACGTGCCTCTGTTTAGAGTTTTGGTCCTCACATTGCTCCTAGTGTGCTGCACTCCTGAGTGTTTTCTGGGAGCATGGGTGGCTTCCTGGCATCAAGGGTGGGAGAGTGCCCCAGGTGTGCCAGGGGCTCTCACGGGCCCAGAGCCAGCTCCTCTTCCCTCCCTCCTCTGCCTGTTTGAAGGTCTGAGCTGGAGGCTTGCTTTTCTGTGCAGTGAGGATCCATGGCTAACTCAGGAGCTGTTTGCTCCTGCAGTGTGCAGCACTCCCCTGACTCCTCAGAATCTCCCCTGCCTTACTGCTGTCCCACAGGATGCTGGTGTATGTGTTGTAAATGTGAATACATATATTGGGTGTGTGCTGTGCTCAGGGCAGTGTGACCAGGAAACTGCCTGGAGCCAGGGCAGGATGCTCAGCTGGTGTCCAGAGACTACAAAGCAAAAAAATCCCAGGGCAGGACAGGCTGAGCATGTGCTGGCACACCCTTGCTCCAGCCAAGGAGACCCCGGCTCCATCAACAGCTGAGGGAAGGTTTTGTCAACCCATGAGGGTTTTCAAGATTTTTTTTATCTCTTGTCATACTGAATCAGAAGAAAAAATTGGATTTCTTTATTATTTAAAAAAGTTCTACTCAATGTGCAAGCCTTAAATTTGTTTTTTTTTACCTTTCAGCCAAATCCAGGAAAATATATGTTTAACAAAAAAGAATTGGATATAAAAGAGTCCTCCATTTAGAAAATGTCAACCCAATCATTTTGATCTGTACCAGTTAATCCAAATTAATCTGTTCCTACAAACTGTTTTCACTAGAAGCATTTGCTATGGAGAATTTCTCACTGGAAGCAGTAGCCAGCACCAGGCATGGAGCAAATGTTCCTGTTATGTTACTCCTGGGTGTTGCACTTAAAAATCAAACTATGCAAGTCAAGTGCCAGTTAAAGAGTTAGGAAATCCAGGACTTAGTTTTTCACACATCCTCTGTGACTGGGAATGTTATTTAGCCTCCAAAACCCCCGAGTATCCCAAGCTAGAAGGGTAATACCTCTCTGGCAGCTCTAGAAGTGGAGGTGAGAAGCCAAACCAGCTCACATTCTTGAACCCCACATACTGTGTAAAAATAAAGATATGTATGTATACGTGTTTTGGCTCAAGAGTTCCCCTTTTTTCCACTGGAAAGCTAGGCTCTTACTGAGATTTTTCTCTGTGCTTTCAGAACCAGCAGGCAAAAATTGCCCAGCTGTACCTGCCGCTGCTCGGGGTGCTCCTGGAGAACCTGCAGCGCGTGGCTGGCCACGAGGCACTGACCTCCTGCCCTGCCTCCAGCCCTGTGAGTGAAGCTGGATGCCTCCACATCTGACGTGTTTCTGGACAGGTTGTGCAGTGCTTGAGAGGAGCTGAGTCCCTCCAGAGCAGCGAGCTTGAGCAGGACTTGGCCTGGGACTGCCGCAGCTGTTCTGGGGAGTTGCCTGGCTTCCCAAGAGTTGTGTGTGTGGCTCCCAAGTGGCTTTAGCCTTGCAGACCAGGCTTCCCTCCTTGCTGGGCCAAAAGAATAACAAATAGGATGTCTGAGAAAAACAATTCAGAATTTCAATTCAAATGATGAAAAAGGAAAACACTACTATTACTTATTTAATATGTTCTGCTATTCTTTGTACTCCTCCCCCTTTGTCTCCTTGTTGTAGAAGTAAGGAAATTTTTGTTTTCATCTGTGTTGTTTTTAAAACCTGCTCTAATGTGCTATTTTGTATTGCACTGTTTCCTATTTGTAAGAGAATAGGTGTTATCTTTGACTGGTCACAAAACCTTGTATTGCTTTACAGGCATCCAGGGATGAATTCATATGCAGTTTTCCATCCCCCTCAAGCAGATCCAGCCTGATTGCAGACAAAGATACAGGTAAATTAATTTTTCTAAATTCTAAATTTCCCATTTATTTTAATACAGCTGTTACCAGCCTGAAGCACCCAAAACCCATTACCCAAAACCTGAAACAGTCATCTCCTAAAAGACCTCACAGACTCTGCATGGTTTTCCCCAGATGTGGTGTCACCCTACCTGTCCTTTCCAGATTTTTCCTTTTGCAGCTTTAGACATGGGGCTTTGGCAAGCCCCATCTGTGCTGCCTCTGCTGTGCTGACAAGTGCAAAGGGTTTAATTGTGGGGTCTGGGGTTTCTTTCAGCCTGTGGAGCAGCCCTTCCAAATGGCCATACAATAAAGCGAGAGGACTCAAAAGGATCCCTGAACTCAGAGGGAGCGACCAGTTCCCCGGATCAGAGTGAAAATGTAATGTACCAGGGGCTGGGCAGAGCAGCACAGCCTGCAGGCTGTGATAAATAAGGGGGAGGGAAAAGGAGTTCCCTGTGGCAACACTCTCAAAAGCTGCTTCTAGATATCTCTGGAAACAACCAGATTGATCTTTAACAAAGGTCAAAGTCACAAGTCTGGTATGCTTTCCCTCTTCAAACATCGCTGAGCCAAAAATAGAATGGCTGACAAATTACTTGTTGAAGATGAAAGGCAAAATCTGTGTGGAAAATCTCTGCTCCTACGGTGCATTTGCCCATACTCAGATGTGCTCCCTGTGTGTGGGTGGCTCTGAGCCTGGCTGCACCCCAGTTCCTGGTGCTGGGAATTGGTTTCCAGATGTCTGAGAAGCAAAGCACCGTGGTGTGAGATTGCCAGTGACCACTGACTTAAGATAAAGTGTTTGCAGGAAAACCAGCCCAGGCGAGGAACCACAGGCCCAGACTTGCAGAAGGTGACAGTCATGCCACAAAGACCTCTGACCCACTGTTCAGACAGCAGGGTATTCAGTACTCTTTTTCTTGGCAGATTGCACACAGGTATTTGTGCAAACCAATCCCTGGTTTTCCTCAAGGCGCTTTGCAGATATCTTGGGTTGGCATGAGTCATTGATGCATCTTCAAAAAATTTGGCCCTTGTAAGGAGCAAGGCAAAGACTATCTGGGCCCATGGCCGTGTCCTGACGTGCTTAGAAGAGGTGAGGCCTTGCTCTCCTCCATAAATCACAGAGCTCCAGGACTGAGTACAGCCAAGCACTTGAATGTCCAGCAAAGCCCTGAGCAGTGCTCCAGTGCTGCTGAGGGGGTTTGCAGGAGTGGTGTGGCTGCCAGCTCAGCTTTCCCCCATGGCCAGACATCCTCCTCTTGAATGTGCTTGAATGTTTTTCAGAGTTGTTGGAAGCAATCTGTCTGTTAGGGAATGCAATAAGCACAGAACCATGTAAAAGCAATGCCCCGTGGAGGAGCACAGCCTCAGCAGTCGTCTGAGGCAGACTCTGCTCATTGCCCCGTTCCCCTGGAGTGAATTGTGTGCTGACTTGATAGTTTGGCATGGTCAACAGCAAATCTCTGGCCATAGCACCATGTCTCCAACTCTAACATGATTGTTTATTTCTGCTTTATTGTGACTCACATCCACAGCTTATCCCAGAATAAACAGCAAATAAATCTGTGGATCCCTCTCCAAACATGTGAGGCAAAGCTTTAGAAGAAGCCTAGGGCTTCATTGTGTCCATTTACCAAAGGATACAGCTCAGACAAGCACGGAGAATGCAAAATAAAACTAGTATAACTTTAGAAGTCATGCTTCCCATCACACAATGCCCAAGCCTTTCCCACATAAATTGACTCATCATCAGGATTTCATGTGCTTTCCCTGAGTCACTACGTAGGAGGAAAATCAAAACACTTCGAAAAATCAAGGGGAGGAGAAAGTTCTTAAGATGAAATGTCCCCCTTTTTTAATAACTGACATTTTGTTTTGAAGTGTATGTCTTTAACAGAAAGTCAGATTTTTGCTTTAAATGGTGACAGCCAGTAAATTTTTTTTTTAGGGGAACTGGCTTTAAAAATGTCCAGGAGCTTAGCTGCTACAGAGGGCAGGGGAAATGAAAGCAGGCTGCTCTGTATTTTGCTGGATAACCTGTCATTCGCTGCCCAGACATTTTTCCTCTGAGCAGAGAAGTGTTTGCTGATGTGCCCAGGATTTCCAGGCTGCATCACTGGATGAGCTGTTTCCAAGGCGTGGTGCTGTGGGGTGCACATGTGGGGGGCAGGAGGGATGCCAGCGCTCCTGGTGTGTGCCAGGTTTGCTGTGCCCGTGCTGCACAGCCCAGGAGCCCTGTGTGTCACAGCTGTGTCCCTGCAGATCCGCAGGAGCTCCATGAGGAGCAGCCTGTCCCACTACAGCCGGCTGGACCAGTTCGAGATCCGGACCCTTCTGATGTGCTACCTGTACATTGTGAAGATGATCTCTGAAGGTTGGTGCCTCCTGCTCACTGAGGGCAGCCAGAAGGACGAGGGACCATCAGTTTTGGTCTGTAAAGTCCCACCTTTGAGTTTTTTAAAATCTCAGTGTATTGTTCTTCATTTTATTTCAGATACTCTTTTAGCTTACTGGAACAAATTCTCCCCCCAGGAGCTGATCAACGTCCTCATGCTTCTGGAGTGAGTATCGTGAGGCTGCTGTTCAAACACTGCACCTTTGTGTGGTCAGAATGGCTAAGGAGGAGACCACAGTGCACACACTGTCCTGTGCAGCACTAGGGGTGTCTGGCCAGGTTGGAATGACATGCTCTTCCTCCCTCTGAGGAGAAGCAAGCGTATATTGAGGAAGCATGGTTTGGTGGCAGTGCCCTGTGCTCTGTCTGGGGTGTGTCCCACCACCTGTGGGCTCAACTTCCCCTTCACTGTCACAGCCTCCACTTTGTAGCAAATCAGGGAGAACACATGGGTGAGAAGACAGGGATGTGCCATAGAATTTTGAAACCAAGAGTGTGAGGTCAAGTGACTTGTAAATACAGACCCAAGCCCTTGTGCACAGAGAAGTGTGGCTGCAGGCGAGAACAGGGTAGGTTTTAAATGTTCTGGATCGTTCCTGATCTGCAGGATCTGTAACAAAGACATGTTTCATTTTCTTCCTAGGGTGTGTTTATTTCACTTCAGATACGTGGGGAAGAGAAATATTGCCAGGTACTGCCTCCTTCCATCTGGTGCTGGGGTGTGGGGATCATGCCCGTGCTCCCTGCCCCAGCAGAGGTGGGAAGGGCTGGTGCACACCCAGGCTGGGCAAACCCCAGTGGGTCTGGGGCTCTGCTCAGCGCCGTGCCCTGAGCAGGGTTCCCTCATCTCAGCACCCTGCCCCTTCCCTCCCCTCCAGCTCCTGCATGAGACCCCCAGGCTCAGGCGCGCACAGGTTGGCAGTGTCCCCCCCAGCCAGCTGCAGGTGAGACAAGAGCCCCAGCTGCTTCCCTGCTTCCTGAGCAGCATCCCTGCTCTTGTGTTAGCCCTAGGACCTTCTGGAGCAGCAGGATGGGCGCAGCGTGGGCAGTCCCACTGGGACCGTCCCGCATTGGTGTGTTGGAGGAAGAGGACTCCATCCTGGTGTAATCCTGAAGTGCTGTGGCTGCTGCTGCTGCTGCCCAAGGCCTGTCTTTGCTCCCCTTGCAGGGTGCAGGATGCCTGGTTGTCCAAGCACACGGCAGCCGAGAGGAAATCCCAGACCATGCCGGCGCTCCGCAGCAGGGCCGGGGTGCGGCTCCAGCACCTGGGCAGCTTGGAGAGCTCCTTCACCCTCAACCACAGTACGTGTGGCAGCAGGGCCAGCAGGGCCAGGGCACGTGCCAGCCCCAGGAAAACTGCATGTAGCCATTTCCACTGGCTGCTGGTTGCTTCAGGTTGCTCAGATTCTGCAGAATGTTGCAGGCCTCCCTGCAACATTCCTAGATGGGTGAGGGTGGCATTCCTAGATGGGTGAGGGTGGCATTCAAGCCAGCCCCTTAAAAATCACCCCTGGGATTTAGGACTTGTGTGGCTTTCTGCTCTTGCCTGTCTTGGCTCAGCTCCATGGCTGAGTGTGTGGGCAGGTGATGCCTTGGTTTGGGTAGGGAACTGCACAAGCAGGAGAGCTGCACTGCACAGTGACCTGTGCTGGGATCTGCTCTAAGCCTCTCCATGTGGGTGCATTTTGTCCCATTGGAGCACTTTGCCGTCTCCCCTCTCTGGAGACAGCTTGGGCACCTCATGCTCTGTCTGGCTGTAAAGACAGTGATATTAAAGGGCAATACAGGTACTGTTTTTCTGGTGTGGCATCAGGCAGAGGCAGCTTCTCTGAATAGGGTTGGCAACTTCAGCATTTTGCTATTCTTGCATTATCTCCCAAATGCAGCAATAATGCAAGGGAGAACCTTATCTGTATAGCACTTAAATTTTTCAGGAGCTGGACTGTTGAACACTGTTTCCTCCTAATTTTCTCTCTGTCCACAGATGCAGGCACCTCAGAAGCAGATATTGTGCACCAGGCATTACTGGAGGGCAATATTGCCACCGAAGTGTGCCTGACAGTGCTGGACACCATCTCTTTTTTCACTCAGAGTTTCAAGGTCAGCACTGAAATCCAAAATGTTGTAGAAAAGTGTGCTGGTTTTTTATATGTGTGTGGATTTTGGTGATCTGTTCTCCTAGAGTGGAAGAATATGGAAGGCTTTACAAAAGCAAATAGTTTGCAGCTTGTTTATTTTCCAAAACACTGAGTGTTTCACAGGGTCTCAGAGTAATTATACCCATACACAATCTTGCCATTTCTTCAAAACTGCAAGGCCAGAGAAAATCTCATGTATGTTATAGCATGACTGTAGGTGTTACAAAAATAGAATAAGAGGAAATGTATATCATGTAGAAAGGAGGGACTAGAGAAAAGGGAAATGAATGTCCAACATTTTTAGAACAGTCACTCTTTTGTACCCTATGTTACCTAGAAGCAAGGCCCACATTTCTTTGAATCACTGTACATGAATATCTCAGGCTGAGGCACTCCAGCTGTGGTTACCAGTGCAGACAGGAGCAGAACCAGGGGTAGAAATCTTCTCTTCCATGTTGGGATTTGTGCTTTTGGCAGCCATTGCCATGTACAAAAACCAAGGCCTCTGAGGTGAAGAGAACCCCAGGATGGCAGCAAGTGTGCCAGATTTGTTCCAGAAATGCTCTTCCTGAAGTGTAGTCAGAGGAATCCTGCATGTAGCAGCGTGTCTTGTGTAGTGTCACAAGAGCAGCTCTGGATTTCAGAGCAAGCACGATGAAGATTTCCTTTCTACACGGAGATGAAGAGAAAGGTATTCATAGCCTCTGCTTCCTTTGCAGAGCCAAAAAGCCATCCTGGTGCAGATATTAAATTACTCCTTAGAAGTTTGGTAACAGCAAAAGGATTTAGATACAACACTTGAAACTTGCTTGGCTTTCTCAGCTGCCTCTTTTGAGTTATTGCTGAACCACAAAACCATGTGATTTTCAAAGCACAGGATAGACTGGATTCCCTTTTCCTGGGTTTTGGCTTCACTTTCAGGGCCACACCAGAATCGAGTGGGTCCTGTGCTGCAGCAGCAGCTGGGCTGTGCTGTTCCGCTGCCGCAGGAAATGAGCTCAGTGTAAAACTCTGGATCTTGAACCTACCACAAGCTCTGTGCAAGGTGTCAAAATCTGAGCCAGCCCAAGGACTGTGAGGACTGGCAGTGGGATGGGGGCTGTTGATTTCCTGTCAATACAGGATATCCACATCCTTGTGTCATGCCCAAACCTCCTGCACAGCCCTGTGGGGGATGGCAGCGGGCACAGCCCACCTGGTCTGACACCAAAGTGTATCAATAACCCTCCAGTAATTCCATTTTACCATATCTGAAAAAGGGGCAAACTGGCAAAACTCTGCAGGAAACAAGGGAAGTGAAATTACTAACTACAGCTACAAATCTATCCAGTGAGAAAATGGGTCTTATTTTATTTTTCTTCCCCCTCTCTCTTTTGGGCTGCAAACAAAACAATTTTCAAGAAAAATAAAAAGAAATGGGGAAAAAAAAATAACCCCAGGGTGATAGTTACATTGGTAACAGCAAGTTTTATTTGAAATAACTAGGCAACCAGTGACAGTTTTACAGAATATTGACTTAGGTTTTGGAATTAGTGATTTGAAAGTGATAAAATATTTTAGTTTTTTTCTCTGCTACAAAAATAACGTCTGCTAAGTACTGTAAGTTTTTATTGATTGTCACATTTTATTGGTTATATTTTTACTGAAGGCCCTGTTGCTTATCTGGCTTAAGAATTAATGTGATTAATTATGCAAGATTATCTCTGTCATTTCCAGCTGCAGGCACAACATTTCTGCTAAGTAAATTCTCCTGTTGCTTTCCAGACCCAGCTTTTAAGCAACGATGGCCACAATCCACTTATGAAGAAGGTTTTTGATATTCATCTGGCTTTTCTCAAAAATGGGCAGTCAGAAGCAGCCCTTAAGCATGTGTTTGCCTCTCTGAGAGCTTTCATTAGCAAGGTAGGTACATTGACAAGGGTGTGGGAGAACTTGTAAGTATGGCAGAGAGGCCAGTATGGTTAAACTCCTGTTAAAGTGATATTTTGGAGATGTGTTTTGGAAAACAGCTTCACAGATTTAAAGAATAACCCAGGTTAAATTCTTTAGTTATTTATAATTTGTTGGGTATCAGGAAGCAAAAGGAGAAATCATGAGGAGTTCCCACACTGGCCTTGGTCACCAGGATTAGTGTCTGTCTGACCAACAGCTGGTGCTTGAATCTTTGCCCCAGACTGCCAGTGCTGCTGACAGTGCTATTGCCTGAATAATGCATGCACTGGCAGGCAGCTCCTCACCCACTGCTGGGACAGATGATGGTTCTTGCTGAGCCTTGTTCTGTGCTCTCTGAGCCCTGGCAGGTAGTGAGGCAGTGACAAAGCCACAGCTGACCACAAAGGAAGAGTGACTGATGGTGGCATTGCCCTTTGTGCTTGTCAAAACCTGCCACTGCTCATAGGGACGTTTTCCAGACCTGATGTACATGAGAACACCATTCCTCCCAAGCTTTGCAGTTATCATAAATACAAAATTAATTAAAACACCTCAAATCCCTTGAGCACTACACTTCATTAACGAGGAAAATCCATGATTGCAGCCAGGCAGGGCACAGTGTCTGAGTGGTAAGCAGAAAAGAGTAATTTCCAAAGGAGCTTTTGCACTAGCTGCTGGGCAAAGTCTGATCAAAAGAAGAGATGCCAAACTGCTTTTCAAAGGTGGAAAAAGTCTGTGCTTTGTACATTTTGCTGTAACCCCACAGCAAAGCTAAGAGTTAGTATAAGTCTAGGGCTGGATTTTGGCTTGTGCTAAGCAGAAATGCAGAGATCTTGGTGGCTCCCTGTCTGCTCCAGTCAGTGGTCTCCTACAAGGTGTTTTTCCATGGGGTTTCTTAAAGCCTGCAGATTGGCAACTGGCAGGGGCAGGAATCACTGCTTTTTGCAGGGTTCAGTGCATGTTTATTGCTCTGCCTTTCTTTTGACGTTTCTGCTTGCCTGTGGTCTGCTTAGCCTCGAGATCCATCCTGCTGCAGATCTGCACACACCCTGCTCTCCCCCTTGCTAGCCAAAAGTTTGTTTAGCCAGAAATATTTGTTTTGTGCCTATAGCAAATAAAAGACATTCCTTGCCTTCCTGACATATTTTCTGTGGGGTTTTTTTGAATGTGAAGCCAGACACGCACACCTGCTCAATTTCACTGTCAGCCTTCAAAGCCTGGAGCCCTTCAGGAGTTCTACAGTTGCTTTCCAAAACATCAATGGCAGCAGGGAGGCTGCATGCTCGGCTGCTGCAAGGATGGGCAGTGGGATTGGTTTTTTAGATTTATCCCAGTCTAAATCCATGCTGAATTTCACATCATGGGTCTTTAAAGATACAAATTATTGGTTTCAGCTTTCTCACATTTCCCCTAGGACAGGACATATATGGCTTCTGTAAAAGCAAGATATGAGCCCAGCAGATGGTATCTATAAGGAGGAAGTGTTTTCTTTGCCAGCTCCATAACCACACAAGTCCCAAACTTCCTTTTAAGTCCTCTCAAGGGTTCTTCTGCGGCCTGAAGTGGCTATGGTGGCCAAGGCAGGTGGTCACTGCATTGCATGAGAAGTCAAGGATGAAATGTTTTCCTGCAAGTTTGTTTTCAAATACTAGCTCTGCTCTACTTTTTAATTTCAAGAAAAGCAAAAGGGAGTTATACCTTTGTCACAGCTAGAATGGAATTTTTTTCGTTTTTAGGGTCTTCTGTAGCTGTAATTACAATTAAAAGAACCCCCCTCTTATTTGTGGTCACAGCAGATGGTTGCTGGAGGGAAAAAAACTCCTGAGATGTATTCTGCATCCCATAATTTGTCTTCTACATTAAATCCAGTTATTTGATAGGCAAAAGACTTAAAAAAATGTTGCAAGAGAGAAAAGAATAAAAATCTTCTGTAATTATTTGCATCTTTGGTTTTGGTTGCATGTGTGTGTTCTGGGAATTTGGCAAGAAAGCTGCCTCTGTTTTACTGGCTGGTAAGAACCAACAAAAACTAGATTGTTCTTGTTTCGCACTCTAGGTTTCCTTAAGAACTGAATCTGTCTTTTCAGGGCATCACTTACAGATAAATACTTATATAAATATCTACATGCATGCTTAGGAATGGTCTTTAAATTAAAGGTTATAAGGGAAAACATACATAGAGGAGGGGTGTGCATTAAAGACTAGCTCAGACATCCTCCTGCCTGTCCCCATGGCTGTCCTGCCCTCACATCCCTTTGAGCCTCTCTGGGAGCTGGGTTGAGCCCTGCTCTGGTCCATCGTGTGGGACTGGATCAGAATGGGCTCCTGCAGTGTGCACATCGTCACCACAGGGGCTGTTTCGTGCTTTCCCCAGTGTTCTGGGCCAGCTGGGCAGCCACAGGCAGCGCCTGGCTGGGCTTCCAGCAGCCAGACACCTCTGGATCTGCTTGCCTGGACCTGGCACCAGGAGCCACTGCATCTGCTTGGGCTTGGTCTCCAGAAAGGGACCCGGGTTCGCTGTGGAAAGGGCACAGGTTTTCCTCCAGAGCTGCTGTGGAGGGGTGTGCACAGGGCTCCTCCTGCAGCAGATTCCCAGGCAAGGGCTTTGTCCCTAGCAGTGCATTGGAAGTGCCAGGAAAGCCTCTGCTGGCAGGCAGTGTCCCTGCCATCGCTGTGCTGTGTGTGCATGCCCTGGCACACAGCTAAGCCCAGTGCTGACCATGATCCTGTCTGGCTTGGGGAAGGACAGCACTGCAGTGGGCAGCAGATCCTTGGAGCTCCTTTTCCAGGTGCACACACGAGCTGTATGGCCCTGTGTTACTATGATGTTTGTTTGCCTCTGTCCTTCTTTCTCCCATTTGGTTTTTTGAAGATAGTTTTTGGCCAGAGGCAGTGAACAAAAAGGGTTTTGTGTCCTAATTCTGGTTTCTTGGTGCAATCCCAGTATCTTGCTACCACAGGTCCTAGATCCCTGTTTTAAGACCCTGTCAACAGCATGCCATGGTGGTAGCCATGGCAGCACCTACAAGTTTTCCTGGAACATACATACTTAATGCAAGGAGTGGAGGGCCACAATAACAGCTTCAGCCTCTGGCTGACACTATTTACTGTCACCTCCCATGGGCAGAAGGTAGTGGGGCAGATAAAAGTGGCTTATGGGCCATGGCCCATGAGGACCATGGGGTCTCGAACAAACTGAACAATCTTTCCTCTGAAGAGGTAAAACCGTGATTGCCTCTGTTGACTCTTTTTGCCAGGGAATTCTTTGGGCCTGGTTGCCAGCTGCAGCAGAAGGAGCAGAGTGCTGCTGTGCAATGCCCCAGCAGCCTCCACCCCCTCGGGAGGTGTTGGCATCTCCCCTCCCCAGCAGGTCCCTGCGTGCCAGCACAAAGCCCTTCCTTGTTCTGCTTCCCTGTGCTCAGTCTCTGCCGAGGTGGAAGGAAGACAAGTGTGGTGTCACCTCCCTGCCAGCCACTTCTTGTGACCACAGCCAGGGGGACACACCCTGGCATCCCCAGGAGGCTGCTGCCCACTGGGACAGGTGTCCCACCTGTCTGCTGCAGGTGTCCCTTTCCAGGCAGGGCTGGGCTTGCCCTGGCAGCTGTGCTCAGGGGTTTGCTGAGGGGACAGACAGGCCACCAGGGTGCTGGTGTTCCCGTCTCCCTGCTGCAGGTCCCTGAGCCCTGCTGTGACTGAGGGAGCTTGCACTGTGGCTTTGCTTGGTCCTGCTGCTCCGTGGGTGGCCCTGGCTGGGGAGGCAGAGCAGGTCACTGAATTTTAGGCTCTAAGGGACAAGCCAGTCTCTTGTTTGCATTCCTGAGGGCATGCAGGCATGATTTTAGATTTTTTGGGGGGATCATGTAGAAGTAGATGTGTGAGCATTGCAGGTCACATTTCCCAGTGAGGTTGGATTCCTGGTTGGGCTCTGATGGATTTTCTGATCTTCCAGATAGCACCTTGTGGTGGGAATGCCTGTGGAACCTCTCCTCTCTGCCCCACTGCTTGTGATTATGGCTTTTGGAAGAATGTAATTCTATCAGTCCAATTTGGTGAGAATTTGCCAATAAATCCAGATGTTGTCAAGGAAAGGGTTAGATGGACACAAGCAATCACATCTCCAAGAAACGTGACAGCAATGTTCCCATCAGTCTAGGAAATGTAGTTAAAAATAGACCCCAAATTCATTCCCACAAATACTTTCGGACTCAGAATTCTGGCAGAAGTTTTGCTGAGGCTGTCCAGACTGGAGCTTAGTTTGTTGCCCTGTACCCCTGCCCATCTGAACCCTATGCCATTTAGTGGTGTATTTTCTAATATTTGCATGTCTCTTGTGAAGTTTCCCTCAGCATTTTTCAAAGGAAGGGTGAACATGTGTGCTGCCCTCTGCTATGAGATCCTGAAGTGTTGCACTTCCAAGGTGTCCTCCACAAGGAACGAAGCCTCTGCTCTTCTGTACCTCCTGATGAGAAATAATTTTGAGTTCACCAAAAGGAGAACATTTCTGAGAACACATCTTCAGGTCAGTGGCTGGAGAAAAGCTAGAGACAGGACACCTCAGATTTAATGAACAGTTACAGCAACAGAGCTCTGTGACCTCCTACCTGCAGAGGATCCTGTCATTGCCATATGGACAAAAACCCTCCTGCTTTCCAGGCTTTGCCTAATTCCTATTTCCAGTGACTGGTCCAGGCACCTTTAGGTAAAATAATTGCCATCAAGTACTCCAAGCTGTTGAATTTTAGTGTATCAGACACCAGACACATCTCTGTGCCAGAGACTGGCTGGGATGGGATGGAAAGCTGCCCTTAAGGCAGGAGATTTCCTAGGAGGGATTTCCTAGGAGCTGCTTTTTTGGCATTGGTAGTTTTTGAAGCAAATATAGATACCATGGGGGACAGATGAATACCCTTTGGGTTGTAAAGGATCACAGAAGAAGGTAGCTAATGTCCAAACAGGGATTCATGTTGGAATAGTTGGATTGTTAGTTCTGCAAGGCAGTTTGGTCCTCTGGGGAGTGTCTGTCCTTGGTGGATCTGAGATGAGCCACAGTGCCAACCACTGCTTACGTGGTGGAAAAGATGTGATGTTTTCCTGTGAACATTTTATTAACTGTGACCTTAATAAAACCCTTTTATTATGGCTTGTTTAAATAAAGCCTCTACCTTGTCCCACAGATAATAATTGCAGTGAGCCAGTTAATTGCAGATGTAGCCCTCAGTGGTGGGACCAGATTTCAGGACTCCTTGCTCATCATTAACAACTTTGCAAACAGCGACAGGCCGATGAAGGTGAGTTGGAGATGTCACATCCCATCAGGTGCTATCAGCCATTGATGCAAGCCTGGGGACAGACTCCAGGAAACTGTGTTTAAGGGTTGGGCTAATGACTGGAACTGTGATTTATAGGCTTGTAGTAGGCTGCATTTGCTCAGTAAACAAGTGTCATGCCAGCAGCCATAGGACCAGCTGCTCAGGCAGGTCATGCTCCAAAGGTGAGGCCTCACACCAAGGGGAGGGAGCCCAGCAGCTCAGGTTGTGCTTTGCCATGTTCTGCTTGGAAGATTGTCCAAAGAGCTTTCCAGGAACTCCCAGCTTTGAGGGAAATGACAAGGGAGGGTCTGGTATTCCTGTTGCCTGAAGGTAATAATTAGCAGGATTTAGTTTTATTCAACTAAGTGTCAGTAATATTCAGAAAGAGCTCTTATATGGAGATTAATGGTTGTATTTCTTTGGAAAATAATTGCCTATCTTTGTGCTAGAATTAGTGGTTTGTACCCAATCCATTGAACAATTGCAATGTGCTCCATTTCACACAGAGTAGCTGCCAAGGCAGGACGGGGGAAATGGGAAGTGTTTTTAAAGTTCCACGGTTATCCTATGACCTAAAGGCTTAATGGGAACTTCCATTAGGTGTTTAATTGTGATCTAACAAATTTATAGGTAGAATATACCTGGCAAAAACCTCAGTTCTTTTCTGCACACAGATGTTGTTAAGGGTTTTACTGAGCCATACTTTACTTGTAATTTACATCATGAGATGATCATTATATCAAGTTTTTGTATTTGTGTAAGTGCAAGAGTACAGAAGAGTCTTCAACACACTGGACAGAATGCCATGCACAGCCACAGCAGCAGCTGGGCTAAGGACTCTGAGGAGAGGGAGCATAAACCAGGCTCATCATGGAAGGGAGAGAACTGAGGGGGAACCTACCTGCTTCTTTCACAGCAGACAGTTTATAGAGACATAGTTGGACTCTTTTCGGAGTGTGGAGTGCAGAACAAGAGATAGTGTATGCAAGTTGCAGCAAGGGCAATTCCAGTTTTGCTTAAGAAAAAATTATTTACCAAGAGCACTGTGCAGCCCTGGGGCAGGGCCTAGAAAGGAGGTGGATTTTCTGTTTTAGGAGATTATAAAACTTGGCTGGGCAAGCCTTGGGTCTAATTCAATCTTGGCCTAGTTCTGAGTAGGGAATCAGATCAGAGCACGTGCTTCTCTACTACATTCCTGTGGTGGGAAGCTCTACAAATGCCTTCAATGCTTTAGGAATTGAAGACAGACCACATCAGAGCCTAACAAGCCAGATGTTGAATGACATGAAAAAATACTGGAGGCACGGTTTGTGGTCTCATCCAGAGATATTTGCATTCTTGGAGCACTTCTGTGTTGCTCTCAGAGCAGCTCCTGAGTGCCCAAGTGGCAGCCTCACTGTGGCACAGGAACAGCCAGCCTGGCATCCTGGGCACGACCTGCAGAGATTGGCCCTGTGCATGTCATGACTGAAATGCCTCTGAATGCAGCTGAAACACTGTACTCCGTGTGCAGGGGCAGTTCAGTAAGGAAGAGTTAATTAGCCTTATCTACTGTTTTCTCAGTATTCTCAGATAAGTGAAGTTGGCTGAAAGGGTCATTCCTTGGCAAAGCCTGTATTTTCTGTGTTAGCTTCTAATTCAATTTGTTTTGTGTCAGGCAACAGCTTTTCCTTCTGAAGTCAAGGATTTGACAAAGAGAATCCGCACAGTGCTCATGGCTACTGCTCAAATGAAAGAACATGAAAAGGACCCAGAAATGCTGGTGGATCTCCAGTACAGTTTGGCCAAGTCTTACGCAAGTACCCCCGAGCTCCGGAAGACGTGGCTGGACAGCATGGCCAAGATACACGTGAAGAATGGAGACTTCTCAGAGGTGATTTGTGCAATTGAAAACGTGCTGCACAACGGGACAGATGTACAGATGACATTTTGATAATTTCCCTTTGTGCCTTGCAGGCAGCCATGTGCTATGTTCACGTTGCAGCCCTCGTTGCAGAGTTCCTGCACAGGAAGAGTAAGTGTCTGCTGGTTGGGAGACATGAGGAAGATGATGGTGGGTTTGGGCGTGTCAGAATCTTTTTAAAGACAAGGCTCTCTCAATTTGGTAAATTGTAATTTTATAAACAAGCTGAAAAGGAAAAAGAAATTATTGCAGTGTATAAAGCTAGAAGATAAGTAGTTTTTAAGAAATGAATGTTGTTCATACCTGTTCCCTTAGACAGCCATGCTAGATGGTGCTGAGTGAAATAAGAACCGACACATCACGTCTTCGTTTAAATGTTCACTTGTATTTTACATTAGGAAATGTGCTCACTGGGGAAGGCCATGTCAAAAACTGACTCAATATGATCATCAGAATTATTACTATAGGGAGTACAGAAAACTGTAGAATAAAGCAGTCAAAATTCAGTCAAGAAATGATACTAGCCTAACCATACATATATGTAAAGAACATACGAATTGGAGTCAGAAAAAAGGAGAGTTTTGTGGCTTAGTGCAAAACAGGAAGGAAGGACAGAGCTGTGTGTTCTCAAGTTACACCACATTGCAGGTTTTCTTTTAAATACCTGTTCTACAGTTGATATATTGACCCCATTTCTCATTTCCATTTAAGGGAGTAATTGTTGAATGACCCTTAACATTTCAGAAAGTTAAGGCTGCATGAACACTGATTACATACACTGCCTTGGCTGGAAAGTTCTTCAGTGCCCTGCTCAGGGGGATTGGAGTCCCTCCAAATTCTGTACTTTGTCTTGGCAAAGTGGGGAAAAACCAGGACGTGTTTTTGTGATATATATGCACATTTCACATGGCTGCAGAGAGGGGGGTACTGAAAGTTTGCAATGTTTTATTTGTACACAAAGGCTGCTTACCACAAGTAGTGGTAAAGGAGAACTCCTAAAAGGGAAGAGGAACAAGTCCAAATGAATATTAAATGAAGTTTGAACACTGAGTTACTTCTGTCACTGACACTCTTTACATATACAGAGGCTGGAATTATTCAGTAAAGGCTGAACTACCCCAAGTTTTGGGGTAGCTAACTGTGCTTCCTTGCTAGGAGTGTACACTTCTGTGTGCTTACCACCCAGCTCTCCAGCAATAACTGGATAGGGATAGAGTTCCTTTTCTTCCTTGGTAGCCAGTGCTCTCTTTTGGGTTCAGTGTGAGAGTAATGTTTACAACACAGGCTGCTTTGGCTGTTTCTCAGTAGCACTTACTCTAAGCCAAGGACTTCTTCAGTGTCTCAAGCTATGCCAGTGAGCAGCGGCACGCAAACCTGGGAAGGAATAGCTGGGGCAGCTGACCTGAACTGGCCAAAGGGATATTTCACATCTCAGAATGTCATGCCCAGTGTATTAGCTGGGGGAGTTACCTGGAAAGGGGGCCAGTCTGGGAATGGTTTTGGCATTGGTCAGTAGGTGATGAGCAGCTGTGTTGTGAATCACTTGATTTTCTTGAGGTTTATGTCTTTCTCTCTGTTATTATTATTAACTTAGTTTACTTTGTTTCAGTTATTAAACTGTTCTTATCTCAGCCCATGGATTTTACTTATTTTCCCTGATTTTCCTCCCCATCCCACCAGGGCTGAGTGGGGCAGTGAGAGAGTTGTTGAGTGGTATTGATTTGCCAGCTCAGGTCAAAATACAGCAGCATGACACATTTGAGATAATTCCACTAATCTATTTGCTTTTGTCTGCTGCAGAACTGTTTCCCAGTGGATGCGCTGCCTTCAGGAAAATCACTCCCAACATTGATGAAGAAGGTGCAATGAAAGAAGATGGTGGGATGATGGATGTACATTACAGTGAGGTGAGGTCCTGTACTGTAGGTAGGAGGATGGTAGGATATTTGATATCTGATTAGGATTTAGTTTTAGACTTCGTTCATATGAGCTCTAACAAATTGCAGTTGTGCACTGGTATCTGTGAACAAGACTGTTCCACTCCGATTTCCCAAGAGAAATCTGCTCTGGAGAATTTTCTTTGTGTGATTCAGACAAGTAAAACTGATGTAAGTTCTTGGTTCCTATGAAGATCTTTTCTAGCACTGAGGCTGAAAAAGCAGCACCACAACCTTAGCCTGCTGTGTTATGCAAATGCTAATCTTGCCAGCACAGGGTAGCACAGCCGGGTGAGGCATTTCCAAGAAGGGACAATACGAAGTGAAGCCCTGCAAGGGAGAGGTCATCTTAGGGTTCCCCTGGAGTTAGGGCTGTTCTGCAGGACACCATTGCAGCAGAACAATCCAGAAACCCTAGCAAGGCCTTGGGGAAGTGGGTAGATCCACCCATGAGTCACGAAGTCTCACAAGTGCTTCTGCACCATCCCTGTGCAGCTGCCTTGGTTTGGCCACATGGCTGAGCAAGGTGGCCCTGCAGCCCAGCTGCCCATTCATCAAGGCTTGAGGATCTTGGCGTCACAGCCAAAATTTGTTCCTTGGATGTGTTTCTTAGTCACACACCTCTGATCTCCAATGCTGTCCTATTCATACTCTCACAGAGTTTTTGCATTTTCCTGGGAAAGTAACTAAATAACCAGGACATACTTGCTGGCTATTATGCTAATGGTTTATGAAGAATTAATGAACTTTTAAAAAATAACTTGTCCTTTTTTTTTCTCCCACCTCTTGGCCCTCCCCAGAATTTAGAATGCCTTTAGAAAGGCCAGGAATACACAGTGTTTAAACTTAGGTAACTGCAATTACTTATTCTGGGATCTGATAGAAGTATCTGAAGTTAGAATGGTTTTATCTTCTAAGCTGGAGTGTTAATAACACCACCTATTTGGTTGCTGTCATAGGAGGTCCTGGTGGAGCTGCTGGAGCAGTGCATAGATGGTCTGTGGAAGGCAGAGCGTTATGAAACAATTTCTGAGGTTTCCAAACTGATCATTCCCATTTATGAAAAGCGGCGTGAATTTGAGGTGGGTATTTCCAACTAGTTTGCATGGAGCAGGTAATTTTCTAGGCTGCTAAGAAATAAAAAACAGGAGACTTTTTTATTTTTGAAGCTATTAGTTACTGAATTGGTGTCAGTAAAGCACACACTGTGCCTCATTGCTGGTTATTAAAGAAATTAGTGAAAGCAATGATCTGAAAGGTGTTTATCAAAGCTAACAACATGGATGACTCATGTTTAGTGAATAATTACCACCTGCCTGTTAAAAAAACCTGTTGTCATTCCATATGCTCATTGAAGCTAGATTCTTTTTGAGAGACCTGAGTTTTTAAAGGGTTAAAACCAGAATGAGAGCAGTTCAAAGAAAGGACTAGATCTGTGAGTACTTCAGTGGCAAGTGAAGAGGAAGGAAGGAGGCTGTTCCCAGCCTTGCTCCGTCCCACCACGTGCTGTGAGCTGTGCTTCAGCTGTAACTTCAGCTTAGTGTTGGTCCTCTTTCCCTCCCTCTGCCATGACAGAACATCCAGCCATATAAATGAACCTGGAGGGAGCTGGGGAAGCCTTACTTTCACCTATATATTTTTTTTGTTGTTGTTGTAAAGCTGCTTTTAATCAAAACAATACTTCCTGGGTAAAATATTGCCAGCTGCTCTGTGTGTGAAGGCTCAGTCAGGAAACACCCTGAGACAGTGCACTCAGCCTTCTCTCCAGGGGCAGTGATGTTCCTGCAGTCGGGGGTACCCTGCAAACCTGACACTAAGCATCTACTTAAAACCAGGTTTTTCAAACAAGACTGCATGAGTTCAACCTCTTTAGAAATTAAGGTTTCAATTCTCCAGAGGATTGTGTTCAGCTATCTCAGAAGCTTCTGGTGTTAGCTGTGCTACTTGGAAAATCCTGCTTTCCTCATAATGTTAAAATATGATTTCCAGAAACTCACCCAGCTGTACAGAACACTCCATGGAGCATATGCTAAGATATTGGAAGTCATGCACACAAGGAAGAGGCTTCTTGGAACCTTTTTCAGAGTGGCCTTTTATGGACAAGTAAGTATACACACTGGCTTGCCAGCTGCCCTCACCAGGCATCCTGGCCCCAAAAGCTGCTGCTCTGTCAGACCTGGAGTTGAAAAGCTCCTCTGGTACAGCCACCAGTGTGTCTACATGAGTGTTTTGGTATTGCACACTGGGGATGAGGGTTTGTTTCTGTTTCCAGGAGCGCTTGATTTATTATAAAGTTTATGATTCTGCTGGTAGGCTTAAAACAACTCAGCAGTTAAGAAATGCCTTAGTGGGTTCAGAAAACACTGAGGGTTTTTTGTAATTATTGTTATTGTAGGTTACACAGACATAATTTAGTGTGTATAGTATATAACTAGTAACAGTATATAACTATAACCATAGTATATACACAGTAGCAGTAACAGACATTTTTTTTTTCCTACAGAAAAATGCTGCTGCCTTCTGGGTATTAGCAGAGTAAAAGGTTATGAGAGAAGCTGGAGGCAAAATATGTATCAGTGTTGATTACACACATGTAGAGATAGGTAGTGCTTGTGTTAGCTGAGGTAGCTGGAAAACTGAATAAGATCTGGGGCTCAGAGTCCCAGGAAGTGGCATGATCTTATCATATCTCATTGAAGTCTTCTGAGCTTAAAAGCATTTGTGGTTTTATTTTTTTTTCTCCACCTGTAGCAATTAATAAAGTGTGATACCCTCATGTCCTTTCTGTCTCTGAACAAGCTGGTTCTGCTTGCGGACTCAACCAAGGGGAGGTGCAGGACCCCTCTTTAGAAAACACCATGTAAATTATATTAGCCTTGCCTTTCTTTACTCCGTCTTTCAAAGGGAATCATGAATACCCCTGCAACCATCATGGGTTTGTACCTTTGAATGTCACTGTCACAATTTATCAGAGCAGTGACTTTTGCTGTAGCAGACATGCATTTTATATTTACCCTCATCTTCTCTGTAATTCTGGATAAGTAAAAAGTAAATAAGGTTAGCAACAGATAAAAGGAAACAACTGTTGGCTTGGTTTTCTGGAAGTTGGAAATAACTGGATCAGCCCTTAAAATTGAGTTGTGTAGCGTCCCAACAACCAGTACTTGGTCCAGTTTTGCACTTTGAAGCTTTTCTGGCTTTATATTCCAGCTACACACAGATAGCTTAACGCTGTGTCACAAGTTCTAACTGGAACAGCTCAACAAATTATGAAGTTCCCATGCTGTTTCCATTATGGGTAAGACTGGTGATGCAAGCACAGCCTTTGATGTGTTTTGGTCTCCATTTACAGTAAATACACCAAATCCCACTTCCCTGCATACAAGAGGAATTAAAGCACAGGAAACCCATTTCTTTTTTTATCGCTTAAAGTCTCTTGCAGCTTACACAAATTCTTGAATATCCAACTCTTCCTGTGGCTCTGTTGTCAGGGCTTCCTCAACTCACATATCTTTCTGCTCCTTCTCTGTACCTTGTGTTTGTGGTTTTTTTTCTCCTGCCTATCTCTTTCCAAACTTCCAAAAGGTCAAATGCTGGCCAAACCATCTTCCACATAGTTTAGATTTCTCACTGTTTGTACTCAAGCAATGATGTGTTGTGTTTGTGTTGGTTGAAGAATTTTATTTTTTTCAGACCATTTTTGAAGGAACCTATTAAACAGGCAAAGTTCAGTGAGACTTTGTGAGCCACAGCCTTCCAAAACTTTTTGGCTTTCTGAAATGTTGCTTTACAAGCAGCAAATCTAAGATACAAGTTTTCCAAATGAAGGAACACAGCTATTCCTCACTGTTTTTGTTTTGTTTTGTTTTGTTTTGTTTTGTGGTTAATGCCAGACATTCTTTGAGGAAGAAGATGGGAAGGAATACGTCTATAAGGAACCCAAACTGACAGGCCTCTCGGAGATCTCCTTCAGACTTCTTAAACTTTATGGAGAAAAATTTGGGTCAGAGACTGTAAAGATCATCCAGGATTCTAATAAGGTAGAGTTAAACTGCATGCTCTGTGGAGCTGAAGGAAGATGACAGAGCATCCCTTCCTTCTGCCAGTGGGAGGGGGAGAATGAGCCCTCTCCTCCACCCTCTTACAAACACCTTGCTTCCCATTCCCCCTGGCATCCTCATGCTCCTGTGTGTGGACATGTTGCAGAGCTTGACAAGGTGCTGCTGTGGCTCCCAGGTGTGGATTACAAATGGAAATTGCAGTCCCCATTGCTCTGAGCCTTGTTGAAGGCATTAGAAGCCAGCACAGAGCATCAGGTGACTGGAAGCACAGTTACTTCTCGTTGCTTTGATGCTGCAAGTCTAAAAGAAAACCTCCTGGGGCTTTGCAGCCTTAGCTCCTTTCTTTTCATATGGAATACTTATTTAAGCTCCCTGCAAGAGCTGTGCACAACCTCAGGCTGCAGTGGGATTTATCTGGGTTACCAAAGGCAATGCTGGTGATCCCAAAGCTGGTTTAGTGCAAGCCTGCGGGTTTGGCTGGCCCAGTACTGCATGAGCACTGGATCTTTTTGATCACTGAGTCTGGAAACTTCGTGGCTGTGTTAAAAGGATTGAGTAGCTCAGGCCTGTGCTGCCTTGATGGGTCAGGGGACGTGACTGCCTGCTGCAGGAACAGCTTGTTTGGCACCACGTGATGTATTTCTCGTGCCACACCTCCTTGTCTTATCTGCTGGTGGATGGTCTAGACATATCTGCTGAAGGCAAAATGAGCATTTTGCAAGTCATTGGCCTTCCTGCAGTGAGGCCAGATCAGAGGGAATTATTTTAAATCAGATCCCAGTGAATAGATTAGCCAATTATAACTTAGTAACCTTTGCTCCTCCTGTGTGTAACCCTCTTATTTCATAGGTCAACATTAAAGACCTTGATCCCAAGTATGCCCATATTCAAGTGACTTATGTGAAGCCCTACTTTGAAGACAAAGAAATGTCTGAAAGAAAAACTGAATTTGAAAGAAATCATAATATCAATAGATTTGTATTTGAAACTCCTTACACTTTATCTGGAAAAAAGCATGGCAGTGTGGAAGAACAATGCAAAAAAAGGACCATTCTAACTAGTAAGTACAAATATCTGAACATGAGACAGTATCCCTAACTATTAGGAGACTTGTTCCAGCTCATGAAAATATTCCAGAAGTGTGACACATTCACTCAGCTTAATCAGAATTGTGAGACAATATTCTGCTTGGGAGCAGGGATTTACCTTGTGTTTTTATGTGCACATTTTTACAGATTAAAACATCTTCCTGTTAAATTATAGCCTTGTTTGGGATTTCACATCCCCAAGGACAAGAATCTGCTTGTATATGTTCTGTGAAGAGTACTCCTATGTGCTGCATGACTTCTCAATCTATACATTTCTTTTGCTGTTTCTGCTAGCTTTGAACTCCTTTCCATATGTTAAGAAGAGAATTCCAGTCAATTATGAACATCAAGTCAATTTAAAGCCAATTGATGTCGCTACTGATGAAATAAAGGACAAGACAGCAGAGCTGCAGAAACTCTGCAGCTCTGCTGGTGATGTTGACATGATCCAGCTGCAGCTCAAACTGCAGGGCTGTGTCTCTGTGCAGGTCAGTCTGCTTGAAGTCTGTTCAGAATTGCATTTGCATGCACAGCTCGGGGTGAGGCATGGTCACAACACATTTACTTTCCAGAAATCATTAACTCCCCAGGCTTCAGGGCTGCAGCCTCCAGCACAGCCTCCCTGCCACGTCCAGTGCTACACACGCTGGGAATAAACATTTCCTCCAGTGGTGTTTACAGAATCAAGTGTAATTGCACATTAATTAACCATAAGTAACTGCTGAAACATACTGAAGTCTTCAAGATTGTACTGTGAGGATCAGGCACAAAGAGCTGTTTGTGAGTCTTGCTTCTCGAGCTGGATGAGTGACCTTAGGACTCAGACTGTGCTGCTTTTCCACACAGAAATAAGAGGAAAATATGAGGAAACAATCTTAATATTTCTTTTTATCCCAGCAGGAGTTCTAGCATAAATGATTTCTTCTTTCATTCTAGGTTAATGCTGGTCCTTTGGCTTATGCCAGAGCTTTCCTAAGTGATAGCCAGTCCAGCAAATATCCTGCTAAGAAGGTGAATGAGTTAAAAGAAATGTTCAGGTAGGATTTCTAATGTGATAAAAACTAGCAGCTGGCTGGAAGATCGTACCTACTCTGGTTATATTTTTGTCTGTCTCCAAACTCAGCAGATGCTGGATACTTAGATATGTCTTATAAAGATCCAAGTCTCATGGGGTTGTGGGTGCTCACACATATGAAAAAAGCCAATGAAATTATATATATCAAGATTATATATTTCAAGATCTATATTCCCAAGTCCAGGGCTGTGCTCTCCATTAGGAGATTTGCTCGAACACTTGCTTCAACAGTTTGTGTGGGTTTTTGAGATTATCACATGAAGTATGTTTGAAAACCAGAGATCTGACAGTCCAGGGGCTCAAGGGTCTTTGATATTGTGCATTGTTTGCCAGTTTTTCCAAGGAGACTTTTTGCTGACTAATGATGAACTTGAAATATTTTAAAGCAAATCCTTTCCCAGTTTATGGTGGAAGAGCACTGTTCTTGTTTCTGTTGCTCATTTTTGAAACTGTGTGACTTGCACAGGTGTTTTTCCAACTTCTGTCCCTTAGGGTAAGTTTTACCTCCCACTTGAAAGTGTCCCCCAAGATATAATTAGGCAACTCTTGTTTCACCTCAGTATGATGAGTCTTTGCCACACTCTTTTCTGGATCTCTCAGGTGCAACCAGCTGTCTACCAGCCTCTGCATTTTTTACTCTGTGGTGGTGGCTCCCATTTCACCCATTTCTCCATTCTCGTTGTATGAAGAAAGCAGCATTTGAGCCAATCCCATTCTCATTCTGTGTACCAAGTAACTTGGCAGTCAGGGAGCAATCCCTGAGAACTTGCCATGCATGGTTTTACTTTCCAGCCTTGCAGTGCAAACACGGTCTCCATTTCAGTTGTGAATGTGTTTATATTGAGTTTTTTAAAAAAGGAAAATATGTGTGTTAAATGAAGCAAAGAATCAATAACAGACCTCAGAAAGAGCTTCCCATGGTGTGAATTTCCTTCTGGAGGGTGTCTCTGACCTCTGACAGCCCTGCTGTGTCACATGCACCCAGCTCTGGGCAGCCCTGCAGGACTGGCTGTCCCACCTGCTGAGGATCCAGGATCACAGGAGCTCCAGCAGAAAGCCCAGTACCTGTGTTGCAGTCCCTCTGCATTCCCTGATTCACTGGGCCAGGAATACCCCTGGAATATGTCTTGCCCCAAACACAGGAGAAGAGGGGGTGGGAAATACTGAGATTTGCCTGTCTGTTGAGTTGCTTGCTTTGATAGAAACTGGACTATTGTAATGCCCCAAGTTCATTCCTTTCCTCCCCAGGAAGTTTATCCAAGCCTGTGGAATTGCTCTGGAGCTCAACGAGCGTCTCATTAAGGAGGATCAAGTGGAGTACCATGAGGGGTTAAAATCAAACTTTCAGGATATGGTGAAGGAGCTTTCTGACATCATCCATGAGCAGGCACGTACTGTACCAGGAGCCCACAGAGGTGGCTCTCTGTGCTTTAAAAGTGACTAAGCTGAGAACTGGCTGGGAACTGAAAATGTGATCACTCCTCATGTTCTGTAGTTAAATGTAAAAGGGCGAGTAAGCAAACGTGAAAATTAAGCAGTGGAGTTGGTGGATTCCTGAAACTCTTTCTATTGACTGAAAGTCTCAGCCTGGTGTTGGTATTCAGAGTGCTGCAGGGTGGAGTCTTCAGTGACACACCACTGCCTGCCGTGGTTGTCAGAAATCCTGTGTCACGTTCTGCGTCATATTTGGAAATTATTAAGAGGTCACAGGTCAAAGTTCTCTGGCAGAATTTCCATTTCCTCAGTTCTAGTCAGCTTATGGTGGTTTTTTTGTGTTATTTTTCCTTATATATGTTTTCTTTTAATTTTTGCCTAATGCCAACATGCAAATTTATATGCACAGTTAAAATTCATGCTAGTTTATTTGATCTATCATTTTATGTTTTCTTGGGTCTTTCTAGGAAAATACTTTTTGCTAATAGCGTCAGAGAGGTGAGAGATTCAAAGCAGCTGTACTTCTATCTAGTATCATGCTGTGAAATTAGATGAGAACTCTCTTTCTGAAGTAATTTCCATGCCTGTGCTCTTTAATGTTGCCTTCATTATGACAAAAGAAAGCTTGTAGATTTATAGCATCAAGGATATAAAATGCAGTACAGACTGCATTGTGGTCCATAGAACTTGAAATTTAGAAGAATGCTTTCAGGATCTCCCAGTTAGTCAATATACAGTCTATGTGTCACTATGAATGAATGATGCAACATGTTAACTCACTAAAAATGAATAGGCAAATTCCACAGTTAGTTGAGTAGTTGTTCACACGAAATGAAAAATCTACAAATGGCAAAATAATACAACTGCACCAAGCTGCTGTTTGTAAATGAGGTTGATTTACAATAAAATAATGCTTATGGGAGTCAGAGTCTTGTTATGGAATAGTACAATATAATTTCAGGGAACAGTCTCATGATTGGGATGAATTTTGTTGTAGGAGTGTAAGGCTGGATCCGTCTGAGAGTGACTGCTGCATTTCTGTTGCTTTTGTTACATTCCCCTTCTATTCTGCTCATGGCCACCGTTGTTTTAATATGCAAACTATTGATTTTGCACATTTGCCACACTGTTTTTTTCATTGCCACTAACTGCAGAGAGGCTTGTTCATAAGAGCCGCCACCTGCTTACACTAAGCTGTTTGCCAGTGCCAAGACTTCTAATTTGCATGCAGCTGCTGAAACTTTTGTGGCTTTTGAATTTTGCAATAGTCAAATCAAAAACAAATCACTCAGTCCTGCACTGTCAAAGTACAATAGCTAAGATTATTTTAGCACAAAGAAGCATTGTTAAAACACACCCCCTGCTATCTCAATAGATTTATCCACTGCTGTGTCTTTGCTTAATGGGCAAAGTGTGACTGAAATGTCCAAGTGAAGGGCTCCCTGGGAAGGATACACTTTTCACTTTCTTCTTGTAATAGCTCAAAAGGCAGCTTAAAATACCATGTTTATGTACACTGTTCTTCATGGTTGCATAACATGATGTACAACAGCTGACTCGAACTTTTCATTGCCATCAAATGACCTAATATCTAACAAATTCATCCTAATGGAATAAGTTTTCTTATTTTGCAACATTACTCAGTTAAATGTAAAAAGTATAGTGCATTAAATTATGGTTCTCACTGCAAATAGCATATGCTTTTCTAAATATTATCAGTGTCCTAAAGCACCACAGGCAGTGCCCTTTGTTTGAGATGCAAGAGCAGATGGGTAGTCACTGGGTCAGCCTGTGAACTATTTACAGATCTTTTAAACTACAATGTAAACACAAAAAATTTATAAACTGCAGCTGAACAGGTCCAGGAAATTCCAGAAACTGGCAGAAAGCTGGGTGTCCAGAGGCTGTTTATGATGGACAGTGATCTCAGTTTCACTACTGCAATTTCAAGGTTACTAACTTGACTGGTGAACCACATGGTGAAAATAAATGCACAGTCAGCTCTGCCATTCCAGCTGGATCCTGTGCTGTCAGGATGTCCTTCAGGCTGCAAAGTACAAAATCTGGACACAGAGGTAGTAATGGGATTTAGCTGCCTGTATTCCCCATGCTCACAAAAAACCTATTAGAATTCTGTTACTGCTGAGACATAATAAAAATTGTTGTACAGAGAACTATTTCTTTCCCACAGTGCATAGTTGTAACTAAAAGTGATCCAGTAATACACAGACTGGTGTATGTATTAAAGCTGCAGAAATCACTAAACTACTCTTCTTTCTCATTTCTTTTTTGTGCTGCCTTTGTGAAACAGCTTTGAAGACAAGGTTGGATATATCTTTTGCATACCTTTTTAAACAGCTTGATTATCATAATGAAGTGAAACTTGTACTGAATTGATGATTGTTTTGCTTTTTTAGATCTATCATGAAGACACAATGCATTCACCGTGGATGCAGGACTCCCTTCATGTCTTCTGTGCCATCAGTGGAACCTCTGGTGATGGAAGTTACTGCTCACTCAGACCCACTGCTGACATGTAAACATATCAGTCATATTTTACAGAGCTTCCTCAGGAATTCTTGGAACTGTACAGAGGATGTTTGAAACCATCCATGATGAGCAAAGATTGAACTGCAGGGTGGTTTGGTTTGTTTTGCTTCGGTTTTTATTTCCCACAAAAAAAGTTGCCATGCTTTCAAACAGGGTGCTTGCTTATTTTGCTGAGCAACATTGAAAGTGCCTGGACATTGCACCACTGTGCTTGTTTTCTACTGTTTTTTTTTAAGCTAAATGAATAGCAGGACATGGAAAGGCAATTACCTAAATACATGTTGAATTGCTGAACTATGAATCGAAACAATGACGTACTGTGTAAAGCTGTACAATGGAATATAATAAAATGTAAAACTACTTTGTAAATAGAAGGACTATAGAGTATATAGAAATTAGCATTTCATCATATTTGCTGCTAAAAGCTTTGTTGGACAGGGGACATGAAGGAGAAATTGTATTTACAATACAAGGTAAGAGACCTTTCTCTTTTAAAAAGTGACTTGGGGTCCACATACCCCTATTGCACTCAATGAGAGTAAACTTGCCCTAGTCTGGAATAATAAAACCTAAGTCAGAAATTATAATTTTCATGCATCCTCAGAGCAGATATTTCTAAAGTAATCTCCATGAAAGTTGAGCTTACTGTAGTTGATTCCAATTTTTCACAGTTGCAGGAGAGGATGGATTGTACCCGCTGAGAGCAAACCTGAGAGATGTGTCATTTCATATGAGTTTTCTCCTACTTGCCACTCATGATCTCACACAGATATAAACTCTGAGAACAGCTTAAATTGAGTTGGAAATTATAAGGTGTTTTAATAACTTTTGGAAAAAAAATCTAATAATTGGAGAGATGTGATTTAAAAACTTGCAGCACATCAAAATAACTTATACAAAATTGAGGGATTTGTTAGCACCACAGGTCATGCATGTTCCCTCCTGTTAAGCAGATTTGTTCTCTGAAAGTTCATTGTTTTTGTCTGATAGGTGGTTGGAGAAAATGTATTTTCCAGAATTCTTCTATTCCTTCTTCCCTCCCCAAAGCTTTCATACATTCTCTGCCTCTTTTTTAATAACACGCTTCAGATTCAGGAAGAAGAACACAGTTCAGTAATTCTTTTTTCCAGCGACATTTTTAACATCCATGTTTTTCAAAATCCTGTCAATTGTATATATGGTTCCAGTAGTTCATATGGGAAGGGTGGGAGTTTTAAAGATATGTAACAAAATGCCATAATAAAAGGACTCCAGCTGGGTATTTAGCTTGGCTGTAGTGTCTATAAAATATTTAGCTTCTAAGTCTTTGTGACAAAAATTATCTTCAAATAGTAACTGGACTACATTTCAAAATATTTATTATGCATGATTCTAAATACCTACAATTATTTGTATTCTGAGAAAATAATGTTGTGATCCATAAACTCACCCATTAGCTGTTTCAAGCAAAATACAGATGTGCCTATAACAAACCAGCCACATTTTTGCTTCTATGTGCTTTTGTGCCAGACAGGCTCTAAATTTAGCAAACACTTCAGTAAGAGGAAGAGAGATTAGTGTGTATAAATATGGTTAGCACCTTCCTCATTGTTATCTTTCAACAAATAATACTTAAAAGCATATAGTGAGAGTTTTCCAAGTTACTTTACTAAGACATGTGAAGCTCATTATTAGTCAATCCAAGACAAGATACTTCTGGAGCTAATTGACCTCTAAATATCAGTAGTAAAGGGATATCTTGACTGCAGTCAGCAGATGTATGAGATACAGACATCCAAAAGCTCTTGCACTGTGGCTCTTTCAAATACTACAGATAACCTAATAGTTTTCCTGGATTTGCAGGGAGATCCTTATGCATGTTTTTTGATGTCTTTTATGTTCTGAGATGATATAGTTGGCTGAATTTTCAATTTCTGTTCCTTATTTTTACTGGAATTCCAGTGGAATTCTTACTTGCATCTTCAGATATCTTTAATGGTCCAAGATGAATTTTTGTCTAAACTTCTGAAGCTGTTGATATTGGAGTTTTTCTGTCATTTCACTGTCATCTACTGGAAAGCTGTCCTGTCACAGTAATTTGGTCAAAAAAGAAGTGCTTAATATCAGTCCAGTTAGAATATATACAGTTACTGCATTTCAGAAGATACAATTGTTTGCAGTTTTAATGAATTACATAAATTATATCCCCTAAGATTTTTACAGAAAAATCTCCTTTTTATGTAGGTTATAAAAAGACTGGTAACAAACCAACTTGTTTTTCCTTTGTGTATTCACCCATCTAGAAAGGATGAGGAGTGGCCATTATTTTCCAGCTGTTTTTGGACAATGGTGCCAAGAAGATGATCACATTTTCTCTATCCTTTTCTTACTTAATTGTCTCATGTAGAGAAATCCTCCAGATCTTTTCTTATTTATGGCTGAAAGAGCTTAACTCACAGATATATCTGGAGATTGTACTGTATATGTTCCTGTTTTAAGTAGCTGATGCTCACACTGGGTACATCATATTTTCTACCTGTTTGAGAAGAATAGAAATGCCTATTGTTCATTAACATTTTTCATTTTCTTATGTTGCCTAAGGAATGGCAGGATTTTTTAGTCTTGAAAAATTAGTGGAACATATTTCAAATGACATCCTGGCACGCACTCTTTCTATACCTCAGCTTGGCTACATTATATATTTTATTTGTGTGCCTCCAATTATTTTTGCTGTAAAACTGCTGTGTAATACATCAAGTCTTCAGAATGGATGCCTTGGTAATTTTGCATAAAAGGAAAAGAAATGGGATGAAGTATCTGTGAGGATTAAGAGCAGTTGGCTATTCAAAGTATCAGGATTGGTTTGGATAATGGGATGTGTCAGAGCCAGATGGTTTACAAATAGGACATACAAAGCAACAAAGGGTCTACCAGAATTTTATGTACAAGAACTTGCTTTTAGAGATTTACCAAGTAAGCAAAGTATAAATATTTTCTCTCTTGGACCTACTGCTTTTTTCTCTGCAGAGGGATTAGAAAGTACCAGTTTAAGAAAAATAACCTCAGAGCTCCATTTCCTCTCCCCCAAAATTTCTGGAATGAAGAATTTACTGCAGAAAATGATGTATTTTTACATATCATTTGATGTTCTAAACTTCTTCTGATATCAGGGCTTTCCATGAGATAGGCCAGCAAATGAAAAATCATGGATGAGGGAATACGTGTAGTGTGTGATGTTTGGTTTTGTTCCAGAAGACCTTTGAACATACACAACATGGTATTTTGATCTCAAATAAGACTTTGCATAAACATAATACTTCTGTCTTAAAGTAGGTAAAATATGTTTGTTTTCCCTTTCTAAAGGTACCAAATCCCAGGGATTCCACATTATGTTTTGAGTAACTTGGCCCAAAAGAACTGGAGAAGAACAAAAGTGGAAATTATGGGCTCAAAAATTTAATAGAAATTAAATTACATCTTACCCAATTTACCCACTTGAGGAGAGTAGAACATGTTGGTCTGATGTTCACTGAGATGAGTTCTCTAACTGAAAAGGGGGTTCTTACTGGGTTGAGGAGCACTGTGTACAGCTAATTCTTATGCAACCAGACTCTAGTACTTCAAATAATCTGCTTATGCCAAGCAGTGGTGAACCAATTGTGATACACATACAATATTTCAGCTGGATGTAATTTACTCTCTTCTCATGTAAATCTAACACCTGCTGCTCCATAATCATAACAGGAGTGCTTTTATCCTGCGTGTTGTACCTTTGAGTGTTGTACTAGCCCTGTTTAACCTTCTGTGTGTGAAAGAACAGCACCTCCCATTTGCCTTGGTTCTTAACTGCTGCACTGGACACAGAGGATGAACAGAGCTCCTCAAGAACTTCCTGAGACCAGCCATCCTGTACTGCTCTTTTCACTTCCTTTTTCTTGAATAATGAATAATTTTGACAAGAATGCAGGGGAAAAAATTCACACTGCAGTCAAGTTCAGAGTTTATTTCAGGTCAAAATAAAGACTAGACAACCAGGAAAAATAAGTATTTCAATAACCATGTTTTGCCTAGGTTTTTTTTTTGTTTGTTTTTATTTCTTTCTTCATTTTACAGAACAGGGTGAGTGATCAGAAGCTAATACCAGTGTAAGATTCATGGGACTAAACCCTAGTGCACTGAGCTATCACATATGCACACCCTAAAGAAGGTTACCAAAATAAATCTTCAAACACAGAAGTACACCAAGTGAAATGGTGAATACTAAATTATTCAGCAACAGATAGAAGATGCTGACTGACAAATCCTAAAGGAGCATAAGCACCACAACATCCAGCTCAGGGAAATCCCACAAACATGATTAATTGGGGAAACAGAGACAGTCATAGACACAAATTTAACAATAGAAACAAGATCTGAATCACAAGTAAGGAAATGTCCCAGCAGATAACCCTACTTTCCTAAAAAATATCCGGTAAATTTGTGGTTGTGTTTTTGCTCTGTTCTGAAGTGACAATTTTGAAACCCAGACTTTTGCTCTTTAGGGATGAATTTGTTGTTGCTCTCCTTCAGCTAGCTCAACCTACAAGGTGGTTAGACTAATGTACATGCCCAGGCAGTTGAACCAGCTCTTACATGATGTAATGTAAGTCAGGTATAATTGTTATTTACCTCACCAGAGGATAAAGGAAAAACTGTTTTTTTCTACTTCTGTCTTCTGAGGCTTCTGTATGGAGCTCTTGTGAGCCTTGGCCAAACAGCTGTAAAACCAGGTTTATGCCTTGCCTCCCTTGGTCAGTAATTACTCCCTTGCCAAATAAATAGGTAAACCAAGTAGATCTTCATACTTAGGGAATAGTAAGCATAAAAGTTGATACATGGGCTTGTAATAGAATTTATCAGAGGGGGAGATAGAACATTTGCACAAACATGTTTGGCTCCATGTCCACCCCAAAGTGTTCTTCAAAGGAGGTGGGTTTTATTCCACAAAATTTCTCATTCCCGGCAGGGCTTGGGCAGCAGTTCAGAGTTTGCAGAGTTAGTGTCTGTTGTGAATGTGTGTCGCAAAATTGTAGATGTCCCCAAAGAATACAGAACAAAGAACACAACAAAGGTCAAGATGTGAGGAGCCATGTGAGTCAGACTGGGTTTTTTTCAACACGGTTTTGGATTTTTGTGCCTCAGATCCAGCTGTATTCTATTTGAGTCCTTTTTTGAACTGAATCCAGCTGTCTTCTGAAGAGCCTGTAATTATTTTGGTGGAGACCTAACGTATTGACAGAAGCTGCTGCAAAATCAGAAATGAGGAATCTCTACATTGATGTGGAATAACTTGTGGTCCCAAAAGGGACATTTCCCCATGGCCCTGTGCTGCTAATAATCATTGCCTCTTGCTGGATGTAATTGTGCAGGCACACCAGGCATTGGCAGAATTTCTTAATCTGATTTAGGGAACATGCACAGGAAAAATCATTGGATTTTTGTTTTCTTGCATCTGCAAACTCACTGCATGGCCCCACAATCACTGGCTTTGTTTGTGTGGGTGGAAAAAGGCAGGAGCACACAGCCAAGGGCAGGTCAGTAAGATGATTGTAAATCAGTTTATGCCAAACTTGAAGCCATACTCCAAGTACTTGTTCAACAGATCATTTGAAATGTTCCTCAGGTGTGTCTATATGAGTTGCAGTCACCACAGTGCAGGTGCATTTGCTCACAAGAACATAAATGAGCACGAGATTTGCAACAGAAAGCTGCAGGACAGGACTCAATGAGATTGAGAAATGGGAAGTCTCTGCTAGGTGACAGGGATCAAAGGCTCTGGCAACAGTTGTGATTGCCGGGAATCGGGATGGGAACATGACAACGAGTTGAGCTTTCAGGGAGAAGGAAGAGACAGGGGGAAAAGTGTTTCAGCTGCTGACAACGTTGATAGGCAGGCAGCCAAAAGGAGTGAACGATTGCATGTGTGCTTGGCATTGGCTCTCCTGGGAGAAGGAGTGGACAAAACAGAAAGAAGGAAGGAAAGAAAACAGCAAGGAAACTGAAAGCAAGAAAGGCGTTGCTTGGATCAGCTCTACAAATGTCCTCACTAGCAGGCATAGTCCATGCTTGCTCTTAATTGCACAATCTGATCTCCATCACACAGTTTAAATGTTCCAAGTCCTGGAACTTTAAACCACATGTTTATATGATTATAATTGCAAGTCCTTGGGCACTTTTTAAGAGCAACTAGAAGTCCTCTTATTAAACAAAAAGTCAGAAAAGCAAAAAAAGCCCAACATTAACACAGGATATTCCCCACCCTGTCATAAAAAGGTCCACTTCCCTTTTTCTAGAATGAGTGTCTAAAAAGCAGATGAACTCTTGCAAAACTCTTTGAGGAGCTGAGTAAATACTGAAACATTCTGTTTGGTTAGGAATAAGTCAGTTTTACTAACAAATTTTGGTTTCCTCCCTGCTGGATCTGTACTATTTTGAGAATTACCAAGTTTCCTCCCTGCTGGATCTGTACTATTTTGAGAATTATCTGTATTTGGGTGGTAACTAGAACCAAGCTTGCTAGCTACCACAAAATTCTGGTTCAGAAGGAAAAGTTTTATCCCAAATATTTTATTCTCCTGAAATTCATCAAAATAGCACTTATGTCTTATTCCCAGTTCTGAGAAAATTTTGGAAAACTTGCTCCATCACACACATAAAAAATGTGAGAGCAAAATTCCAAGTGACCATATTATGTTTGGAAAGGGCTGAAGCAGAGGAAGTTTGGGGAAGTTTGTTGAAGGCAGATCTGAAAAAAAAAAAAAAAAAAAAAAAAAAAAAAAAAAAAAGAAAGAACACTATGCATTTTTAGCACAGATGAGAACTGTAGAAATTAGCTGAATTTTCAGGAGGGATTTTGAAAAGCGGCATTCTGCCAGGGGCTAAATAACTGCTCTGACATCAAGAGAACTGCTCGGGGATGTGCTAACGTAGCTGCTTTCCTGGGAGAGGATATGAACCATACCCTGCCTGGGGCACGCTTCAATAGCTGTAGCAGACAAGGGTGAACCCAGTTGTAAAAGGAAAACTACGTTGACTGACAGAACGAGATCTTCGTGAGTCTGTGGCCGCGGTGCAGGGCCATGTGAGGAATCACGGAGGGCACGGGGCTGGCGGCGGGGCAGCGGAGCGGGTGCGGTCCCCGCAGCGGCTGTGCGGGCACCTCCCGCGGCGTCCCTGCGGTTCCGCGATTGCAGCGCGGCCAAGCCCGGGCTCGGGGAGGCACCGACGACTCCAGCGGAAGGGAACTCAATGATCTCAGAGTCTTTTCCAATCGAATTGATTCGGTGAAGTGTTTCTGTGCTGAACATGCTGGAGGCAGCGGCGGGGAGCGGAGGGCAGTGAAGGGGCAGCACATGGGGCGACAGAGGGGCCACAACAGAGGGAGTGCAGTGCGGCCGTGGGATGCTCCCGTCGCTGCACAGCCCTGCGGCCCGGGGCGGTGCTGCCCAGGTGGAGGGGCCGGGCCGCCCCTCCCGCCCGGCTCGGATTACCTGGGCGGGCCGGCCCGGCCTGTCCCGTCTCGTCACGCCGCCCTTCCCGGCTGGTCCGGCCCCTTGACGGGAAGTGGGAGCGAAGGGCCGCGCCGGGGCGGCCGAGCTATGGCTGTCCCCGCAGCAGCTCCGCTGCCCTGCGCGCTCCTCCTCGCCGTCTGCTGGGTGGTGGCCGCGGGGACAGCGGCAGGTAGGAGCGGGCAGGGCGGCGGGGAACGGGGACGGGGTGGCGGCGCTCGGGAGCGGCTGCCGGCTGCGCTCCGTGCCCGCAGGCGCGGTGCCGGTGCCGGCGCTGGCGCGGCCGCTCCGGGCTCTCCTCGTGCGTGGGTCGGGTCGGGCGGCTCGGCCGTGGCTCCGCGCACACGCGGGCATGGATGTAAGGGAAATGCGGGCATGGATGTAAGGGAAATGCGGGCATGGATGTAAGGGAAATGCTTTCATTTTGTAGTAGGAATCGCCCGAAGCTCGTCAGCCGTGTGCGAGGCAGCGCCGGCTGCGCGTTCTGCTCTGCCACTTTACTGGGAGCGGGGATGCTGAAAATCTGTTCTCCCCTTTCAGTAAGGCAGCTCTTGGCAGGGTCGGCAGAAATGTTTTAAGCTCTATCTTCGTTTCCCGGGACAGTTTTTGCCTTAAATCCCCAAGCAGACTCCCCCGCCCTCCCGCCGGTGCCCGCGTCTTGCGGCGGTGCGGGAGCGGCTCCGCCGTGTGCGGGCACGCAGAGCCTCCCTCGCTCTTCCTTCGGTATTCCCGATTTTGGAAGTACGAATGTTTAGTTTTAGGAAACATGCGTGCGCGTCTGTGAGGACTTAGTAAGGACCCGAGCTTGAAGGTTTATTCTCTGCTCATGTTATCCAAAAACCCAGCTATAGATATTAACGAGATGTTATTTTTCTCAACTGTCTGCAATTCAGTTTAGCACTGTGAAATCAACTTTCAGAAAATGCAGGTGGACAAAATAAAAGTATGATGAGTTTTTTACTACTTTACAACACTCTCACGTGGTACTTGAAGCAAAGGATTTGCTGATGTTTCCTCGTTAGGGCTTTTAGAAATAATGTTTTCTATGTCTCACGTAATGTCTGCTAGCTACTGCTGTTCTTCTTTTCTTAGAAGCACCACGGTGGTTTTGCATTTTAGCAGTGAAATAACGGCTTGCCTACATTTTGTGGTTGGTCATTAAGTTGTTCTGCAAAATTGCTATAGATATTTCAATAACGAGAGCATGAGACTATATTTTACACAGACAAAAGTATGAGATTGGCTTAATCTATGAATAAAAGCTGAATAAAAAACATTAAAACACGAGCTTCAGAATTCTGTACATTATTCAAAAACCTACTAGATTTAAACTTTTTACTTTTTTTTAATACGATTTACTGATTAATTTATCAGCTGTAAATATTAGCATTTCTTTGTGTGGCTAGTAATCTACAAACTTAAGTGCAATGGCTTCTAATCAAACCTTTTAGAAGAAAAGGTTTAGAATGTTTAGAGTAGAAATTAGGGATGGCATTTTTTAATGGTTTGTGGCTATTGTAGGTAAAAGCTCAATCATGACAAGATGGAATGTTTGGAGCTGTGTACTCTTGTTGATTTTTTTTTTTAATATGATCAAAAGGACTCAGTATTTGCAAACTTAATGTCCCAAGGCTGTTCCTAAAGCCCATCCTGTGTTTTTGTTAGTGGAAGAGGTAATAGGCAAAGACGTTCTTGCTACCTTCAGTTTTCTCAATAGAGACTGTATTTTTGCAAGAATAAAAATTCTCTCTTTCTGCTCAAACAAAATTCCCAAAAATTTTATGTATTCAAACAAATTAAGCATATTCAAACTAAATCAGTGAATCTTTGTAATTTTTCTCATTATCTATGCAAACACATGGATTATAATGATGCCTGATCTCTACCATTGCCTGTCCTTGAACTATGCAAAGGTCTGAGAGAGCTCCAGAAGTTTGATGAATTCCCTTCAATATTTAGCTACTCTGACTCTCAGGAAATCTAAAATAGTGGTGTCATGGACACTCTGAGCAGAACTCTTGCTCAAGGAAGCTCTTTTGGTTCTCTATCTTCCCTCTCCCTTGTGCTAACAGAAGGAAACGGGGCTGCACTGTGACCTGGATGGGAAAACTGATCTTGATGGAATTATTCTGCCCTTTTCCTATGAGCTCTCTTGAATGTTGGGATGGGTTGAGCTTGGTTCCCTTGGACAGCAAGACATGCAGCACGAGCTGATATCTGTTTGAAGGGTTTGTGAAACTATTGAGTAACAAGGGTACACTCTGTCCACAGACTAACAAGTGGCAGTGGCTCAGTGATGACACCTGGAGATACCCTGAGAAACAGCCTCATTGGGCTTCTGGTTCAACATCTTCTCATAGTTCATATTAGAGTAGCCCTTTAAAATTCACTTTTCCTTTCTTAGGGAATTCCCAGTTGGTGATGTTTTTCAGAATTGATGTCTGACATGTACTTTACTTTTTCCTGGAAGTTTGCCATTTCCTGTCATATTTCCCTTCTTTGTTTTCTAATATGATCTTCAAGCTTTGTGATGGATCTTGAGTAGGCATTGACTCAGTGCACAAGATAAGGAAGGGTCAATGCACAAATGGATTTATCGCTGCGACCGTTTCTGAGTCATGGCCCTGCTCTGCTTCTCATTGGCCTTTGCGGGGGTAAAAAATGGACCACTGAAGCATGGCAGCAGTAAATTACTACTTGTCCCACCCTGGTTTTGCTCACTGTGCCAGAACATAGCATTATATTTTTAATAGGTAATTGAGAAAGTGATGTGGTTTCCTTGTTGTTTTTTAACATTCTTGCATTTGCAGTCTTTGCTTTGCTTGCAATCTTTGCTTAAATTGTGCTTCTAACATACAGCTGTTGCTTGCAAGATGTAATCACTTGTCTTTTTAAGGATTTCTCTTTAAAGCTATGCTGATGGATAACTTTTGGGGAGAACACGGTATTAATTGCTCCACAAAATGTATATACTGTTTTTACTAAAGTTTCAGCATGTGATTCAACTTCCTTGAATGTGCAAAAGCTCGAGTACCACAACCACTGTGTTGTTGCAGGCTACAATTTCTTAAAAATACTTTTCAGTTAATTTGTGCATATTTAAATTATTTATGAGTTGAGGTAACACTTTGTGTTGAGAAACACTTTAGTGGGCTGATGAAGCTGAGAAGTTATTTGTGTTCTTTTCTGTCAGAGAGTTAAAAATCTGCCAGTATTACTAATGGTAAAGTGTGGGCCAGCAGGATTGTTACACTGGTAACGCCTTTCTTCCAGGAGCAAAAGTTCTTCCATCTCCATCCAACTTGGACTATTCATTTACCCATATCTGTACTCTGAACTGGACATGGAACCCCCCAGAGAACGTCAGCAGTAGCTGCAACCTGGAGTACTCCAGTGACATCGTCATTAATGGGGTTCCTGAGGACAGAAGAGTAAGTACATCACCTCTTTGGGCTCTGTGTTCCAGTAAATGTCTTAGTGTTAAAAATCTCCATGTGGGAGAGCATATACACATGTATAAATACAATTTTAACACAGCATTTCATTCTTATCGTGGGATCAAAACCTCAAAAGTGAATCATACCAGCATATGGGATCTTCAGATCAGAAGAATCTGTCTGTTGCTCTCTGATAACTGAGTGCTGATGGTAACACAGAAGTACTGTAATAATAATGGGAAAAGTCTCGTTTCAGTCTTTGCTTGTGCAGCTTTCTAGAAAAATTAGATACAGGGCAGTCTACATACTCAAGAATTTAATGGGAATTTGCAATTTGAATTTTTCTCCTTTACTTTGGACTCACTTTGAAGAGACATGCAGATTTCACTGTAGTTTGACAGTATTGCATGTTTTGGAGGTAATGCAAAGAATTAACATTCCCCCATTTACCTTCTCCCTGCAATTACAATTATTTATGGGAGGGTTGTGTTTTGAAGACAGTATGGTGCATGTTTGTTGCCTGGAACAGAAGTATGTAATTCATTTGTTTTGGGCTTTCATTTTCTGTGTTAGATGGTTTGCAGCCCAGATGTGCTCCTTGCTGTGGATTAGCTGCTGTTTGAACAGGGCATTGCCATGGTGCCCGTTGCTATGAGCTGTAGGACAAGATTTTTTACAATTTATTGCCAGTAAGAAAATAAATTCGTTATTCCAAACTCTGGGAGTTTGAAGCCTTTGGTAGATGCCAGCTGTGGGGGAGGCAGTGCTGCTATATCAGGTATGGTTACAATTGATATGATGCCTCTTGAAGGAGTCTGTTGTTGAGCCCTGTTACAGTCTTACAGCCTGATGCTTACATTGGCCTCTTCATGCTAACCACTGCATTTTTTCTCACAGCTCCAGGATATCCTGGACATGAGTAGGGATGTGGTTTGGCCAGTTTGGATGGAGCCTTGAGCAACCTGTTCTAGCGGAACGCAGGAACCCACAGCGAGGGGGTTGGAACTGGATGGTCTTTAAGCTCCCTTCCAGCCCAAAGCATTTTATAATTCTGTGACTCTGCATTTTGCAAACAGCTGAGCTGATTTAATGTTACACCTAAAAGGGTGATGTTTCATTTTGACACTAATGACCTCTAATAATCTTCGCTGGACCTTTAGATGAGCCAGTTGAACCTGCTAACACAGCAGAAACATATTTGCCTCTTTTGATTGATTCATTAACAAATCAACAAGTAGAAAGTCTCCTTGGTTGAAGAGCTGACTAAGTTTGTGGAAGGGTCTGATAGATAGTAAGGTCATCAGCAATGAAAGAACTGAGGGTCAGCAGTTTCACAGGACAGGATGAAACAGACTGTACATCTTGCTGCTTCTTTTTGCTCACAGAATCTGTTGGAGGTTAGGATTTTTTTTTTTTTTTAAGGAAATTTTCTCCCATTTGTTGCTAGAGATGATAACAACTGGTGCTAAAGAGAGACAAAAGAAGTGGCCAAGGTGGGCTGAAGGGGTGCAGCTGGCTGCAGCCCCTTAGCTGGGGGGTTTTCTTTTGGGAAGGGCAGAGATACTTTGACATTTTGGCTGAGGGTGAGGGGCTGGGCTCGGCTCAGAGCTCTCTCTCGCTCCTGGGGTCACAGGCTGTGGTTGCTGTGGGAAGAATTCCCCACCACTGGGGAGTCCCCTCTCCCACTGTTTTCTCCTACCGTGGGTGAGGCTGTGCTCGTGGGAGCAGCCATTGAACTGGGGCACTGTTAACACCTGATCTCTCAGGAAGGAATCCTGACCATCTACTCGGGTGCCTCAGGAAAACCCAGGACCCTGAGCCCCTTTCCCCTCCGAGGGAGCCTCTCCTGGTTGTGTTCATGGGCCGGGCTGACGCTGCCCAGCCCCGCTGTTCCTCTGCCATTGCTCCGGGTGTTTCACTGTGCTGTAACCCCACACCCTGCCCAACAGGACACCCCGCGGCTCCTGCTACGGCTGCGGAGTTTCTGCTACATTTCATTTATTACTGCGGCATTTTGCACACCGTTCCAGCTTGCTTCTTCTGAGGTTCCTACTGCAGCTCCTTTCGCCATCCAGAGGGGCACTGACAGTGGCTGTCCCTGCGCTTTGCAGACAAAGCCGCTTTTCCCTCTCTCCCGCCGGCCCGCCCGCCATCAGCGCGTGAGGGAGACGCGGCCGAGCTGGCGGCACAGCGCCCCCTGCAGGCGCGGGGAAGCATCGCCCCCTGCCCGGCCGGGAGCCAGCAGCGCCCCTGCTGGCCGTGCCCGGAACTGCAGCCAAGGCAGGCTGGGCTGGGGCTGTGCTCTGCCCGCTGGGGCTGCCGCTGTTTGCAGGGTCACACACATGCTGGCAAAGAACTGCTGTTCTTTTCTCATGTCTTTGCCTGAAAGCCCCGTTATTTTGGAGTTAGAAAATGTGGGTCCCCTTCCCACCAAATTATTCTATCCCACCTTCCTTGCCAGACACCTATCTTTTAAACCCACACAAACCTAATCTGTACATTTGTTTACCCTCTCATTAGTGCCAATGTTTATTATTTCTATATATGATTAGTTACAGCATTCTTTGGCCATAACAGATATAACAGCCATAAAGATATTTGTTTCGTACCCAGTTTCCAGTTAAATAAAAAGCATCCTCCTAGGCCAACAAAAGATGCTCAAGAAAGTGTGTGATAAAAGGGTGAGCCTTTTTCTCATACAAACATACTTGAAATGGAAAATCGTGAGATACTTGGGCTTGATGTGGTGTCACTGCTTTTAATAGCCATTTATGGGTTTGTTTTGGTAGGTTTTTCTTTTGCTCCTTAAATCATCTAAACTCATCTCACTGCTTTTTGGTTGCGTCTTAAAATGTTCTTCATTTTGTTGGTCATGTCCTCATGTGCACACACACAGAAAGGTGAAGGTCAGATCTGTAAGTGCCTGTTAATACCACTGTAGTATAAACAAGCTTATTTTGTATTATCCATGAAGACTTTTTCTAGGATCATTTTCCCCCTTGTTATACTTACTTCTTGATCTCTGTGTAGTCTTTACTTAGGTCTGTAGGTCACAGGGATGGGAGTAGTTTTTCTTTGTGAGTTCTGGTTGTGCCTGAGAAAGAAAAAAGCAAAGCCAAGCGACGCTGAGGCTTCCCGCATAGTCAGACACTGGTTTCCTTTGGCTTTGAGCTGTAGTCTTACTGAAGGGCTGTAATTTATCCTTATTCTGGCAGGAATTCCCTTGTATCTGAGATAATATGACAAATGTTTTGGTTTTCTTCCCCCATCTAAACCCAGGAGTGGAGCAAGAGCCGCTTCCGTGTGACGGATGCACACTTGAATGAGGAAATGCGCCTCAGAGTGAGAAGTGAATGCAAGAATGACAACACCAGTGAGCCCAGCCCCTGGGTGGAGACCTCCCTTCTGCCAAAAGGTAATGCCAGCAGTGGCCAGACCCCTCTTGGCCTGAGGAGACATGGCTTTTTCTCCTCTCTTTCAAGAAGAAATCATGAAATGCATCATAGAGAAACACCAGATACAAGGGCTGGTTTTATTGATAGAGCTTAAACAGAATGGTTATACCACCTTTAAACAGAACTGGGGTCTTCTGATGCTTAAAGTCTTCTGGGCATGCTTGTAAGATTGAAGTCCTCTTCCAAAACAGCAGTGTAGGTCCTGTACTTGTCTTCTGCCTCCTTTGAGCCCTTCTTTCTGAAGGGCTGTAATATTTCCTTACGCTGGCAGGAATTCCCATGCATCTGAGATGGTATGACAAATGATTTGGTTTTCTTCCCCCCACCTAAACCCAGGAATGGAGTACGAGCTGCTTTGGTTTTGGTGGTTGTGGCATTAGAGATAGGTCTGACTCCATTAAGCCTGCTGCCTTCATGACTGGCATCTAAGTCAGTTTATTTTTTATGATTTTTCTGTATAAACAGAAGCCCATAAAATAACTCTACAACTGTCTATGTAGGAGGGAGGAATGTAGTAAATTTAATAACTTGTTGAATAAATTGCTTAAATAATTGCAATAGGGTTCTGTCTTCTTCAAGAGATGAGTGAGGTCTACAAAGCATAGCAAAATGAATGAAGAAAAAGTATTTTTTGTTTCTTGGCATGCAGAAGTATGGGGTCCACAGCAAGACTCCTCAAAGTCTGTTAGGAAGCAGACTTTGAGGAGTAAGTTATTTTGCTGAATACTTGAAGTTAGGATGTACATCAAGAAAATGAGCCTCTTGCCTAAAAGTCTGTCTTAACCCAGGAGCATGACTTGATGTGGATGAAAACCACATGTGGCTGGGAGAATAAGAGACTTTATCAAGCCTGTGTGTGTCTGCCAGGAGGGCCCTGGAAAATCAGGGAAGCAGATCATTAGGACAACATGTACTAAACAGGCTGGGGCTTTTAAAAGTGTGTTTGCAGATGAAATATTTTTATATACTTCTTGAAACAGGAAAACCTGTTTCATTTCCCTATATTTTTAGTTGCTGCTTCAGGGAGAACGCAAGCTGGACTTTCAAAGTAGATCTGCATTTAATACGGGTTTAGTTTTTAGTTCATGGAGATGTTGCTACTTGTCAGAAGGAAAAGGTATCCAATGCAATGTAATATGGTAATGCAGTCTAAAGAACTCATACAGAAATGCAAGACTGAATATGAAAGACTTTATTCCATAATTGCTCTGCCTGGTGATCCATTGACTTATTCACAATTGCTAAGTACTCATTTATATTGATGTGACTTAAGTTTCCAAATGTTACATTTTGAGGTCTAAAGGTATACGAGTCTCCATTAAAAAGTCAACTTACCTAGTGTTGCTTTTGTCAGTATTTAAGACTCAGAGGTATTTTCTCATATTATAAATGCAAAGCAGCTAATACTGTATCTGGAGAAGCTAAAAATAGTCAGCCTTTAATTATGGTTGACACTGATAGTCATATTATAAATGCAAAGCAGCTAATACTGTATCTGGAGAAGCTAAAAATAGTTTTTAATAGCTTTAATTATGGTTGACACTGATAGCTGTAAAAGCATTTAGCTTTGTTATAGTTTTCCCTGCAATTACCAGCTACTTTGACTTATTTTTAAAGTACCTGTAGATTAATAGAAATAAATGTTTTCCTGACTCAATACCTTGTCCTTAGCATCTGGTACTCTAAGTAGCAATTAAACCACGGTGAGCTCTGGGATGTGCTGTTGTGATTGGCTTGCCTCTAGAAGTTACTCTGCTGAGATTTCAGCCATTGCAAGCTCTAAACAGCTGGAATTGGTTTGTTGTGCTGAACAGGCAGTGTAGTCTGGGAGGTAACCAACCCATTTCTGCCTTCCAGTTTCAGTTATGTAAAATGAAATGTTCTGCTTCTGGAAACAGCAGAGAAAACTTGGACAAAATAAACCTTAGAGAACATTTCCAACTTGCCTTGCAGGTATTCCAGGTACTGCTGCTGTTGACTTGGGCTGTGTTTGGCACAATTTGGAGTACATGGCTTGTACCTGGCGTCGTGGGGAGAACGCAAGCAGCGACACCAACTACACTTTGTTCTACTGGTTCGTGGGAGATTCGTGTTCTCAGCTCTGAAGTGCTCCAGGACTAATCTTTAGTTTTACATGACACATTCCGCTTGTCTGCTTCCTGTTGCTTATAAAATTCCCAGGGCATTGTGTCCAAGTTACTGCTCAGCCCCATCCAACAGAAAACTTCACCACTGGAGGGGTCAGAAGCTGCTATGGCCAAGACTTTTTGGGAAGCTGATAAAACTGTTTTGTGTCTGCTTCTGTAGCCCAGATTAACACAGCTGCTATTGCTTTCTATATTTTTCTGTTTGGGCACTTGATTCAAAGAGAGAATAATTAAGAACTAAGCTAGACCAATGTATTAGTTGCTTTCTTTGCAGCCCAACAAAACAGGATGTTTAAGTTAGGATTACCACAATGTATGTGTCAGCTCATAAACCATTGGGAAATGGTATGAAAGCATTAATAACTCTTAGCAGAACTTCTGTTTGCATCTTCAATGATGTAAATAACTGATTCACCTTTAAAGCTATGAAGAACATCTTTTTATCATCATCATCCCCTCTGGCCAGTGGACAGCCATAAATGGTGTCGTGTTCCAAAGGAGGAGACTTGCGTGAGCCAGGTCTTGGCATTGATAGCTGTACATGCTGATCTATGCATACCTCTGCACTTTGGGGCTTGTGAAATGCCAGATTGCATTAGCTTCTGTAGAAATAGTGGAGTTTTCTTTTCGAAAGCCCATGTTGTATTTTAAATCAGCTTTCTGTTTGATTTGAGCTAATTGCGTAAACTTTTTGCTCTTCTTCTCCTGTGGCAGTCTTGAAGGCCAGCTGTTCAGTTCAGGGCATTTGGGCAGCAAACAGCACAAATCTTGGTGCTTTCATTAAATGTGAGGGCAGTATTTGTTCCCTGTCTAGATTGCTGCTCAATCTTTTTCTTTGGTATAAGAACAGGACCAATGCAGGGTTGATGATCTGAATTTCTGGGTATAGGGATACTTACTGGAATAATGCTGTAGATTTGAGCTATGTATTTTCAACCTGCCCTTACTTTTAATGGAAGATGTAGCTGCACTGACTTCAAAGTGTTTTAATTCATGCTGCTTTGAAAGAATAAGACTTTATAGATTTTTAAAGAAAAAAACTAAGAAAACACTTCAATTTTAGACTGTAAGTTACATTTTCCACAATGCCAGTGAGGTGGGGTATTTTGTTTTCCTGGGAGGAAAGGCTAGTGGTGTATTTTCATTGAGACTTGGGCAACAAAGAGAAGCAAGGAAGAAGTTTGTCTTCCTAACTTCTCTATTATTGAAAGGGAATACTGACATTTTGAAAATCAAATCAGGGAAAACTCAACTGTCTCAAAGCTGCAATACTTGAGGCAGAGCTAAAGAAAATTGATCAGCTTGTTCTATCACAGAGATGAAATTCTGCTGACAAGAAGTGGTCCAAATTAGTATGTTTTCTAAATATTCTTTACTCCTTGGAATTGTTCTCCCATGTGGAAAATGTGAACCAAAGCTGACAGCAGTTGTTCTTTTTGATATAAAGCAAGCCTGCTTCTCTTTCTGCTCCTTGGCACTCTTCACAAAAACAATGCTCTTTCTAAAGCTTGAGATAAATTAGAGGCTGCTTACTTTGCGTAGCTTTACTTTTTTTTATATGCTATAGCATAGCTTTAATGCAATACCAGTCTTTAGAATTTGTAATACACATTTATAAACAAGCCTTCCCCTTGCTGTCCTTTTCTTCTGAAGTTTACAAGAATGATTTCTTCCTGTAGGTTTGATGGCTTGGAAAACGCTAAGGACTGTAGCAGCTCCTCTGTAGACCAAGGAATCTTTGAATGCATTTTCAATCTTACCTTCCCAAAAGACAGGAGAACTTATCCTGCTATAAGTATTTTGATTAGAGGGGATTCTGAAGAAGTTAGGCCTGTGTGTGCAAGTAAAAATCCTACCACCCTTGGTAAGTTTAACATCACATCATACAAATATAATTAAAATGAGAAATTTGGTAGTACATTGTTGTGTTTGAGAAACTTCATAAAGTATGGATGAGACAATGAGACTAGATGCTCCCTTCTACTGACCTTTGATTTGAAATGATATAGACAAGAGTTTGTTTTCTGTGGGATGGGTGTCTGGGAAGAAGGGGAGGGGTAATTTTCTATTAATTTCTACTCATTCTTTAGTTGGATTTACTCTTTTTTTGACTTACTGGTGCTAACTTCTTCCTCTTTCTCTTAATCTGCTGTAAGTGTAGTATTCTGCAATACAGGACTGAACAATTTTTGTAAGCAGTGAAACAGGCTTTTGAACTAATTATTCCATTTTGCATTGCAGTAAAACCTACCACACCAAGACAATTGACATTGTCAAAGACTAATGATGGAATTGATGTAAAATGGAGTGAATCAGAAACATTTCCAAAAAGTTGTTTAAACTACGAAGTTAAGTATTGCAATGGGGATTTGGACAATGGTCAGATCATTGCAGTAAGTTTTCGTTGCTTTTTTTTCTTTTTTTTTTCCTGTGAATCTTTTGTAATATTTGTGGTTGAAAGTGAGCAGTTGCATGTGACTGGGTTGGGTGCCAGAGCTGGAAGTGCTGTGTGAATGTAGGATTTTTCTCTCATACTGTAGGTTTATGTTAGTAAAAGCTGTACATCAAAATTCATGCAAGTCTTATGAATCCTTCCCATCATTTGTTAGGACAATTTGTTAGTGTGTAAGAACAGTCTGATAAAGAGGGATTTACTAGACTATCAGGAAATGGTGCCTGTCTGCTTCTCAGGCTTATGGGCTTTGTGTTTTGGTGTTGGGTTTTCCTGCTGTTGGTCTCTGGCCATGTGGCAGCTTTGGACTTGAATGCTGTGACCTGATTGCCCTAAAGAAAAATCAGCTGCTGGTGCACACAAGGACAGAGAATCTCACAGAGAAAAGCAAGGGGATAAAGACTGAGGATGGAGGGGAAGAAAGAGGGGGTGCACCCTCAGGTACACTGATTTTAGTGTGCACATAAAAAGCATTGAGTTTAGTGTCTGGATGGACTCGTGCTATATGTCCATAGCCAAACTGAATGTACTGTTTAGTCAGAATGATAAAAACAGCATGATAAATTTCAAAGTGAGTGGCAGTCTTCTCCTGTGGAGCATGTTTAGTTGTATATTCTATGCCAAACTTGAATGCTAGCAACATTCCCCAGGAAAGTGGTATTTTGGATAAAAAATAAGTGGTTAGGTCCTATCTAGTGTGTGCTCTTCTTTGTAGAGGCATCACAGAACACATTGCTATGGCTGGTTATGCTGCCCTGACAAGAAGGGAAGGTAAATCACAGATGTTTCTCAGAAAAAGGAAAAAAAAGTTTAGAAAGGCACCGTTCCAAATGCAAAGTCTTAGTTTAATCATTGATGCCAAATGCTGCATGATAGATGTAGCAGTGAATGAGATTAAATCTTAGCTTTGGAATGTGCATTTAGGCCTTCTGTGCTTGTTAAATTCCACTATGCCCTATTTTTAAGGTTTCATAGTCATAAAAAGGTCTTCCATCAAAACATTCAGAATACATTAGCTGCACAATGTAAATAGTCCTGGAAGTGACTGAGAATACAGTGCTAATTGAACAAAGCAAATTGCCTTTTCTTTTTTGCCTTAGTCTGAAGTGAATTCTGTGTCAATTGCTGGCATTGATCCTAACAGCAAGTACACCTTCAAAGTGAGAGCAAAGCCAAAGCGGGAGTGTTACAACAGCCACCTCCAAAGCGACTGGAGCGAGGAAAAGAGCATTGGTGAGACACTTGCCCTGCTTTGTGTTGCACTCTACTCTTCATCTGTTAAGGCATTTAAAACCTTTCTCTCTGCTAAATAAATGGGAGTCAGAGATCATCTCCTTATGTACCTATTTGAGTGAAAAGAGGGCAGAAGGGCTCTAGTCCCTCAGCAGCACCACCAGTCCCAGCCTGTGCTGCTGTTTTGTGGTGCCATTTGTGGAGCTGTGCAAAGTCCAGTGTAGCCAGTTTTTCAGCCCTGAGTCTTGCTCATTTGCATTTCCTTGCCAAGCACATCTACATTATAATCCCATCTTTGGAAAACAAGACTGTCCTTGCCTACAAAAGTGCTAGTGTACTTGAAAAAGCACTGAGTTTATGAAAAAATTGGAGAATTAACTATTTTGTTGTCGTTATTCCTAAAAAGCCTCTCAAAATGTCCCTAAGTTTCTACAATTTCTGTTTTCCAGGTGAGAAGAGAGATTCTACAATCTATTTTGTTCTAATAATTACCATTCCATTAATAGTGGCAGTATCTACAATAATTCTACTGGTTTATCTAAAAAGGTAAATATTGATCTCCTTACATTTGCTGCTGTCTTTGTCAAGATGAAAGTTATTTAGAATCTGTCTGTGTCAATGTTCCCCTTGTGTTTTGGGGAGTAAAAATAAGAAATGAGTACAGTTGTACAGAAAACGAAGGCTGGCCAGTGATGACAAAATTGACTCCACACATTTTCTTGACTGTACCCAAACATGATTTCGACATGTTTAAATGATTTTTGAATTAATATATCTTTAATCTAAATATTTTCTTTTTAACTTCATGAAGGTTGAAGATATTAATTCTTCCACCAATTCCAGACCCTAGAGAAATTCTTAAGCGCATGTTTGGAGAGCAGAACGAGGATTCCCAGGTTAGTAAGAAGCTGATCGGTCAACAAATCTATTGAACTGGGATCTCTAGGCTTGCAGTTTTGTTTTTCCTATGTCTGTCTTATAACTAACTGTGTAGAAGTAATTATATCATATGAAGATTAAGTATTTTACAATACTAGGAATTGTTCGGAAACAATTACTCAAAACTTAGATTTCCTTCCCCACCACCCCAGCTGTATGTGCTTTTCCAGTTAGATTAATAGAATTGCATTATTCTGTTACTCCAGTCCCTTAAATTTTTTTCAGGTTGGGGTTTTTTGGGCGGCAGTTTTCTGATTGTCAGGCTTCTTTTGCTGTGTGGGTTTTGGTTTGAGGATTGTTGGTTTTGTTTTTGCAATTCCATTAAGTGACTTCTACTGAACATTCATGTCTTTCTGCTACTTAATCATATTTATGATGCTGAATTAAGCTATTTGTGTTTGGCTTCCAGAAACTAACATTTTTAGCACTCTCACATTTATCATAGTCTGTCAGCTAGGAAGTAAATCAGACATACAGCTTCTTGTTGATGAAAGAACAAAACCAGCTATAGTTGTTTCAGGCACTGGTTGATGAAAGACTTGCAGTGGTGCCTTATTTTGGGGAAAAGAAACATAATACCCATTAAGGAAACTTTTCTAAATAAATCTTCCTTTATAAAAATCCAAAGAGAAATACACTGACAAGCCATAATTCAAACCTTGACATGAATGTTGTTCTCCCAGATGGGACTCTTGGCCACTGTGGTAGCTGTTACACTTTGTTGTGCTTTCACAAGTGTTTTGCTACTGCCCCAAGTAATTTTCTCTGTGTGCTCAGTGAAAACTCTACAAAGTGTGCTCGTGCTCAGCTCTCCATCCTCTTGCCTGAGCTTCACCCTTTGGTTGTAGCTGGAAGCACCCTTAAAGTGGGGACCAACTTCATCTCTAGAGGATATCTCTTCTGTCAGCCAGGCCTAAGCCATGGCTCTGAAAAGCACAGTTTGTTGCCCAGCTACTTTGGCTTCCCACCATAACACAGGGTCTATGTTGTGGAACAGGGGTCTGTCTTACTGGGGTGAAAAAGCAACCCTTGCCACGAGGAGACACTGTTAAAAATGTTGTTCCTCTCTTTCAGAGCTCTGCAAAGGATGACCCCACAAATGCTTTTGACAGGTTAATTATAGAAGAAGAAATTCATTCTTTAATTTTAACAGAAACTTCAGAGAGCAGTAATCCTGAAAAAGAAAACAGGTAGACTCTGCTTTATCAGTGAAAGAGGAGGAGGCTGATCCTGCTCCTGTACCTCAGGTGACTGTAGATGTGAAGAGGCCTGTGAGGCACTGGCCAGCTCTGACTCACTGGCTCCTCCTCTGAAGATGCATCACAAACAGTGGCTGTTCTTCCATCTCTGCCAGAAATCCTCATCTGAGCTCAGTCAAGATGCAAGATGAGCATGTATGTAATTCCATGGGACTGCATTGTGGGTTCCCTGCTCTGGCTTCAGCCAGCTCCGCCCTGTTACTCGCCACTTGCACTTGTGTTTGTGCCTCACACCAGACTGTCAGGGTTTTTTTGTTTGGTGGGTTTTTTTTTTTTTTGGGGGTTTTTTTTTTTTTTGGGGGTTTTTGATTTTTTTTTTTTTTTTTTTGAGCAAGCACTGTGACTTCTCTGAAGTATTTGGCTCTGTTTGCAGTAGGTGGGATGGGTCATTAGTGCTACACGTGGAGCTGCTGCCAGGTGGGATGGCAGAGCATGGACTGCTTGTGGATAACCCTTTGTGTGCCTGGGCTGGGCACTCTCTAGAGGGCATTTAGGGACTGACATTCTTGTGCTTCTGCCCATCAGCTGGGGCTTGGTCAAATCCCACTAAAGAAGGAATTTAATTTGAAAATGTGTATGAAAAGCCTCTGCTTTCCAGCTGGTGTTCAGCATATTCATAAAAAAGGCTTAGTTTTGTTATCCTGTCAGTTGCCTGTCCTCAGATGCCTTGCCTTCATGGACTTCTTGGGTTAATTATACTTTGTTTAAAATGAGAAATAGATTTTTTTTTTACTTGTTCTGTGCAGTAGCAGATAACTGTATTGAGTCTCACCAGACTGTGATTCTACTTTGGCCATATTGGCCTGAAGACACCTGATTTTTAGCAGCTAAGTTGTCCTGAGCCTGTCCAGCAAAAATATCAGGATGGATGCATGAGTCTAAAGAGCTGTGGTCAAACTGATTAGCAAATATTAAACCAACTAATTCAAAGGCTTCAAGACCCATCCTGCCAAACTGATGGATTTGTGGAAGAGGGGGTGACAACCTTGACCTGTTTTCTAAGAGATAAGTTTTATTCTTTCTATAGTGATGAGACTCTGATTTGAGCTTCCCCTCTAGGACTTAGCAATGTAAAACAAGGTGCTGACTTGACTTTTTAAAAAAGATTTCTTCTATATTTTACTGTAACAGTTTGACAGGTGTTTTTGTTGTTGTTTTGAGGGTTCTTTACCCAGGAAAGCTCAGCAGGTGTTTTCTGGACAACTGTGACATTTTTCTGCTCTGCATTCTCAGCATTAGTTTCTGCCCTGTGCTGCAAGGGTGGTTACAGTGGTACCTTGATTGTGCTGGAGGAAGAAGATAATGGAATGGAGAGAAAAGGATCCATGGAAGCCCTTTATGATTAGTGCTCAGGGATTTCTTGCTCCTTCCAGATAAGTGTAGACAAGTGAGACATGGGCAGTCTTAGCAGACTGGGAAGAGATCTCCTGATAGGCTTTCTAGGAGCAGACTTTATAGCTACTAACCTTTTACAGTTCATCCCTGTCTTCAAACTCCATTCAGTCAAAAAAGTGAAACTAAATGCTATTATGTTTAGAACATATTGTTCTGCACGAAGTAGAACGAGTGCCACATGCTTATTAGCTATAAATGTGCATTTTTATGCACTTATGTATTCCCTCCTTATCAATAAATCCAGTTATTTCCCCATTGTCCACTGAGCCTCTTAAATACAGTTTTTTCCATGTCTCTTATCCTCCTTGTGTTAGTGGTAGAAAGGGGAGGAGAAATGTAGCAGAACTAGCAGACCCCCTATTAGCATATGCCTTTTACCTCCAATCAGGCTAAAAAAAACTCCAACATTATAAAAAATTAGTAAATGGGACAAAATAAGAATAAAGCCTCAGGGATTTCAGTGAGGAAAAAACTCAGGTTATACAGTCAGCTAGTAGCACTCTCTGAAATTCCAGAGATTAAGGAATAGCATGAGGAAAACAGTAATTACATTCCTTGCTGAATTCATTCTCTCTGCAACATTGATGTCATTATAATGATAAATATTCCTTCAATCTACCTCATCTGGAATGTTACTCAACATAGACCACTAGACAGAAATGTATAGTTTCAAGATAAGTAAGCATAACAGTGTAATATAAAGTTTTGTAGCTTTCAGCATAGCAATCTAGGTAAATTCAGTACTTACCCCTAAATTCTTTTGACTTTTATGCTGGTGTCTATGACAAAACCAAAATTTATTTGCTTTTTAAAAAAAACAAACCAACAAAAAACCCCAAACAAATTTGTAAAGCCATAGAATGAAAAAAAGAAAAAGGATGGAAGGTGTTAGGCCAAAAGGAAGATTTAAATGGTCAGGATGGTTTAAGTCACTATATAGAAAGGTTTTGAATAACACTAGTTGACACTTCCTCATGGATTCATTTGTTGAGCCTGTGTTTCAGCATGCAAAGCAAGTGTCTGAATATACTTTCACCTTCAACGTGTTTTTTATTAAGATAAGAGGTTTTTTTAGCTTGAAATTATCCACATTTTGCTATGATTTATTTTTTTCTTCATTGCAGTTACTTGATCTGTAAATTTCTTCAAAGAGTGAATAAATGTGATTGAATTGTTTTCAGTGTAATGGCATGGCATTTTGTTCTTGGGTTGAGGAGATTGAACTGAGGCCAAAGAGATGGAGTTTTAATGAGGAACCATGTGTGAAGCATGCAGAACCCAGAGAAGAAAAGCTGAGTTGCTTTGCCCTCTTCCCTTTTAAGAGTGAACTTGGCCCACACACCATTGTGGATGGACTGCAGTGTCTGTGCTTTTGGCTGGGGTAGTGGAACAGAGATGGAGCTGAGCAAAAAGTTTGGGCTCTCACCCTCTGTACTCAAGGCCATTCTGCTTTCTGACATTGGCGTGTTATTTTAACACCACAAAGACTTAATAAACCATCAAACTGGAATTTGACTGAAATTGCTGCAGCCTCCCCCAGTGTATCTTCAGTGTTTTACATCTTTGTTAGCTGCTGAGGTTAATGAAAATGCCTGGTTGCTAAACTGCTGAAAGCCATCAACTTGCCATTTAGACCCAAATATATTCAAGTGCCAAATAAACACATTAGTAGTGGCTTCTTGGAAAGAGTCAGAGAGAGAATTCTTAGTTCCCTTCAGTGACCAGATCATTCAAAATTAAGATATAAACCATGACATCAGAAGCAAGGCTTTCGTATTTCTCTTTCACAATTCTACAGTTTTGATGGTAATAATGACTAACAATGATTTTAATCACTCCCCGTAAGTGACCTTTTCCTATTTTAATACATTCTGTTAAGTAATCTAAGCTTTCTGTTTTTGGCATCATTGAGAAATTGAACAATTCATTTCAGATTTTTTTGTTCATTTCTTTTCGGTTAAGGAATGACATGATACAGTTGAAAAGTTCTAGAGGAACACACTGAAGTGTAAGTCACAGTGTTTCAGTGCTTACTGGGTAGAACTGTTCACAGGTTGGGTATTTCCATTCACTGGAAAGTATTCAATAAACTTATTTCTGAGCTGGAACTTCAAATACTCAGAATTTCCTTTGATTTTTTTTTTCATTATTAAAAAAAAAAATCAGAATTTTTTTGTTTTGGAGGGTTTTCCACTCACTCAAGCAAGAACAGGATGTAGGTGAGTAGGGGGTGGAAATCCAGATATGGTCAGGATGTTGCAGAAACCTCCCTCCCTCCTTCCCACCCAGTGCTGTGGTCAGGGAGCAGCTGAGATCTACAGGCCCAGGAACAGGCAAGGTGGGACCGGGAGGAGCAGTTCTGCTGGGTTACAGAAGGTTCATCAAGATAATCCCCAACTACTTCCGTTTTAAACAATATTTGCAAAATACATTTTAGGGGAGCATTGCCAGCTGTAGAAATGTAGCTTCTAGACAACACTGAAAATCCAAATGCAAAAGCAGATTAAAATCTCTCTATTTGGATGAACTTCCTGCAAGCTGTCACTCAAGGTGGTAGCAGGAGGCTCAGGTCACATGATGCAACAAAATCCACACTGTTACCACAGCAAAGCAATGTGGGTTTGGGTGGGTGGCACGGGGAAGAGAAACTTTCTTTCGGCTCCGGAAACTCTGTCTCGGGTTTCTGACATGTAAGAGCCTGAAAGCTTGTTGATGACTTATGGGGGTTTTTTGGGGCTGGTTTTTTCAATCTGTTTTTCCAATATGCTGGTTAGGTTAATGGAATCCTTTCTCTTTGTTTGTAAACCTTGTGGTGTTTATCACTGAAGGGCCCCTTCTATGGCCATTCTTTGGTTATTGCTTAGTTTTCTGAAGATGATAGATAGTAATTCAGTGGGGAAAGACAATTGCTGCTGCCACCACAGAGCTGAAAACCAGCCAGTGTACTCTAGAAATAGTCTCTGCTTCTTGTTTGGCTTTTGCTAAAATTCTGCAATTGTTTTGCTGACTCTTGCACAACGCAGCTACAAAAAGGTAACTTTCCAGTTAACCAGGACTTCCAGTAATCATGTTCTCAGCTTGTTATATCAGTTTCCCTCTATTTAATTTGGCTCAAACAACAGCTAAACAAAATAGCAGCTTATTTTGGCTAACTGCATGATGAGATTAAAAGCTTTAGTGAGAAGATGTTTTGTCATGCTCAGGCACTGTCACTTTTTGGAATCTCAGGCAAAATTTGCAAAGCTAGAGCGAATGTTAGGGGCAGCTTGAACCAGGAGTTAAGCTAAGCTAATGCTTTAAAAGTAGAGCTGCCCCTACATCTTCTGTGCACCCAAAAACCAAACCCAACTAAATATGTGCTCTGTGTTGGGAAAAATTAAGTTGTGCAATGGACATGCTGTCCTAGTGATCTACTGAAACTGGTATCAGCAATTTCTGCCTCAAAGTTCTCTATTCTGAAACACCACAACTGAGCTGTATTTAACACACTTAGCAATGTCATTGCCACTTCTTTACCTGCTCAGTTGTAGCAATATAACTGATTTTTTTTTAAATGGCAGAGAGCACCAAAATTAGCCTGTTTTGCCTGTTGGAGCCTTTCTCCCTCCTGTACTTCAAAGCCTTTTAGCCTCTCTCTAGTTTCCTTTCTTCATGCAAAATGTCAGTGTGGAAACTTCTAAAATGCCAGCAAGGTACGCCTAAAAGGTGTGAAACTGCCTGGTCCTCCAAATGTCAAAATCAGCTACAGGGAAACCTATTCAGGGTATGGCTATTTAGTTTTAGTATCACACTCTGTCATGTTCTAGGAGAATATTCAGCTGTAGACAACCTTGCCTACATTTCAAAACAAGGACTTTTTGAGCTTGGTTTGGAGTAAAAATCCTGTTTCTAAATCCTTGGGACCACCAGGCCATTTTATTAGGTGTGTAACAGTAATTATTTTGTTTATGGGCTATATGAAAAATTATATTGATCATCCATTTATTAAAGCTTGGGTAGGGCTGGAAGAGTTGTCAGGGCATCCCTGCCATATTTTCTTCTTCTGAATGGTGGCAAGACACAGTGCTCTTGGTGATCTGCCAAACTTGTAAAAACTCTACTAGAGAGTCTCCCAATTATTTTGTCTCACTGCTGTTTTCTCCTTAATTCAAAACTCCTCCAACTGATCTGCTGATTTTTACTGCAAATAAAGTTTTCTTTTTCTCTGTCCTCTCACCAGTCTTGTTTGCACTCTGATCATGCTACCAAGTTCTGTCCCTGATCTTTTCTGCTTTGAGAAAGTAAAAAGGAAAGAAATGGAAAGAAACAATCCAAGATGTTTACATATATTAATTTGTTTATTTATTTTCTCTTCAGTGTTGCACAACTTCTACATCACATTAATTCAAAATTAGTATTATCTTTATGATCTATGACTTAGGAACTTTTATACACTCAAAAGTACCACTAACTACATATACTCTACCTTCCTCCATTCTTTGAAATTAATGCTGAAAACACAAGAAACATACATGTAATGGTTTAGAGTATAGTTCTTTGGTCAGGTACACCTTCCATAGTAAAGAAATTTGCTCTTACATTATTTTACACTCAGCAGTAGCAACACACAGCAGCAATAAAGGTGATTCTCTTTGATGTTTTGTAGGGATAATGACCCTGTATCTTAGCTCAACATGGCAAAACTATCATTTTGACAGACTCAAGATGAAAAATCAATTTGTTTTACACTTGTGTTAATAAACACTGAATGAAGGTAAAACAGCAAGTGGTTTCTTTGCAGAGGACCTTTGCTCCAGTGCTAGATTGGCAGGGAGCAGGGAGACAGGCAGAGTGGTAGAATCATAATAACACTGCAGCACTTCAGCCACTGAACTCAACTTCATAAGTCCAGGGTTATTTATCAGGATGGTGACTCTACAGAATGATCCAAAGTAGTAAAATTCCAAGTCAACTACAGGCATTGGATATTCACCAGCTGTACACAGACAGCCTGTACTTCAACAATGGCACCCCAATCTGCAAGAGTAAATATCTCTCCTTCCCAGCTTTGCCACGAAAAATTTCAAACACTTGAGTAAAATAAAATTATATCCTTGAATGTTTTAAAACATTATCTATATTCCACATAATTCTGACATTTCATTTAGTTAGGAGGTCCTAACATAGAGGATGAAATTATTAATGCTTTATGTTTAAAGTGTACTAAGCAGTGCAATGCCACAAACAGCCTTAGGCTCCATTTCTATGGTATGGGGTGAAGGAAGGTGGCTGGACCATCTCACCAATGTGGCTCTGTGACAACGTCAGCCACATCAGCCCTTTTGTACAAAGACAATGCCTTTAAAAATTGCCTAAAGGAAGTTTCATTAAAGAAGAAGAGTTTCATTAAAATTAGACTTCCATCTGAAGTATATGTAAATAAAAAACACTGGCTGACACAGTCAGCATGGCTCAGTTTGGAACACGAAGTGCTGTGTAACACTCACTCCAGAGCAATGGCCTCCCACCTTCACCTACCCATGAGCAGCACAATGACACAAATAACACTGCAAGCAACATCCTACTCTGCTTGGGTTGGTATATTTTCATTTTGCCTTCTGTGGGTACTCTGAAAGGCATGAGTTGACAAACATTGCTCCAGAACTAATACTTCTGATTCATATTAAATAGATAAATACAGTCACATTTAATTGACTTTTAGTCACAGTGCAATTTAAGTTAAACTGTTCACCTTAATATATTTTTAAACTGTAAACTACACTAGAAAGACACAACAATGTTATTAATTTAATAACTTTTTATCTGAAGTTGCCTGTGAACTTGTATGTAACAAAATCAATTACATTTCTCTGTCAAATGACCATTAATTAGGCTGCTAAAATGTGCCTAAGAATATATCTGTTCCTATAAATTAACTCTGTGGGCTTTGGTCAATAATGGTACAATTTACCTGGCAAGTCTCTGTAGTTCTTTCTTCTCAAAGAATTGAATTGAGAGCAGCATTTCAAATGGACAAGTACTCAAATTGCAAAGAGCTCCTGCTTGAAAATAATTTTGTAAGAAACCAGCTCCTTAAGTGATTTGAGGCTGTTTAACATGGAAGAAAAATGTGCTACTTGATTCTGGACCAGCAGGAGCCAGTCGCTCCTCAGTACAGACAAAAAGTTGGCAAAATTTTACAGTCCTTTGCTTTTGTGGAAGTAGCAGCTTCTCATAATTGCTGAACTCCTTCATGTTCTCAGAACACACCTAGAAATGATGTAGCAAACTGTATATCCTGCCATAATTAGCATTTCTTAAAGACAGTTTTATCTTGCAAAGCTCAAAGCAAGTTCCAATAAAAAAATTGTTTTAAAAATATTTCATTACTCATACTAATGAATAAAATATGTTAAAAACATTTGGATGCTATACTCACTACCTAACACACTGTGTACAAAAGCAGACATATAAAAGCATAGCACCTTGCTCAGATGAAAAGAACTGAAAGTGGTTTCCTGGATCATGGTACTAAAGGCACCACGGTATTTAATCCCTTTCACAGTAAGCTTCAAGCCTAAAGAGCAGTTAGGCTGCCTCTGGTAGCTTTCACTAACAAAGATCACTACAGAACATCAAAATTCTAATCATCAAAATTATTCTAAATTCCAGCCTAAATTTTTATCATAGCCCATTAATTCTTTTGCAAACACTGCCTTAAATATTAGGAATGCTTGCCTCCCTTCTCAGTTCTCATGCAGATATATACATTTCCTGTGTATGTTTGTGCACAGGCACAGAAAGACATCTGACAATCACTTTGACTCCTTGGTATCCTGCCAAATGATCAGCTCACTGTACTGCCTATTCATCCTTCTTGAGCATCAGCAACCAAGACATTGTCTAATCTGTTTCAAGTCTGAAAAACAAAGGCAACAATTGTCCTTTCCAGTTACATGGATGACCATTAAAACTGCCCTAAGAATTGTCATTTTGTACTTGTGTCTGCTAGTTCTAGAAAAGTGCAATGTGTAGAGGGTGTATTCAAGTTACAGCAATTTTATTTCCCTACTTTTGAACAATATACATTTGAAAATTAAGTTATTAAATTACACTGGGTCCAGCACACCTGGTTCCACTGTCTTGTAGATTTTGCTCAGAAAGACTTCCACCTTGTCATCACCCAAGTGACACATGTCCAAGATGCAGATAACGTGTTTGCCATCAAGCTCCTCCGCTGCTTTTACAATTTCATCTAGAAGTTAAGGAAAGGTTTTATTTTAAAAGATGTTTGCTGTATACACTGTACAGAATAAAAAGGTGTACAGAATTGATAATATTCTCCATACAGTAATGTTCAACCTTCTTTCAGTGAAAAATTTTATTCATAAATTCCATCACTAGAAATGACAGAATCAGATATGAGTTTGTAGTTTGGATATTAAAATGCTGTCTTCAGAGGATGAGAACTGCTCCAGCAAAAACTGCCTTCAAAGTTCAGTATTACAGCAATTTACTAATGGTGGTGAAATAGAATTCACATCTCTTTCAATGAAGAGGTGAACTGAAGAGGATTAACTCTTGCACTGATAGATAAACCAAGAAATGATACATGAGTAACATCAGTGAAAGGCAGTCTCACCTGAAAGAGGAAATGTGTCATGAAGCCTCCCACTGCTGGTGGCCTTCTGCGGGCATGCAGAGATACAACTCATACAAGACAATAATTTATCATTCTGAATGTCGTCCAGTTGAAATAAGTGGGGATTGTCAGGGCAAAACAGTGGAAGAAAAGCAACATCTATTGCTATGTCATGGTTTATACCTGTTGAAGAAAAATATTTTATGTCAGCAGAAAACTGCATATTCAGCCCATCAGCAACTTAGCGCACCACTTCTCTTTTTTTAAACAAACCAGTGCACTGATTTTTATTTACATGTTTTTTGTCCATTAGTTAATAATTAATGTCTAAAAATATGTTTCTACATAGGATTCTACACAAGCACATTCAAATTGATATGATGTTATGAAATACTATGATTTAAGGCTAACAATGCTGATAGTTCAGAAAACATTAAACCCTGGAAGCCATTTCATCCTCCTTTTAACTTTATCTGCAAATGCAGAGAAATTAACTTTACAACCAGTAAAGTGTGCAATACAGTGCTACTTTAATCTTCAATACTGTATTGTCAGTCCCAGGATTCTAATGACTTCAAATATTCAAACACCTTCTCTGAAAATGTCCCTTAGCAAATAATGAAAACTTTTAAATTATGGGAACTTAACATGAGCATTGGTAAGCAAGGCAATTTCTGTCCCCTTTTAAAGGGAAAACAAAACCAAACTTAATAACCATCAATAAAGCTAGCAAACAATTACACATCAACTTGCATATTTATATTTTAATAAATAAAAATCAATCAACTGACACTTAATGTTAACCAGAAGCAACATGGAGCAGTTAATGAGTACGGCTAAAATACAGCCTTTCATTTATGCCATGGAAAGAAGGCACTTTAGGAGCAACAGTATGAAAAAACCAACTCAATGAGAATAATGCTGAAAAGAAGCATTTATAGTTGTCTTTTTAAGAACACTAACTTTTTTCTGATAAACACCTCTCCAGTGGAAAGTCAGCTGGCAAATGCAATTGAATAACCTGCCTGATTACATCAGGGCCTACTTCTAACTGAAATAATCAATAGCTAAGGACTACACATATTCTTCAAATAATACTCGTAAGACTATACCAAAAACTGAAATTATACAAAAAGTGGTACTACAAACAAGATATTCAGGCATTTCATTGGAAGGTATGTTTAATGAGAATAAAATTTAGTCTAAATGGGTACTCTAACAAAAATCTAAAATGTCAATAATTTTTCAAACCTCAGGAAATACTCAGAATCAACTGATTCCTTTAGAGAAATCCATTCAGTTTCTGATGAATTTACACTGCTCTTGCTTAACCTTTTTTACAAGGCAAGCTACTTACCCAGAACTGTCACTTCATAATATCCAAGGCCATTAGCACTTTTAAACTCATTGATGTTTTTATCTGTTCTGGCTTCTATTGGCTGGTGCACTGCTGCATGAAGGTTGTACTGTTGCATAAGTAAGTCTTTGTGCACATAATCAAATTTACATGGGATACTTTCTGGGAAAATTTTGCTGTGATGAAAATAATTCATTAACTTGTCTTTCACTTGTGCCCACAGGTCACTCTGCCAGGAACCACAAGTTCTTCCAGGCTCTTCAGTTTCAGCTATATTATTCACTCCTTCTTGATCTGTTATAAGCACAGAAAACATTTAGTTGCTTATATAATTGTATCACTCATCTGTTAAATAAGAAATAATTTTAATTAGAACATTTCAATTATGAACACATGGCAGAAATTAAAAGAGCTACAAGAAAACGTGAGGTCTTATGCTATGAAGTGCTTCTGAGATACTAAACTAACTTAAAACTTCTATAAATATATACTGAGAATTCATTGCCCATAATGGGAAACAATGCAATGCTGTCCTTTCAGCCATCCTTAGAACCCAGGAGGGAACATTGAGCAGAATGACATTCATGATACATTGCTACAGTGGCTCCCCAGAGGCTGATGCAACCAGATGTACAGAGGAACTGTCTTAACAAAGGTTATAGGGATATCTTTGTTGCCTGGTTTGGACCTGAAGAAAAGAAGTAGTCCTAAGCCTCCTAATGTTAATATAACAACTATTTGCAACGTACCTGTGCAATACTGCGAACTGTCTGACACAGCCTGTTCATTTTTATCTTGCACAGAATGTCCATGCTGATATTCATCTAAGCTATAAAAAGAAAATGATAGTGTGTATATGTGTATATATATATATATTTACCTTAAACCTAATTAACCTCAAACTCTATGCAGCGAAAGACAGACTTCTAGTGATAAATGATAGGAGCTCGAGTGAATGAGCTGATTCCTTACTGTGAGAGTTGTATGCAGCAGCTGGACACAACGAGACGCCCGTGCTCAGTGAATCAGCTTGCAGAGCTCAGGACTAGCCCTGCCCGATTCCTGGCCTCGGGAAACACACGGGGAAGGCAGGGTTGTACACCGGCAGCCGGTGTCTGCTGCCCTCTACCGGCACCTGGCCGAAACACCACGTGTGACACGGCCAAACTCACAGGCGACCAACAGGTGACTCGATCGCAAAAACCTGGTGCTCAGCATGCGGCCATCCCCTTCAGCACCCAGAAACACAGAAACACGAATGGAGCCATGCCACCACTCCGGAATCCAAAACGACAGAAATTCCAAATCTCTACTTTCCTGTGGACATACTGCCCTGTTGTAATGATCAGCTCAATGAAGCAAACTAGGTATTTGTTAGACTTTCTTTTTTCTAATAATAAAGTTTTGAATTAATGGTAAGAAACTATTCTTTATCAATCTAATAAATTACCTAGGCTATTATGCAGGAACAAAACATAGGAGGCACTCTGCAAGCAAACATGGTAAAATAAGCTCTTAGGCCCATATATTCCTTTCTTCTTTGATCCATTCCTCTTATTAGAACAAAACCCACTGCGATGTCTGAAAAACCTTAGGGAAAGGACTATCTTGATTATCTTGCACCACAAGCAACTGCAACAGGTAAGACTTTGTTAAGGTACCATTAAAATTCCAGACCATCAAAGTAGTTAATAATAATGACAAGATACAGACAGTAAAAAAGGAATCAAATACGAACATGCTGTTTACTTTGACAGCATATTGTACTAATATTAAATTTCATAAGGATTCATAGGTTTTAAAAATATTTTTTCTATTTCATACTAGGGTGTATCTTGAAAATTTCATGTCAACATTTCCTAACAAATGCAAAATATCTAAAATAGTATCTAGTGAAAAGATAAAAGGAAATGCACTATGGGTTTTGAGTATGAAAGTGTATTTTAAGAAATGCACTCCCATCATGGATGGATCACCACTGAAGTGACTTCCTTGTGATGTCCAAATCTAGGCACAAAAGAATCTTCACTTAAGCAGTATGGTCTGTGCAATTACTTTCCACAAAATTAATTTTCACTTTTGAGATCTGGACCTGTCAAACATAAAATGAAACCCCAGCACAGTGTTAAGAAAGGCTTGCTCAGAAACCAATGTGTCAAGTTAGGTACACACCAACTTCCCTCCTCATTAAAGCAGAGGGCTAAACCAAGTCACACTGCTGACAAGTGGGTATTGTGGAAAGTGGATATCATGGGTTCTTTTCTTTTAAAATTGTCTAGATTTGGCAGTGAATAGGCTCTGATTTAAAGCAAGTAGAGGCTCAAAAAAATACAAAAAAACGTGTCTCGATTTTTCCCTAATTCTTTCACAAATCTGTAGCTGGGATAATTTCTACCTGCCCAACACATTATTCCTCCAGGCCTGCTTTGTGCTGATGTGTGGACAGCCTGACTTGAGCTAGGCTTGTAAGGGAAACTACTTGTCTCTAATACAGTCCAGGTGCTTCTTTGTGAACGAACCACTATGCCTGCAATGCACCTGAGGCCACCCAAATCCTTCCACATACTGCAATGTGCTCCTGCTGTTGTGCACCAAACACCAAAACACCCACAGCCTATTTTACCCCTGCCAGCTTTAGGAGAACCTGTGCCCTGACAGATTTGCTGTTTCCAGCCTGCACTCTGCAGACACCCCTTTTCGCAGATGTCCGACTTGAAAAAATCCTTTTACTTCATTATTTTCAGATACATTGATATTCAGCTTGTCATCATTTTATTTTCAAGTATTGTCACCAAAAATAGCATCCATCAAAATATATGGCAGATCAGTATTTTCAGAAACTGTTGGGAAAATAAGCATGTCCCATGCTTCACATATATTTCCTAAGCACTGGGACTAAATGTGATAAATGAAATTAAGAAAAAAAATAGTTATGACTCACAGCTATGCCCAAACAATGCACGGAAGTAAAGTGCCTCAGAACAATACAAGAAAACATCCCACTCACTGATAAAACTGGTAAAACTTTCTTTATAGACTGGCTTGAAATGAACTGTTCTGACACCACTGTGATAAACACATCTACCACAGCAAGTAACAGAGAGACCAAAATGCCTTCTATGATAAATTGACAAGTCTACACAAATTGATTTTTAGTATCTACTAATTTCTCCCTGACAAGTTCTGATTTATTTGAAAAAGCGTTGTGAAGGAAACATCACATGCTGTGAAACTTTTGGTCACCCAAACCTCAAGATGAATTTCCCTAAATTATAGAGTCCTCATTCCCTAGCTGTCACGTCCACAGGAAGGAAAAATTATAAAAGGGTCTATGTTACAAAAAAATACAGAAGTGAAATTACAAGGACAGAAGCATGCAAACAAGTTCATTTCATGCATGGAGTGGGAGAATGTTGTGCAGCAATTCCACGGTAACACACTAAATTTACAAAGATTAAAATTCCAAGAAAATTACTGTGCTTTGTTCACTTCCACATAAAAATAATCTTGTCTGAAATTCCTGATCTTTTCTCATTCACCATTACCTCATTCTCTATAAATTAAGTTACTTTGGAGTACATTAAATACTTAGAAGTACCATTATGTGGAAGATCTTTACTAGCAAGGATATAAATATCAACAATAATACTAAATTACCCCATTTCTTTGTTCTTTCTGAAACCCTTAAAAATCAGGTAAGTTACCTCAGAAATGCAGGAACTGTAGCTGCCAACAAAAAGCCTCAAAATAAGCTCTTACTGCTTAAAACACCCAAAAATGAAACCACATGCTGAAAATAACATAGAAAAAACTTGATGCAGAATAGTTTAAGTCAGAATATGTACTTTAAAACTTATCTCTACTATTGGATTCAATGATCCTTGTGGACCCCTTCCAACTCAGAATATTCTCTCAAATATGTGAAGTTTGTTAAAACTACTATTGTTATTTCATCAACATATTAAAGTATTTCAGTGAGAGCTGACATTCTGCTACATCTAAGGAACAGAAAACAATGCAATTTTAAAGTATGTCAGCTAACTTTCTATTTTCCTTTGGCAATTTGGAGAATTCAGCACAATTCTATAGTTACTTACAGAAATACACGAGTTACCTTTTAATTATATAGAGTGAAACAGCTTTCCATAATCCAACACAGACTTTCTCCTCCTTTAGCTGGGGTTCTAGCACTAATGGCATAGAGTGGACACACAGGTAGCGAGGAGAGTAGCAGATTGAGAAAAGCAGAGAACAAAGTAAACATGCCTTAACTTCTGGCTTCACCTATAAGAAATGGGGAGAAGACATTCTTCCCATCCTCCCCCCACCCTGCAAAAAGCGGAACATTTCTCAGCAAGCAAAAGAAAACAAGATTCCTTACAGTCAAGGAAAATCTTCTGATTTTCCTATGGATTTGTACCACAAGTCCCTGCAAAGTCCTGCACCACCTGCAGAACTGTGACCTTAAAGCCAGGTGACGCTTTTAATGAACCACCTGCAAAATCAGGTAATCATTTATCCTAGAAAATGCAGTTCTACCAAAAGGACTAGGAAACAACAGACACATGGGTTCAAAAGAGCCTCATTTATCCCACAGAAAAAGCTGCTGCAAATTAACTTCCAATAAATGTGTTCCAAGAAAACAGCCTTCCTTTTAGGGGAGCAGTACTGGCAGAATGGTCAAAAACTTTGATCAGCTCCCCCATTACCACTGTTGCCCTATTGCTAGCAATGTGATTCTTGGGTTTAGGGGGAAAAAGGAAGAGATGCTAAAAGGAAACCCAAAAGGCAACTGAGCCATATCCATAGTCATGACAAAAATCCAGATCACTGCCAAAATACACAAACATCCTAAATTACTGACACCAAGGAGTTCAAACATTCAAGTTGCTCATGTTCTGTCTGGAACAAGAATTTAGAATTGATGGCCCTTAAAGAAAATGTACAAAGGAAAGTAGTTTGTAGCACCTGGTTAACAAATCAAAGCACTCATTCAGTTTTCTTAATAATTTCACTTTTGTAGTTATTCCAGTAGGTTCCAGACTTGACAGGGCTCTGGATTTGAAATTCCTAGGTGGACTTCAAAAAAACTCCACCTTCTCTGGATCCAAGCTGAGTTATGTAGTTGAACGTGTTGGGGAGTGAAAGGAGCCAGGGAAGTGGCTTCCCAGGGACAACTATACTTACACCTCTGTAGCATCAAGAAAAATGTACAGCTCAGCCAGCACCAGAAAATCCATTAATTACCATGATGAACCTCTGTTATTATATATTCCCTTAGTACTAGTAGCAGCAATATAAGCTGTTTCCCTTAGTAGTAGTAGTAGCAATATAAGCTGTTTCCCTTAGTAGTAGTAGTAGCAATATAAGCTGTTTAATAACATGCTCAAAATTATGTTTCAGATGTATTTAGAGTTAGTGCAGACAAGTCAACAGAAAACATGAAACTCTACCCTAATCTGTTCTTTCATTTTGCTTCCTTAGAGATTCCCGATCTGTAAAATACTTGGAGTCTTTTTGTTTGATTATTGCAATTATTCAACACAATTAATTTCACATGACTTACCCAAGTTTTCTTCTTACAGTCCGTGTAAAATAGGGGCAAGATGATACAGGACTAACAGATGTACCTCCCCTTAAAGTAGGAAATTCACCGTTACTTTTCAGTATCTATTTAAATGGAAATTCACAAAGCAAGGGACTTTGACATTTTTCTTTCAGACAGAACTAAACTAAGACACTCAGATACTCAAATTCATATGGAAAAGAATCCACTACATTTGCTATAACACTGCCAAGACAGAACTTTTATTTACCAAGGTTTTCATAATACTAAATCTTCAGTCAATGCCAATTATATTTAATTTCCTTTCCCCTCAAAATATACTAAATATCCACTCTCTTCACACATTATGACTTATGAATGTGAAAAGTAAAGAAGAAAAATATACCCTTTATAGTATGAGAAATCCACTGCAAAAAAACCAGATGTGACTGGCCTGACTTTTGAAACTTTCCATCTGCCAATGTGTACACCAGGCTCTCAATAGTGAGTACGGCTGTACTAGATTTTACACAAGTGTTGCAACAAAGAGCAGTCTTATACAAACAGTCACTCTGAATTTAGCACAGTTGTATCAGACAAATTGAAAATTATTTTGAGCCCTTAGGTTAGCACATGATTACCATCTACTTTCCTTTCCGACAGCAAGTTACAGCTACCTGCCCAGAAATCAAAAATAAGGTGTGTTTGAAATCAAGGAACAGGTATAAGTGATTCCGCATTTTCAGCCAAGATATATGATTTCCTGGCATCACTGTAGCTGTTGTTTGTTCCACAGCTATGTCACTAAACTACATTTGGTTTAAGTATTAACTACTTTTATTTCAAAATAATAATAAGCTTAATAAGCTTATTACATTTATGAGCTTAATAAGAAAGTAGTAAAAATATGAATCAGAAGAGAGCACTGCAAACCTACTTCAATTAATCCTTCATTAACATGAACAGTGTAATTGCCATCACCTGATGCTAGGAAAAGTACATAATTACATTTCAAATATTAAACTGTATATGCTTTTAAAGCTTTCTTATTATTTTCTACAGCCTGGGCTCTGGTCTAATTTCTGAAAACACTTTTTAGAAGATCCACCACATATTAATGAAGAGAGCTTACTGTTCTGCATCTCTTCTGGATCTGCGTGTTGCCTTTCTCTTGACTGAACTCCCCTTTGAGAGCAGAGCTTGGTGCTGATGTTCCTCAGGAGTGCAGGGTGGCCCCAGAAAAGACTTAACTTCATTTTTTCCCTTGTCAACACAGTCTTCTTTGGACACAGAAGAGCTTCCAAGAGACTGAGAGGTATCTTTCTGCAACAACAGTTAATTCTTTTAGATTTTCAGTGCACTTAAAGCTATTTCTTCCAACTCAAAAACCTGCAAATTTCTGACAGTCACCTCACATCTAGCAGAAATTATATTCTAATCATATTAATAAGGTAAATTCCGTCTAGAAGGTGACAAGTGAGCATGTTGCAGCAGTTGCCTCTCCACACTCCAATTTACATGAGGTGATCAGTCAAACTAGTAACTTTGAAACAGTTACAAGTTTTACGGAGGACTGCCAAAACACTTTCAGAGAAACACTGAATCATCGCTTTTTGAAATTTTGCTCTCAAAAATCAGATTAAGAGACAATGTAATTAGATTCTGAACTCATATGCAAAATTCTCCATTCTAATGACAATCATAGCTGCTTTGGTATTAACTGGCACACACCATACCTGGACCATTTCCCCTCCTGGGGCTTCTTCAGCTGTATTGCTACAGCTGATGTATCTTATGGCACTAATTATTCCCTGAACAGCAATTCGCTTGTGTTCTCTGTAGTGCAGGTCCTCAATCTCCTTCCCTATTTCACCTATGGGTTTCAAAACTGATTCAACTGCAAAAAAGAAATTTCCAGAAGTTTTAGAGAAATACCAAAATCTCTGAACATGAGACTAAAGAGAAGATTTTACTAAATATTAAATTGATTTATACTTACTTAAACTCTTAAAGAATTCTAAGCATTTTTGTTATCCACATGACATGGAAATAAAATTAAAACAATAAACCTTTTTAGCATCTGTTAGTATGCATTGTCGGACACCACAATTTCTGTTTCAGGTGAAATTTGCAGTTTAATGTAGCCTTCAGAATAACTACTTTAAATTTTGATGTAGCAGAATATTCAGAGTAAAACTTCTGGGTATATGTGTAGCTCATATCAGCTTCTAAAATTCTCCTGCAGCTAGGAGTGCAATATTTTCTGTGAGGTGAGGATTTAGCCTATGAAACATTTAGTCACAAAAGGGAGCTTTTCTTGGAGTAAGACTGACTGGAAAAGGCCACAAATCATAAAGATATTTCATATATGATACCTTCATTGTTTTTACAATATTTCAAAAAGCTATCAGGAGGTCGTGGAAAAGGGTAATAGCCACCGATGACAGTTTTCTTTATTTGATCAGCTTCACTTTGCGATTTCGTCCACTGAATAAAGTTTTTCACTTTGGCATCCTTGGTGTATGGCTGGCCCTTGTGCCACCCTTTGAAGACAAAAATAACCAGGTATCAAAACCAAAGCAGGCAACTGACATTTGTTCTCATTTTGAAACTCCCCTGAACACTACCCAGAAAAAAAACAAATTAAGAAAATCTTGACTAGGGAGTACAAAAGATGTCTTTTGTCAAGAGTCTTTTACAAAGTGGGTACCCTGAATTCCTTGACAACACTTGCATGACACCAAATGTCAGACAAACATTAAATAACAGAAAAAAACAAAAGAACTAGTAAAAAAGCTCCTAGAATACAAAAGCTGCAAGTGTTTTTTAATGTTTTAAGTGGTAACTACCATTGCTACCCTATCAAAATATGAACTTAGTAAACATAAGTCTTAACCTAGGAATACTTTTTATAAGATAAACCCATTTTAATGCCTCACAAGAATGCCATTTGCCTTCTTGTCTTCTGCAGTGATGTTTCCTTACTACCTCATAGTCTGTACTGATTTATTGTGCTGTAAAATGAAAATACTCTTTCCAAAGAAACAACATGAGAGTTACATAAAACTAGAACTAGTTAAAGTTACCTGTAATGAATATTTGACTTTCATTTGAAGTCGTAAGGTAAACTGTCCTGGAAGGATTCTCAGTCATCACTCTCATCTGTGTGCACACCAAGTATGTCACTAGAGAAAAAAAAAGCTTCATTTTTTTTTCCTGACAGCTCATTGATTTTAGAATAGCAAGACTGACACACACTGGATTAATTGGATTAATTCTATTAAGTCCTCTAAACAAGGCAGTTTAGTTCTTGACCCTACAAATGTTTCACGCAGGTTTTGAATCTCCATTATAAATTACCATATGAACATGCAATTAAATATTAATTTATTTTCAACATAGATATTACAACTAAAACATGAGATACTTAATCGGGTAGGATATCATTGAAACAAATAGTATAAATATTGGTATTAGATAGCTGTGTTTCTTAAGGACAAAAAGTATAAAATAATGAGAAATTATGGCATGCCACTGCAAAACTTCTAAGCAGAGCTCAAACTCACTTTTTTGTTAGCATCTCAGTTAAACACTGGAATGTCATTCCTTCCCATTTCCCCAGAACACTCAAGATGAATGCAGCCATAATCTAAGCAGGATTGTGCAGCTAGTGCTGCATCATATAATATAAAAAATGCATATCAACACCAACCAGTGTTAAAAAAAGGATGAGTGCTTGGAGGAGAAGAGAAAGAAGGCAAGAAAAAATATTTAAGCTCTTTTAAAACCCTTCATTAAGGATTCCCTAGTTTAAAATTTATAAGTCTTAGCTCATGTGTGATAAGTAACACAGCTGGGTGATGACTGCTGTTTGGGCAAAAGACACTGTTTCAAAGAAATGAAGCTTTTCCACTTTCACCTTTCTCTTCATTCAATCCTCTTAAATTATTCCTGTCTATAAAAAAACAGGTATTTATAGGTCAAGAGGAGCAAGAGATTTGACCAGCTGCTGCCTTTCATTCCCTCTGATGCAAGAGATGTTGCCCAGGTTCTTCTTCACAGAAACATCTGAAATGAAGGTGATCAGAGGAGCCCCAGGCCCAGCTGTCCATCTAATTGTTTATGCTGACAGACTGCAATTTGTAAGGGTTTCAAATATTTAAACTATTTTTTATTCTTAAATTTTAATTTCTGATCCACTATCTTCTGCTTGAGGAGATAAATCGTGGCATTTTTTTATTCAGTGGCAACTAATCTCAGAATTAGAAGTTTACAATGAACTAGAAAAACATTAAAAACAATTATTAGTATTATAGAGAGATGAATACTTGGATGAATACGCTCAAACACATCTGGCTGAGAAGTTGCAAACAATTCCAGTATGAATGGTTGGTCTGAGGTCCCATCAATGGCATGTGCCCAACGATACAGCCAGAAGTCTTCACTGTGTTCTAGATAAACAAATATTAAGAAAAACACATAAGCATTTACTTAGAAATTTAGAAACAATTTGTTAAGTTCTGAAAGTCATATTTATAGAAAAACCTCTTTTTCTGGCTCGCTCAGCCCTTCCTACAAATGTCACAAGACCAATAACATCACAGGAATGATTGTGCGGTAAGTCATCCAGCTCTGACCTAAAAGCAAAATAGAAGAAAGCTGGGTAAGCTTTCTCAGAAACTCTGCAAAAAGCACTTCCAATTAACATTCACTGTAAGGCAGTGTAATTTAAATTCCAGCTTGATAACCAACAAAATTCTATTTTACCTTGTGATAAACCTATATTTAACTTCAGGTAATCCCCATTCTGGCTTAACCATTTCTTCTGGAATAATACTGATTTCAGTAGGAGGATCTCGAACATTAAGGCAAATTTCTGACAAAGAAAAAAAAGTCAGTAACATTTACAGCATGAATACAAATTATCATCACCATCATCATTGTTACAATAATAATATAACAAAACTAACAACAGCCCATAAAGAAACTAGGGTAAAGTTTCTTAAATATTCCAATTTAAAATTTATAAGTCTTAGCTCATGTGTGATAAGTAACACAGCTGGGTGATGACTGCTGTTTGGGCAAAAGACACTATTTCAAAGAAATTAAGCTTTTCCACTTTCGCCTTTCTCTTCATTCAATCCTCTTAAATTATTCCTGTCTAAAAAAAAACAGGTATTTACAGGTCAAGAGGAGCAAGAGATTTGTCCAGCTGCTGCCTTTAATTCCCTCTGATGCAAGAGATGTTGCCCAGGTTCTTCTTCACAGAAACATCTGAATGATGATTTTGAAATTAAATGAAAGTCATACACTCAGGTCAGGATCATACCCTGGCTAAGGTCAGTCCACACAAAGGCTGTCATCAGTGCCACACAAATTCACTGATGTGTGAGATTGAAATATGCACACTGCCTGGCAGTGGAACTCAAAGCATTGGTACTAAGTTCCAAAGGTTTTAGGCTGTGAAACAGCACCTCTCAGCAAGTCCCACACTGCTGCAGCTGCAAACAGGGGTCAGCAATGCAGAGCTCACTCCACAGAACTCTAGGGATGTGCCTGAAGCACAGTGCCTTGCAGGACTCTCCATCTGGAAACGCTTTAATACTGGGGAATTGATAACTCTCCAGATATACTGTACAATATTTGCAGGTGAATGGTTCTAAGGACACACTGGAAAGTTGGGATTTGATGGCATTACAAACTTAAAATAAATGAAGAAAAAAGTAATTGTTACTTTTGTGATTTAGTGTAATTGAAACATGAAATACTGCCCCACACTGAGCATATACAGAGATACTTAGTGAGGTAATAATTTCACTTCATCTGAACAAAAAAAACCCAAACCCTCATACAATGGAAGTTGCACAAAATCCATCTAACAAACGCTCTAGAATTTTTTCTGGATATTCTGTTTTCTTGTGACTCTGGTCTTATAGGATATTTGGTCATACCATCCACTCATGCATCATGGGATTATGTGAATTCATATTAAGACAAAATTCTCAGCTTTGTGCAAAGAACTGAGATTCCATACATACTTTTCTATGATGCAAAGATTTACAGTTTCTGCAGTTTATCTGTGCACCATGGTGCTTTCCAATGGAGTGACTTCTGATTCTTCCATGACACAGCTGTTACCCTTTACAGCCCAGTGGCTGAGCTGGCCATTTTGATCTCTTTGTTACCACTCCTACCCCAATAATGCTTGTAAGAAACCAGAAGTTCAGAGTAAATAAAGCCATGAAAATGCAGAGATATTAAAGTCACCTCAGATGGCATATTTTGCTCTGTCTTCTTTGCATAGAAAAGCTTTGTGGCAATTTTAATTGTTTTCAGGGCTGGCTTGTAATTGTCATCACCTTCCCTTATGAACTTCCATTCCTGGCTAAACATTTCTATCTCCTGCAAGTCATCACAAGAACTTCAGACATTGAGATCTGGTTTTAATGCAAATACTTATCAGTCAGAGAAGATATTGCTTCTGGCAGTGAAAATATTGCTTCTTTTTGTGCACTGTAGCTAACTTTTTGTGCACTGTTTCCTAACTCCATTAGGAAACTGTCAATTGTCAACAAGTTATACATACAACACCCTTCACCAACACGCATATTGTTTCAAGAAGTTATTTGAATTTTCTGAATGTTCATTGTAATTTTGTTCTGAGTATAAATGCACAAAATGGGAAAGAGCTCATATAGAGTGAGGGAACAGAGAAAACAACCCCGAAGTTGATCAAATCCAGTTTGAAAAGGTTATTACTGTTATATTGCAGGACTTGTATTTTTGTAGTATAGCTCCTTCAAGTATCTGCCACACTAAACAACTGGCAAGTAAGAAAATGCTTTTTTATAGCATTTTGCCAAAGAATATTCTTCATACACATACTCCCACAGTGATGCTCTTTCAGCACACAGATGTGATCAGTGCAACTTTTTATTCTGTGGAGCCGTGCAGATACTCTGGGCCTTGACAGTTTACAGTAAAATCTAAAGTCAGATGAGGTGATAATGTCCTTCAATGACCTGGAAAAAGGTGTGAGCAGTGTACAAGTGATATGTGTGTTATTAAGCAGGAAGTAGAATCAGATTTAAATTCATTATAGAGGCCTATCTTTATAATCTCTGTTCCTGATATCAGGGATTATTTTTTTATTTCTTTATTTTTTAAATAACGGTTTTAACTAATTGTGGCAGTAAACTTTGTAGACATGATTCAATATAAACAGGGAAGAGCAAGAACCTGGATGCTCAGACACCTTTCAGAAGCACTTAAAATTAAGCACTATATTATCAATTAGTCTCAGCAATGGATCACTTTCTATTTTATTCCTATGGAGAACTACTTTGCACAGCTGTATTTAATAGATTCAAAATAGGTTTCTGCAATACTTAACCAATTGTAGCAAATCTCTTCATCTGTGAATCCCCTGGGGTGGGGTGTGTTTTAAACGGGTAACTGGATTTGATGGCATACTTGGCAAGGAGGAGCACTGTGCCAACCTTCATACTGTGATACCACTCAGGACACAGAGAATTCCACAAAACCATTGACATCATGCCTGAGCCATCAGCAACTTCAAAGTAAGCCTGAAGAAAAAAAGAGAAAATATACAGTCATCTTATTTATTATCATTCTGCTAGGTATTTATTTTGGATAATGCACCAGTACTTGACTCATAAATGATTTCTCTGATACAAATGGATATAGAGGATGTTCCAGAACTTGTACTGAATACTAGAGTAGAAAATATCCCCAATTTTTAACCTGGGCAAATGCTGAATCTGAAACTGAGTAGATCACTGAGTAGTAAAAAACTATTTTTAAACTAACCCACCACACCTCCAATCTCCTTTTCCAAGAAGTTCAATCACAAGCTAAATATATTAGAAAAATCATTAAGAATTTTACAGTAAAATAATCTGTCTGAAAGTCAACAGATGAGAGAATCAGGACCTAGAAATAATTTAAATATATTGGCTTTTTTTTTTTTTTTTTTTTGACAGGACACACTAAGTCCAACTTTCAAAGCATAGAGACCAGAATTGTTTAGGCTGTTAAACTACTAACACCTCAAAGTATCCTTTCCTTCACAAAAAGCTCAAATGAACTATAGTAACTTAAATTCATCCACTAAAGTTTGTAAACATATGATCACAAAATTCATCATTTCCTGCACTACAGAGCTCAGCATTTTGTAAAGGCAGCATTTGCTATATAAAATAGCTATAACTTTATGTGCTTACTATATGGGAAAAATTCTTTTCAAATATCTTACAGCAATTTGAGTGTTAACCTATGCATTTATCCCTCTTTACCTGATAAGGCATATCCATTTTTTTCTCTGGTTTTCCATAGTACCTTAGTCTAGATTTGTGCAGGATTCTCACAAGAAGTGGATGGAAATGCACTCTGCTTCTCCATGTCATTTCCAGGTGACCAAGATTAGTCAGTTTGGAGACTAAGGTTAAGGGGAGGGGAAAAGAAAAGACCAACAAAGAACATTCATGACTGAACGTCTAAGTTTTCAGGAGAAAAGTGGCAGGATGTCACATGCATTTTATTAACATTTCTAACATTTAAAAAGGCTCATCTGCTGATATCATTCACCAATAAAATTCTGTTATGAACTATCTGAACACAGCATAGTTTTGCCTTTTTTTTTTTAAATTAAGAGAGATTTTAAATGACACAGAAGTGTTGTCATATGAGCAGAAGAGCTATTACAAAAACCACAGGTGTCAGCCTACAAGGGTATCACACTCATGCAGAAGTCCTGTTATACCTCTCTCCTCACCAGGCCTCATGGAATGGCCTGAGCCCCCCAACACTGACCATGTTTTGGGTGGCAGCTTCTAAGTGTGAGCATCCTACACCACAGACCAGACACAAGACTATCACTGCACCCAGTGTTTTTGACACCTCAGAAGACTGGGCACAAGCACCACAGCTACATATTGTCAGTCAATGCTCGTAGAGTTTAAAAACTCTCTCAAAGCAACAGAGAATCAAAGAAGAGGCTGGGTTCACAGGGGTCATCTCCTTCCAATACTCTGCCATGGGAGGGACACGCTGCACCAAACCAGGTTACTCAGAGCCCCATCCAAGCTGGTCTTAAACTCTTCCAGGGGTGAAGTATCCACAAGTTGACAACTCTGGGATACCTGTGCCAGTGTCTCACCGTCTTCCCAGGGAAGAGGTTTTTCCCACAGCAGCAGGTGAACTGTGGCACAGGTGTCACATTCCCAGCGAGGCCAAACACAGCTGGAGGATACCAGGAAGCTCAGCCCAGCTGCACAAGCAATCACAGAATCAATCAGGTTGGAAAACACCCCTAAAATCATCGAGTCCAACCTATGACCGAACACCACCCTGTCAGCCAGGCCATGGCAACAAGTGCCACATCCAGTCTTGCCTTCAACACCTCCAGGGACGGTAACTCCATCACCTCCCTGGGCAGCCCATTGAAACGTCTAACCATCCTTTCTGTCAAGGAATTCTTCCTAATGTGCAAGCAAAACCTTCGCTTAAGACTACGTGCCCTTGCACTGCCTCTGGTTGCCAGGGAAGAGCTCGAGCCCCAGCTGGCTGCACCCTGCTGTCAGGTGATTGTAGAGAGCGAAAAGAAAAGGCCCCCTCAGCTCCCTCAGCCACCCCTCATGGGACTTGTGCTCCCGACCCTTCCCCAGCTCCGTCGCCCAACAAAGACGGCACCGCCCCCTCCCCTCAGGGTGCCCCGGGGCGCCTCAGGGCGTCCCTGCCGCACCCCTACAGCCGCCTCCTCCGGGCTTACCATCCACATCCACCTGCACCGGGGGCCTGTCCGGTACCCACACGTCTCCATAGGGATCCTCGTTGTTCCAGAGCGGCAAGTAGTGCCTATTGTCCCCGCGGAGGGGCTGGAGCGGGCGGTGCCCGTCGGGCGGGGTGCCCGCGGTGGCGGTGGCCGTGCCCCCCGCCCGCTCCAGCCCCTCCAGGCAGAAGAAGCCGCGGTTCAGGCGCCTCTCGTCGTAGCGGTACGAGCAGCGCGTGAGGCGGAGGCGCGTGCCCGCCCGCAGGCGCGCGCGCTGCACCAGCCCGTTGAGGCGCGGCGCGAGGTGGCAGCGGTGCCAGTGCGCGCCGTCCGCGAGCGTCACGTCGTACCAGTACTGGCGGGGCGCGGCGGGCGGCGCCTGCGCCAGGTACCGCTCCACCGCCACCACCGTCACGGCCGGCGGCTCCGCGGGCGCCGCGCTCAGCTGCGAGGAGCCCTGCACCTCCTCAAACACCCTCTGCAGGCAGAAGGCCCCGCCGCCCTCCGCCGAGGCCGCCGCCCGGCTCTCCTCGGCGCGTTCCGGGGTAGGGTCCTGCATGACAGAGTCCTGGCCGCCCCTCCCGGGCGAGAGCCGCGGCCCGGGGCGCTGCCGGGGCCGGCCGCGGCTTCCCGCTGTCATGGCTGAGCAGAGGGCGCCGCCCCCATGGCGCGCGCGGGGCGGGGCGGGGCGGGCGTGCGCGCGCCGTTCAAACCTCCAACGGCCGGGACGGGGGTGGGGACATGGCGACAGCGATGGGGACCGGGACCGGGGCGCGGCGGCCGGGGAGCAGGGATAAAGCTGAGGCCCGGGGTAGCGGTGGGAGGGGCGGCGGGGTAGCGGCTCCGCGTGGCTCTGGGTGTTCCTGCGCTAGGTCGGGGGCCGCGGCCGCTCCCGTGCTCGCTCGCGGCCCGCCCTCGCCGGTGCCTTGCGGCCGTGCCCGGCAGCTCGGGGCGCAGGTGACCCCCCGCGCCCCGTCGGTGGGACAGAGGCCCTGATCGGCGAGCAGGTCCCTGCCTCCCTCAGAGAGTTCTGCCGCACCTGTTCCTGGTTCCACAGCACTCGTCATTGCTTTTTCCTTACCATCAGTGCGCTCCCAGCTGGGAGAGGCTTGTGCCTGCTTCTAATATTGTATTTGTCTTTTACATAGTTGCAGTGTGGGGGTAATTGTAATCATTTTGCCATTGAAACAGTCTAATGAGTCTTGTTTCTTGCTCCCATCTTCAGAAGAAATTCTTGCTAGTGGTTCCTAAGTGTGTGAGATTTATGTTATTATTGATTCTTCTCCAACTGCAACTTCTTTATCACATTCACATAACACAATCAAAGAATGGTTTGGGTTGGAAGGGACCTTAAAGACCATCTGGTTCCAAATCCCCTGCCATTTGGACACTTTCACTGATCTCGTAAGTAGTCCTGCGAAAGCTTATGGAGATCAAGAACTTTGTATTTGATATTTTATCAGTGCCTGTATTTTTTTATAGTGGAGGAAACACCTCTTATGAGGAAAGGTGGAGGGAGTTGAGCCTGTCGAAACCAGAGAATTACAAGACTGAGAGGGGATTTTATCAATGCCCACAAATATCGGAAAAACAGGTATCAAGAGAATGGGAACAAGTGGTGCCCACTGGCAGGACAAGGGGCAACAGGTACAAACTAATACACAAAGAATTCCATCTGAATAGGAGGAAAATTTTCTTACAGGGCAGAAGAGAACTGGAACTCTGCTGCCCAGAGAGGTTGTGGAGTCTCCTTCTCTGGAGATACTCAAAAGCTGTCTGGATGAGATCCTGTGCAACCTGCTCTGCATGACCCTGCTTTAGCAGGGGGATTGGACTTGATGTTCTCCAGAGATCCCTGCCCATCCCAGCCATTCCAGCAGGACAGAGTGAGGAGAGAGGGGTAGAAGAAAAAGGCTAGGAAGAGCAGCAACTTCCAGTCTTTATAGTGTCACTGGTCCAGCTAGTCTTTGGAAACCCAGAATGTGGCTGCAGCTTAGGCAGAGCTGGCTCAAGTGCTGGGCCAGAGCAGTTCTTCCAGCCTGAGCACAGCTATCCTTGGTCTACTGCCTTTGTTACTGTGGAGCATTTGCCATGGGAAAATTGGAAAACCTGTTGCCTGAACCATTTAAAATAGACCAAAAAAAAAAAAAAAAAAAAACCACAAACAAAAAAAAACTAGACAAAAGGGTATAAAGCACAAGCTTTTGCTGGCCTTTAGAATTCTCTATGACGTTATGGATTTTATGATAATCACAGTGCATTCCTTAGTGAGAAAATTTAAAACAAATCAGTCATTTGTGTTATGTTGAAGCTAAGTATTGGGTAAAACTTCCACAGCGTGTCTTTCTTCCCCAGTAAACACATGACTTGTGTGAACTGATAAAATGGCATTTACAGTTTAAAAACATGAACATGACCCAAAATGATCTTGCACAGGATGTGACTTCACATCACATACAACAGATAACTACAGCGTACACTTTTTTTAGTTATTAAATAACCTGTGGGTATAATGAGGAAATCTGTGGACCACTCCCAGCTTATCTGCACTTTTGTCTGTGCTCATGATGTGATTTGCAGAAGAAACTTATTCATACACAGGTTATTGTTACATGTGCATTTGTTGCCATTTTTATTGCGGGTCACTGGGGTTTCATTCATTGAAGCTGAAGCTTTTGTGGAGTGGTAATGGACTGATGTGGACTGATAGCAGAGTTTATACTTTGTACTGAATAAATCTGTATGCATTGCAGGTTCAGATACAAGAGTGCTCCTTCTCTTAGGAACTTGCTCCTGCTGCCTTCTTTCTCACCAGCAGAGGTCCAGCTAACATACCAATTTCAAAACTGGAACAAGGGTAAATCTCCTGCTGTCAGCGTGCAAACAAATTTTAAAGACTCGTTATGTCTGTGAGTTCAGCTAGGTGTGATTTCCCTACCACACCTGAACAGTGGGACTGACATGACTGTATTAGAAACTGGAAGTTGAGAAACAGGGAATGAATCAGTAATGACTGGAGAGGAGCCATCAGCAGATGGCTGTACCACATCACAAGAACTAAGGGCTTGGTGTTATGCTGAGCCTGCTTCATCAGGGTGTGTAAGCAGCTCATTGAAGACAATATGAGTTTTATGTGCCTACAACCAAGTGTGCTAAACAATACTTGTATTCACCCCTGGTCAATCAATAGTCTCAAATTCTCAGAGACAATCAGCGGTCAAATATCTTAGGTTTTACATACAACACAACTTAAGAAAACAGTAGTTAGCTTTTACAGCAGTGAGGAATGAGCTATGCTGAATAGGAGGATGTTATTACATTCTGTTAAATATTACATTTAAAATACATTGGAGAAATGAAAGGCACAAACCAATAAAAGGTAATGCTCTAGATTAAAAAAAAATTAACTGGTGTGCAAGATCATAAAGCTTACTGCAAAAGTTGTTCACCACAAAGTGTTTTGAGGATAAAAATAGAAAAGTTTTTCTGATGCATTTCACCATTATTTCCTAGGTGCTTTTGTTAAATCTTTTTAGAAAATAACAGAAGTGGTTAAGTAATACTAAAATAACATTTTGGGTGATTACCCAGCTGACACAACCTTGCTCTTTAATCAGCTCTCTGCATTTTGAAAGGCAGTTTAAGAAAGTGGTGGGTTATCTGCAGGAAAATTTCTTACACTTTTGGTGTGTGGAACTTTGACTTTACTGCACAGGTTTTAAAATCTATACAAGTCTTTTCTATAAACTGCAGGTTTACTTATGCTTAATTTAAATACAGCTGTTTAACCATGGAACTGAACATGTAACCCAGCTTTTCTGAGGGTCTTTGAAGAAACAATGCAAGTGGCAATAAAGACTGTGTGAGCTTACCTGAGAAAAAGTGACTTGGGCTAACCTGGCATTCAGGCTAATGTGCACAAAAGCCAGTTCTTGTAGCATCAGTGACTGCAAGCTGTCCCTTTGCTGTAGTTCCACTGCCCTCATCCCATGGGGTGTTTGTGTAAAGAGAAGGGCAGACACACAAAAATCCAGTGAAGCTCAATAGCAGCACAGCACTGGCTGTCACCCTCAGGAACACTGTCCAGTCTGAACTCTCACACTGTCACTTGAACATCTTTATCCATACAAGGATATATATTTGTTTTGTCCCTACAGGCAGATATGGATGTTTCCCTAAGGATGGTGACTGGATTTGGAAAACAATAACAAAGGTTTCTACAATTTTTACAACAGCCGATGTCAATTACAGAATAATTACAAGTGTGATACTAGTTTTGATTTTTCAGTGTATTTTATTACTGTTTCAATTGTACAATTTCCACATTAGAGAACAATATATAATGTACAGTACATAACTTGCATGGCTCCCAGGTTTTGAAGTCATGTGCCAAGTTCAGGCTGAAAAAGAGAGTTCACCATGCCTAAAATGAAAGCAGGCACATACACACAGTTCTACATTGCTGCAGCATTAGCACACTCTTGTGTGGCAAATATAACATTATGAGCACCACCTGTCATTAGGAGACTGCATGTACCAAAGGGTTAATGACATGGATCCTTAACATTCTGCCCCTGTAGCATTCTTTCATGTCAAAGTGACATCACTAGAAAGACACATTAAGCAATTTAGTCCTTGGTTTTAAAAGCTAGTGAAAGAGTACAGCTATAGAAACACTTCACAAAGTGAAATTACAAATTTGATATACATTTTGCATAGTTAAAATAATGTCTAGATAACCTTGGTTACTGGATTTTTGTCTTCTGGCCTTTGTACTTTTGCTTTGCGCTGAACAGTTATTCAAAATACTCCCTCATTCAGTGCCCCCCAGTCAGTTCAGATACCTTTCCATTTCTTTGGCTGCTTTCTTTTCCTTAACATCTTTTAACCTTTTGTATTCCTCCTACAGCACTATGCTATGCCAGACATCCACTCCCTTACCTTTGGCTACTCGTGTTTCTTTTCTTCAGCTTTTCCCTCCTCTTCAGACACTTCCCCTTTCTTGTTACTCTTCTCAACATCTCTGGGCTCTTTCTCATCTTCAACCATTCTGACTATCTCTTGATAGAGAGACAATGCCACAGATTTCTCCTTGTTGCATCCAGCTGCTCTTGCTATTTGCAATACCACTTCTAAATCCTTCAAAAGCATTCCCCTCTAAGTGCCTCATGCTTTCCATAATTACACATGGAAAGTTTTTAATGTTTTTTTTTTTTTTTTTAGTGAATGGAAGATGAAAATCCAACTCACTGCCTTGAATTGGAGCTAGAAAGAAGAAAGCTAATAGAGGGAAACAGAATGAATTACAATCCCAATGTAATAGTGCATATTCCCTCTCTTGAACTTGGGGTTATTTGGTTTTTTCCCTTTTAGCATGGAGTTAAACTTCTTCACAGTGTGCCAACGTATTGTCATTGTTGTAATTTTCTGCTGCAGTAAACTTAGGTTTGATCACATTTGCTTCTTTAATCTGTTCATATGAGTTTTTATAAATTCCCACTGTTCTTTGCTAAATTCTTTTTAACTAGTCCCTAGCATCAGGAAAATATCAGCCTTCTACCTGTTGACACCAGAGCAGGGGAGGGAAAAATCCCATGGATCCTCTGTAATGCAGAGGCTGCTGAGGTAAGCACACTTTCAA